GCGCCAAGGTTCGCAAAGCCGAATTTCCCGCCAAGCAGCTTCAGAAGACCATTATGCGCTTCATTGAGGATAATGTGAACCCGGCCGACGCGGAGATCCTGAAGACCACTCTTCTCCCTCTGGTGCAGGTCATCAACAAGTACATGGATGGCCTCAAGACTAACGAGTACAATGTCTTCATTGGTTTGCTGGAGCAGTACTACGATGTCGAGAAGTTGTTCTGCACGCGTAACGTCCGCGATGAGGACGTCATTCTGAAGCTCCGTGAGGAGAACAAGGACGACATCACCAGCGTTACCCACACCGTCCTTTCTCATAGCCGCATCGGATCGAAGAACAACCTCGTCCTTGCCATTTTAGATATGTACCGTCCGAACCAGCCCAACATTGGCAATGTTGGCAAGCACTTCAAGGCTATTTTGCAGAAGCTGACTGAGCTGGACTCGCGCTCCGCGGCCAAAGTTACCCTCAAGGCTCGTGAGGTCCTCATTCAGTGTGCGCTGCCATCCCTGGAGGAACGCCTGTCCCAAATGGAGCACATTCTGCGATCGTCGGTCGTCGAGTCCCGCTACGGTGAGACTGGATGGGACCACCGTGAACCTGATTTCCAAGTTCTGAAGGAGGTCGTCGATTCCAAGTACACCGTCTTCGATGTTCTTCCACGTTTCTTCGTTCACCAGGATCCTTGGGTCACTCTCGCTGCCTTGGAGGTCTACGTGCGCCGTGCCTATCGTGCCTACACTCTCAAGGGCATTGACTACAGCGCTTCGGCCGAGCCGCCTTTTTTGACCTGGGAATTCACTCTCAGCAGGGTGGGTCAGCCCGAGTTTGGCCCCGTCTCGTCGACCCAGCCTTCAGCCCCTGGTACACCCACTGCCGAATCGAACCCTTACAAGCGCATCGGCTCGTTTAGTGATATGTCCAACCTCAATGACCCAGCTGGTGATCCTGTCCGCAAGGGTGTTATCATCCCTGTGCAGTACCTAGAGGATGCGGAAGAGTATCTTTCCAAGGCATTGGAAGCCTTCCCTCGCGCCGGCTCTAAGGCCAAACGTCCCAGTGAACATAGTCTGCTGGCCAACCTGGAGGGCAAGCGCCGCCCGTCTTCCAAGGTGGAATCTGACAGCGACCTCACTGGCGTCCTCAACATCGCCATTCGTGACGTTGAGGACCAGGATGACTCGCAGATCGTTGCTCAAATGCAGCAGCTGCTGGCTGACACCAAGGAGGAGCTGCTCGCTCGCCGCATCCGCCGTGTCACCTTCATCTGTGGACGCAACGGTTTCTACCCTGGCTACTTCACCTTCCGCGGCCCCAGCTACCTGGAAGATGAGAGCATCCGCCACAATGAGCCCGCCACGGCCTTCCAACTGGAGCTGACTCGCCTGTCCAAATTCAACATCAAGCCTGTCTTCACCGAGAACCGCAATCTTCACGTCTACGAGGCGATTGGCAAGGGTCCCGAGAATGACAAGGCCGTTGATAAGCGTTACTTTGTTCGTGCGGTGGTGCGCCCCGGTCGCCTGCGTGATGATATTCCTACTGCAGAATACCTAATCTCGGAAGCCGATCGATTGATGAATGACATTCTGGCTGCATTGGAGATTATCGGCAACAACAACTCCGATCTAAACCACATCTTCATTAACTTCTCGCCTGTGTTCAATCTGCAGCCCATCGATGTTGAGCAAGCGCTGGCTGGATTCCTTGACCGCTTCGGCCGCCGTCTGTGGCGCCTTCGCATCACCGGTGCTGAGATCCGTATCCTTTGCACTGACCCGTCCACAGGGATGCCCTACCCGCTGCGTGTGATCATCACCAACACCTATGGATTCATCATTCAGGTTGAGCTGTACATTGAGCGCAAGTCCGAGAAGGGCGAGTGGGTCTTCCAGAGCATCGGCGGCACCAACAAGCTCGGCTCCATGCACATGCGGCCTGTCACCACGCCCTACCCAACCAAGGAGTGGCTGCAGCCCAAGCGATACAAGGCTCACATCATGGGAACTCAGTACGTGTACGATTTCCCTGAGCTTTTCCGCCAGGCTTTCCAGAACAGCTGGACCAAGGTCGCTGAGAAGATCCCGTCGCTTGCCGACAAGCGGCCTCCAGTTGGCGAGTGCATTGACTACAATGAGCTCGTCCTGGATGACACGGATAATCTAGTTGAGGTGTCCCGTGAGCCCGGTACCAACGCCCACGGTATGGTCGGATGGCTCGTCACGGCCCGGACCCCCGAGTACCCCCGTGGCCGGCGGTTCATCATCGTTGCCAACGACATCACCTTCCAGACTGGTACGTTCGGTCCCCAGGAAGACAAATTCTTCCACAAGTGCACAGAACTGGCTCGCAAGCTTGGCATCCCGCGTATCTACCTGTCTGCCAACTCCGGTGCTCGCATTGGTCTTGCCGACGAACTGATCCCCTACTTCTCTGTTGCCTGGAACGACCCCGCGAAGCCAGAGGCTGGATTCAAGTACCTGTACCTCACCCCCGAGGTCAAGAAGCGCTTCGATGCCAGCAAGAAGAAGGAGGTCATCACCGAGCTCATCAACGAAAATGGCGAGGAGCGCCACAAGATCACCACTATCATTGGTGCTCGCGAAGGCTTGGGTGTTGAGTGTCTGAAGGGATCTGGTCTGATTGCGGGCGCCACCTCCAAGGCCTACGAGGACATTTTCACCATTACTCTGGTGACTTGCCGCTCCGTCGGTATTGGTGCGTACCTGGTCCGTCTGGGCCAGAGAGCCATCCAGGTCGAGGGCCAACCGATCATCCTGACCGGTGCCCCGGCTATCAACAAGCTATTGGGTCGCGAGGTGTACACCTCCAACCTGCAGCTCGGTGGCACGCAGATCATGTACAAGAATGGCGTGTCGCACATGACTGCCAACGATGACTTCGAGGGTGTGCAGAAGATTGTCGAGTGGATGTCCTTCGTTCCCGACAAGAAGAACTCTCCGATCCCCATACGCCCCTGGGCCGATGACTGGGACCGCGATGTGGCCTATTACCCTCCTGCCAAGCAGACCTACGATGTGCGCTGGCTCATCAACGGCAAGGAAGACGCCGACGGATTTCTTCCCGGTCTGTTCGACCGAGACTCTTTCGAGGAAGCTCTCGGTGGCTGGGCCCGGACTGTGGTTGTTGGTCGCGCCCGCCTCGGCGGTATCCCCATCGGTGTGATTGCGGTCGAGACGCGCTCAGTGGAGAACGTCACCCCGGCCGACCCTGCCAACCCCGACTCCATGGAGATGATCACCACCGAGGCCGGTGGCGTCTGGTATCCCAACTCGGCGTACAAGACCGCCCAGGCTCTGCGTGACTTCAACAATGGCGAGCAGCTTCCTGTTATGATCCTCGCCAACTGGAGAGGTTTCTCTGGTGGTCAGCGCGACATGTACAACGAGGTGCTCAAGTACGGCTCCTACATTGTCGACGCCCTGGTCAAATACGAACAGCCCATTTTCGTCTATATCCCTCCGTTCGGCGAGCTCCGTGGTGGATCATGGGTAAGTTCTTCTCGTCTTTTTCTATATTTTACTTTACTAACGTTATTCCCTAGGTCGTGATCGATCCCACCATCAACCCGGACCAGATGGAAATGTACGCCGACGAAGACGCCCGCGGCGGTGTCCTCGAGCCCGAGGGCATCGTGGGTCTCAAGTACCGTCGCGACAAGCAGCTCGACACGATGGCCCGTCTGGATGCTACCTACGGCGAGCTGCGCCGGTCCTTGGAGGACTCATCTCTCAGCAAGGACCAGCTGTCAATCGTCAAGACCAAGATGGCACAGCGCGAGGAGCAGCTTCTGCCGGTGTACCTCCAGATCGCACTCCAATTCGCCGACCTGCACGACCGCGCCGGCCGCATGCAAGCCAAGAACACGATCCGCCAGCCCCTCCGCTGGCAAAATTCCCGTCGCTTCTTCTACTGGCGTCTCCGCCGCCGTCTGAGCGAGGAGCTCATCGTCAAGCGCATGATGGCGGCATCATCCTCGCCCGTCGCTACCCGCAACGGTGCCTCGGGCGCGATTCCCTCCTCTGGTAGCAGCGCCCAACCCGGACCCCAGGAGGCGTCGTCTGCTCGCGCGACCCATCTGCGCACGCTGCACGCCTGGACTGGTCTGCTCGATAAAGAACTCGAGCACGATGACCACAAGGTTGCGGTGTGGTATGAGGAGAACAAGAAGCTCGTCCAGACGAAGGTTGAGGCTCTGCGAACAGAGGGCGTCGCCTCTGACGTGGCACAGCTATTGATCGGAAACAAGGAGGGCGGTCTGCGTGGTGTGCAGCAGGTGCTGAGCATGTTGCCTGTTGAGGAGCGCGAGGCTGTTCTGAAGTACCTCGGCTCTGGATAGAGGATGGATGAGATAGTGGTTCATACTTCTGCTCTCTTCTCTTCCCTGTTCATTTTTCTTTTATTCACTCTCTGTCTTATGAATTATGTTGTTTGCGTCATCCAGAATGCACGGTGTTTTTGAGTTCTTTTTTCCCTGTTGTCTGTCTGTTTGGAAACAAGTATTATACATTTTTTTCTTCTAGGAGTTGTTAATAATAACAATCGATTCAAGTATGTACTACAATGCTACCTGACAGTATACTGGTGGCGAAAATGGTCACTTTCGCCGTCCCAGTAATTTAGAGGAAAGTAAACATAGGCTCATCCCGACAAGACTGCATACAAACCTGTTGGATGTATGTTAAAAGACTGCAGGGGAGCGAATTGAAACTACCTAGGGATTGGACATAGCACAAAGGGACGAGTTAAGAGTTAAGCTAGGCAGAAGCTATGGTATGGAAAATCACTACATGTCTCCAATGCTAAAATGATACTGGTTACATATCAGAACCTTCTGTGAAGTCTTCATAGGGCACAAATGAAATACTAGCTCCCGGAAAACGTCCAACATTTGAGTTCCTTTCTGCCTATTATTAACTGCCCCCCTCCTATGTAGTTCCTCGATAAAAATTCCATTCCACCATCATTCTCTTCTATTTCTATTCCTGGATCTCAACAAAAACGAACTGCTCATTCGGACTCTGATCCCACTTGGCAAGTTGCAGCTGACGATCCTCATTGACACGCAAAAAGTAACCAGATTCCTGCTCAACGAGCTCATACTTGTTGTCACCAACAAGCTCGGGCCTGTAGAACTGAGAATCATGGCTCAGAAAGCAAGTCGTTCCTTCCTCAGTACCACAGTTGATAAACCTGTTAGAAAGGTCGTAGATATAAAAGTATTCTGGCAACTCATTGCTTGCGGTGGCGTTCCAGACCTGGGTGTTGTCGTCGTGGGCGTTGTCTTCGAAAAGGATGGAATCAGACTCCTTGTCCATAGTCCTGGAAAGGACCAGAGAGGAACTAAGGGCGGCGGAGCCGATTTGGTAGGTTCCCGATTTGTAGAGGCTGAAGGCTGAGTGGGAGAGAGCTGCAAGGAGACCGAGAACTTGGGAAGTCTTCATCTTGGACGAAGGAACGTAAATTTGAACTTGGAACGTAGGTCAAGAGAGAGATTTTGTGGAGATTTTTTGATCCTTGCGGAACTTGAGATGGAGGCTGTAGGCAACGGGTGTCTTTAGAATTTATGGGTGTTTTACCTATGATGAGATGACAGGACAATAGCTTGGAATCTCGCGGCCGATCATCCTCGAACTATTAATATGCACATTTGTGATATTGTATGCAATGCGAGTTCGGTTTGTATTGCCAGTGGCGGATCCCTAAGTAAGACACCAAATAACAACCCTGTTCACATAACTCCAAGATTACCAATATATTGGATTTAACGTTAGGGTTGCCTTCAACTGTGCTTGTTGTTGCACTTGGGCAAATCATCAATGACTGACACCAGAAACGATCTACAACCCCAAGTAAAACAACCGTGGATTACGCATTGCAGATCCATTCGAGGGACAACGGAACTGCTTGAACAATGGGCTATTCCAATCTCGTTTTTTCGATCTCCTTCCCAAAGAGGACGTAGATCTTTGACATGGGGTTGTGCTAGGGCTATACCCCGGGCTGTGCCCTCAACAAGACCCTGGCGGGATTAAAATTAACGAAAGCTAGATAAAGCGGACCAGGCGCAACTACTGCATATGTTGAAACTTCAGGCTTTGTTCGGTGCAATGGAGGGCCTGTACGTGGTAATTGAGCTTATCAGCCTATGTCGGTTACAGAGTTGACCCACTTCCCTATGAACAGGTCCCTGATCGACAGGGCAGGCCATCCACGCTAGGCGAAATGCGTTTGCAAATTCCGATCGAGAATTCATCACAATACCTGACAAGTTCATGCGACCAGTGGGAATGCTCAGGGGGTGGCCGGTTATGCGAGAGGAGGGGGGTTTTGTGTGATGTACAAATCTACGATAGCCAACTATTCATCCGGACAGGAAGACTAGAGATGATTTGAAATATTATCCAAAATTGCACGAAAAAAGTAGAAGACAGAGACAAGAAACACAAATTGCATCAATAACAAGTCATGCCACGCCGAGTTTCCGGGTATATGTATTTATATATGTAATCGCATCGCATCGCAATCAAATCAATCATGATCCACGCACATCATATCATATCATATCATATCAATTGAAACCAATTGCAAATTCTTTTTTTGCAAAGAAAACAACACACTCATATTCGTAACAAAAATCCCTCCCCACAAGCCTGCCCAAGCCTAAGCAAGCTGCCGTTCAATATTCCTCGGTCCAGTAAGCAACGGCGGCATAGGCACAGGACGACGATACAAGGGGCCATGCGGATTCGGTGGAGGCGGTGGGGGAGGCGGAGGGCGGGCATAACCTATGCCCTGGTGGTGGTGAGGCGGAGAAGGCATGGGATGGCCTTGGCCTTGGGCCGGGTGAGGTGACAGAGCCAGTCGATTAAACTCATCGGGTAAATGCTGGGCTTGGTAGCGGGCGTGCTGCTGGTACTGAGCTGCTGACAGCGGCGGCTGCGAGCCGGCGAACGCGGTAGAGCGGACGGGGGCGCCGGGAAGAGAGATAGCCGAGGCCTTTAGCGTGCGTACGATGTCGTCGAAGGTCACCTCCATCGGTGTGATGTAGGTGGTGTTGCTCTTTTCGGACCAAGCGAGGACGTGGCCGCAGACTCGGCCGGTTGATCTGTCGAAGACCCATGCGCCGGAGTCGCCGGGGGCTGGGTAGATAGTATGTTAGCATCTCCATTTACTCGATACGAACGAGCGATGAAGTCAACAGGTATGTTTTCTTAACGGGTTATCGCGTTAAAGGAAGGAATGGAGGAGGCATGAGGACAAGACGGGGAATCAATCATGACAACAAAGAAAAAGAAACAAAAAGGGTATCTAATTAAGAATCGTAGAGACATAAACATGTGCCCGTCTCGGTGAGTCTCTTACCTCCAAAGTTCCCATTGACGCAAAAGCTCGTCGAAAAGGAGTGTCGGCCATGCAATTTGACCAGGGTCATCGCCTTAGATATCTTGCCCGTCTGCAGCCCGCTTGTCCGTCCGCAGCAGTGAACATACAGGCCGCCTAGATCCTCCATGCGGGCTACTTGGTTGAGAAATATAGGCTGAGAATGCGTCATCGAGCCCGGACGATTGTCGAGGATGATGTTGCGGGGATCCATGCGTGCATCGTCGACTTTGATAAGAGCCCAGTCGATTTCATGCTTGAGGCCTTTCCGCGTCCAGCGTCGAACGCCGGAGGAAGCGTGTACATAGCCCAACGAATGGGATGCGAGATGTTCATCGTCGCGGTCTTCGATGGACGGGAAGAAGTCTTCGTGTACGTCGTCAATGGCGGGTTGTGTGACAAGGAGACGAGGCTCTTCGCCAGGTTCAATGCCGGCCGTGTCGCCAATCGATGCTGTGTCATCATCGTCGTTGTCCTCGCCTTCGACCGACTCTTCGTCCGATGAATCCTCGTCCGAAAGCCAGAACTCGTCGTAGCTGGCATCAAGACTTTGCGACAGAGACGCGTCGTCATCGTCTTCAAAGTCCGAGATTTCAAGCTCTAGCTTCGTTTCCGGTCGGTCGTCTTCAACATAAGTGTGTATAAAATCCGGGTGCGAAATACCAGAGGAATCGCGAGACCTGTTGGCAGCTGATCGAGATGGATCGTCGGCACTATTATCGTCTTCATCGTCACTGGGGGCCTCGAGCATATGATGGACCGTCAGGCCGTACGGTAGGCCATCCACAAGGACAGCACCGCCGTAAGAAACCGGGGGCAGGTGTTCTTCATTTTGAAAGGCGCCGATCGATGCACCACAGAGAGGCCGTTGCTGGTAGCAGGGATTGAGTTCCCGCTGACGAAAGGGCGTTTCGTTCGACCCATTGGGGCGGGTCTTGGCCGGCCTCCGGCGCTTCTTGGGAACCTTGGATCGTTCAATGTCTCCCCGGAGAACGATCAAGTCCCAATCATCCCGTCCCAGAGGGAAATGTTTCTTCAACGCAGACCGAACTTTCTTCACACTGGCGCAAGTTACGCAAATGGTTGTTCGAGCCGTCTCGGGAGACTCGCCAGTCATCATAAGGGTCGCGCCACACGATTCACTAGACTCCTTCAAGATCTTCTGTAGAAGCCGGCTCAATCGGGGCATCATTTGGAAGTTCCATTCCTGGAGATGGTCGTCGGGGATATCGAGGTCTGGGAGTCGCCTAACGGTACGCTTCTTCTTCAGCGCGTCGGTCGGAGTCTTCTCGACTGTGACCGCGCTACTCCAGTCATCTGCGGGTATAGTGGGAAGCTGCTTGTCCAAATGCGCAGAAGGTTGGTACAGGCTCGTCTTTTCGGGCACAGCAGGCTCGGGGGTTGGAACGAGCGCAAGCGGGAGATAGTCATTCAGTTCCTCGGGACGAGGCGCTGAGAATATATCAATCTGGGAGCATGACCACATGATCTTGCAGATAGTATAGAGGAAGTTCATCGAGAAGGCAAATGTCCCGTCGGGCTCGGACAAATCGAGAACTGGGTAGTGATATATTTGAGGAATTCGGAGTTGGAGGTCGCTCATGCCTTGGGTGGAAAGATGAAAGTTGGGCGCATCAAGACACAGTTGCACAGCCTGGAGGTAGGCACTGCCGCACTTGGGGCCAAGCTTCTTGACATAGAGGTCCTCAACGCGGTGCTTGAACCAAGAGCGATCGTACTTCATCTTCCACAGGCGACCAATGGGCGCCCACAGTCCAATTTCCAACAGAACCAAGCCAAGGGAATAGAGATCATAGGCCCAAGCGCCATCATCTTCCAGCGACCTCTTGTCCTCGGGATGGCGGTACATAGCCGTAGCAAGGGGCTCGGGGGTCGGTCCATCGCCAGAGAAGCGTGCTGGGGTGGTGAGGTATGGTCGACGAAGATCAGGGGCGAGACCACTCTCGTCGTTGTTGGCATCGATGCGGCCAGGGAAGAAGATCACATTGCTGCTGTTGATATTTCCATGCACGGCGTTCTGGCTTCTCATATGCAGAGCTGACATCAAGAGATCATACGCCAGGCGGAATCGAGTCTCCAGATTAGGCACTCGTTTTTCACGATAATCCTCTGCGGACGGCAGAAGCGCCACGAGGGGCTTGGGTTTCAACTCCCTCAGTAAATCGCTTGGGTTTTGAAGAAATGGGAAATAGTCGACAGGCATCTGATAGAGAAACGCATAGCGAGCGTTGGGCCGGTCAACGGTGTACCCCAAAAACCGCAGCAGTCCTAAGTGGGCCACGCGAGCATTTTGCAGCAGCTGTTCCACCGACTGCTGCAGCTTTTCTATCCGAGAACTCTTGGAGTCTGTCTGGTTTTGTGCCATCATGGGCATGAACTCAACCAACACGGAGACATGCGATTCCTTGCTGAATTGGAGAGACGGCACTGCCGAAGCCTTCAGGCGACCAATGGCGCGCGAGTTCGACGATGCGGCAACGGCCTCATATGGTGGGGGACTGGGATCCTGGGCGGCACCGAAGAGTTGCAATGCGGATTGATCAATGACGAGATCCTTCGACGGCACGAACGGGTTGGTGGCATCGCGCAGAGGGGCTGAAGTTGGGGGATATGAGAAGGGATCGAGTATTTGGGCGGATTTCTCCTTTAATTCCGAGAACGAGCCATGTGAAGAGGCGTAGGGGGAGGCAGGATTCCGCGTCCGACGCGCGGCAGCGCTCACGCGACTTGAGGACATACTCGAGGCCATTGTACGGCGCGAGCGAGAAAGGTCGTAGAGAGTATCAATGCAGGCCGTCAGGTCGCTCAGGATCGTCTTCGAGCGGCTGATATCGGCGTCGGTCCACTGGGTTTTGAGGGGCAGGCTGCTGAGAGCGTCCTTGGAGTCGACCTTGCTTTCCTTCGAGGACAGAATAACCGGCGCTGTTTCGATGTGCTGCACTCGTTCTGCCTCGTTGAGCAGATCCTGAATGGAAGACATGACGCTCTCTACCACATCACTAAAGCCCGCAGCTGTCAGCGACTCGTCGATGTCATTCGGCTGGGCGGCGCTGGCGTCGCTCCAGTCCAGGCCCCAGGCCAGCAGCCGATCTCTTTGTTTCTGGAAACTCTGGTGTAAGGCAACGAGCTCCGGGTCGTCGAGGGCTTTGGAGGCAGTCGTGACGCTCTCGCAGGAGGTCTTGGTATCGGTGTACAGCTTCGTGAGACGCCGCTGGAGGAAGCCGCCTCCTCCATGGCGGAGGACGGACATTATGGTGGGCGATGCGGGAAGGGACTGTATTCGGGGAGGGAGGGGATCTCGCGAAGAAGAATTAGCAACCCATTGCGGGGAGGAGATGAATGCTGAAGGCAAGTAGAAAGCAGAGCAGATGTGGGTGCCTGATGGCGATAACGGATAATCTAACGCTGTTGCCTAACCAATCACACAATACTCTGCGGGTCATCGAGTGGGTCACGTGGCAGGCAGCCGCAATCTGGGCTTAGGTAAGAATGCACACAGCCACAGGCATTAACTAGTTCAATGATGGAAGAGTGTACATGCAGACCATGAGAATAATGCCCCAGGGTGGGGGGCTACAGAAATAAGAAATTCAAAGGAAAATGCGCTTCTATCCATTCCGTCACTCGGTGATCACCCGCCGCGATACACCGACATCCCGCGCCCGCTTCTCGCTGAAGTTGTGCAGGCGCTCCCCGATGAGGTAGACATCGTCGCGGATGTCGATGCGCCAGAGAGCCACTTGGCGCCGGACCAGATGCACGGTCCACAGAGCTAGACCCAGGAGCAGCGTGGCTGGGTACGCGTACCGGTAGATGTCCGACGGGAGCTCAGGGCGGGAGGTGAACATGGCCCACCGCACGCAGAAGCCCACCGATAGAGGCAGGGCCGTTGCGACCACAGTGAAGAGAATGACTGGGAGGACCAGGGCGCGGGTGGCCAAGGTGACATTCGGTCGGAACCAACAGTCATGGAAAATGCCGTTGAGGATGGCGGCCGCCCAGGAGTGGGGATGCCATAGGGTCAGCTTGATGGCCATTTGGACGTAAAGCACGCCGAGGGTCCAGTCTTGGACGAGGTGGACGACATGGGAGTGGCCACCGTCGAAGAACGTGTGCATCGGGATGAGAAGATACAGCTCGCTGAGGAGCGCAAATAGAGACGGGAGGAGAACGACAAACACGGCTGCGATGTAAAGGAGCCGCGCGGCATCGGCCGTCACAGCGGCAAGGGCCTGTCCAACCTGTCGAGGGTTGTGAAGTAATGTCGCCGCCTGCTCGCGGAGCAGGCCAAGGATGGTGCGACAGTGGAAGGCGATGTAGGCAACTCCTCCCGCCACACACAGGCCGCAGGAGAAGGCATAGACGTCGTTCACGGGTACCGGGTTCGACACGCAGGATGAGATGATCTTGCGGCCAATGACCAACGGGATAATGGTGATGCCTACCCCGGTGGTGGCGGCGAACAGCCAGATCAAAAGAATAAAGGCAGCAACGCGAGTCCGGAAAAATGGCGGAATGTAAACTCGGGTGAACGAGTTGCTGGACCGGCCATGAAGCCCATCGTCCGGGTCAGGCTTGCCATCGACCCGTTCATTCTCTTCGGTCACCTCCACGAACACCCGTGTCCCCTTGGGAATACGGACCTGATCGGAAGCAGGAGCTCGAACGTATCTGCCATCCCGCACAAAGTAAGCGTCGCGATTTTCTTGTTCGGCCACGGCTCGCTGATCCTCGCCGATGACGGGGTTTTCCCAGTCGCCCTTGCGTCCTACTAAGACACCCCACCATGACCGCCGGACATGATGGCCCTCTTCTTCCAGGTGTCTCTCAGGGAAAAAGAAGTTGCTGAGACGCAAGAAATGGGCGCACTTGTGGAACCACCAGTCATACAGATCGTGCAGTCCGTCGGACGGCTTGAGTGACCGGACTGCCAGTGGCAGGACAAAATTGTAGAACAGGAGATCGACCGGGAATTCAAGCATCGGAGCACTAGAAGACCAATTGAGGGGAAGGACGCCGTCGACAGCAAAATGCAGGCCCCATACAACCCCGCCGAGGAAGACGATCACCAAAGCACCGTAAACTAAGGCACTAAACCCGATCTTGCGTAGTTGAGTAGTAATGCTGCGCTCGAGGACATCACGAATGGGATGAAATGTTGGATCATCCGGATCACGAATGAAATCTGTGGATGAAACTGTCAGCACAGCTTTAAGAATATTGCATCATGTACTTACAAAGAACACCGCTCCGCAGAATCTTTCGGCACATGGAGACAAATAGCGCGAAGTGAAACATATAGCAAGTCCCAATGAACCAGTGCACGAAAAGGGAGGTGAGCGGGGATCGGGCAGTAAAGGCGATGCGGGATGCGATTGTGGCACTGGAGAAAAGGGGCAGCAGAGCAACATCTAGAAGCGTGCCGCAGTAGAGAGGGAAGACAATCATCTCTATCCCGATGATGAGAATGACTTTCATGACGCCCCCTGCTTGTAGGAGAATCTCAGCGAATATGCCTTCAATCCGCTGGCCGCGACTCGCCCCGGACAAGAATCCCGTAATCCGAAGATAGAGGAGTCCCATGATGCTGGCAAGTAGATAGCCCATCAAGATGGCAATGATGCGGTCTTTGGTGTCCCATACAGCCAAGTCATAATCAACGGGTATTGTAGCCGCAGCTGTCTTGGCCACATCTCCATTCATGAAACTTGTGCGAGATATGGAAGATTTTGTGAGATTGCTGAGCTGTTGCCATGCTAGCCCAATAACCTCCTTAGACTGAGACATATTCGAGTTGAATGAGAATGAACCCGAAAATCCGAGAGTGGCAAGGCGAAGAGGAAGATCATGCACAATAAACTTGATGAAGGTCAAACCCGATTGGAATACCGCAGACATGCGGGCTTGATGAAGCCTGAGCGCTTGGTGTGAAAGAATAGAAAACATGGGGATATCAGTCTGGTGAAACATGAGGAAAGACTTGACGACATTGTGCAAGCGGTTGCTGCTGGCGTCGATCAGAGAAAGCGATGCACTCGTGATTGATTTGCCTCGAGGAATCCATTTTCCAATGGGGATAACGGCACCGAAAGGACTCAGCGCAAAACTCAGCCCGTACATCAGGTAGCCCAGACTGCCAATCAGTGTGTCGAGGGCAATGTCCGCGACCACGGTGATAGCGGTCATGGGAACGCCGATGACAAGCTCCACGGGATTGGCCAGGAGAACGAGAGCGATCTTACCCCACAGGTACGGCAGCCAGATTCCCAGGGCTACAGTGAAGGCTATCAGAAGCGCACAGAAGACACCGTTTTGCAACAGCCCGAAGATGGGACCTTGCATGCCAATGAGGTCCATGATGCCTTCGAAATCGTCGCCTTCGATGGCATCCATATCATTGGCATCCATACCAGCGTCTCCAGCGGCCGCAATGTCACCGTCGGCCTGTGCGTCTTCGGCGCGGGGTTGCAGGGGCACAAAGGGATCCTCCAATGCTGGGTCTTGGACGATCTGTTCGTCATCTTCCGGCACTGGTTCTAATGCATCATGATTGACCGGAGTAATATCCCCCCAGAACCAATCAAAGAGCCGCTCCACAGCCCCCTGTGGATGGTGAGGAGTATCTGTCTCGCGGTTCTCGGTAGCTGAGGTGTTTGCAGCGGCTGCTTCGTTATTGGTGACCGGTTGCTGGTCGTCGTGAGCATCGGTGGGCTGCGTCGGGCCAGTATTGTCACTGTTGGAGGGACCAGACGGCTCTGCGTGTTCATTGTCGACATTTTCAGGTGCACGAGTGCTAGACTCTGCCGCTTGAAACGATGGCTGTCCAGCCAGCGGTGATGCCTGGGTCAGTGGTGTTGGTGTCAGCGCGTCCACGAGCCAGCCCAGCTCATCCTCTAGACCTTCCTCCTGAAGAATTCGAAACATTTCATCACGATTGCCGTTGGCTCGGGCATAAATCTCTCGGACGTGACTTACTCGCCCAGTGTGAGAACCCGGACGAGAGTCAGGGACACGGGCACCGAACGGATCACCTTCAGAATGAGCTGCAGACGAGGCATTGGAATCACTCTCTGCATCACTCCATGAGGGGGCCGGAGAATGCGCGCGGGCGTCGTCATCTGGGTCATGGCCGTGAACGCCATGTTCTTGATTTACATGGTTTTCGGCGTGTTGACCGAACAGGGGTCGGGGAATCCCTTCTGCGTCCTGTTCATCCTCAGGGCGGTTGTTAGCAATCAGGTTGACAGCGGCCTCGCGCTCTCCATCTGCAATGTTCGCCATGGGCTGCTGTTGGACAACCCACTCGCGGATGAGGAAGAGTAGGATGAATGCAACCACCACGAGCAGCGTGATCAATTGGCCTTCCAGGGTGTCGATGATCATGTTGTTGATGGTAGGGTAAGGAGTCAAGGAATTCAGGAATTTCACATCCGAGAGCCAAGATGGATGTCGAGGTTTGACCAGGTTGGTTGTTGCGTTACCTGAGCTAGAATCGCCTTGGCCTCCGGTCGAGGTGAAACCAGGTATGAGTAGGGCGGGAATGATTTTTTTGATTATGGTGAGCATGAAAGGCTCGCCTGCGGTGACACTCGGCATAGATGACTGCGCTTGGGGGACAGCGCTAGCAGCAGATGATGCGGCATGGGTGATGGTCGACGTTCCCGCGTACTTGGTCGTGTATGTTGATCCGGCGGAGTCGGTAAGGATCTCATTGACAGCGTATGTGATCAATTGAGTAGCGCCATCCTGGAAAGTTCGCATCACCTGGCGCTGACCAGTCTCAGTGCCTGACCAGCGGCCATCAGCAAGCCAGAACAGCGCTCGCCAGATCGCACGCATCGACCACGGCAGCCACGCCAGCCACACAAATGCCACGAGGAGGAAGCGTAGCCACGTCACAAGGGTCCGAAAGCTCTGGATAAAGGCCTGTCGCAGGAAAAGAGGGGCCGGTAGGCTCTGGGGCATATTCGGGTCGTAGAGCTTGGTGAAACGGAAGGGCGTTTTGCAGAGCTCGCAGTGTTTCTTCTGGGAATGTGATAGCCATTCGACCAGGCACAGTTGGTGCACGAATTTGATGCTGCCACTGCACTTGCACGGGTAGAACAACGGCTCTTCCTCGGTGGCTTCGCCATGGCAGATGCGGCAGGTGTCCTGGTCCTCCATGCCCTTGTCCCGTGGATCGTAGGCTGGGTCGTTCATCAGGTCAGGAAACCCAGCCGAGACCGCAAGGCGGCGGCCCTGGCTGTCGGCCATGTCCATCGTGGTGGCGCCAATCCAACGGGACCTCTCTCAGTGGATCAGCATGGTCCCAGCCAAGCGTGAAGGGAAATATTGACGAAGCCGGGGAGGGCGGGGAACGGGAGGGGGTAGTGAATTCAGCTCTATGATCGGTGGAGTTAGGTCAGTGCTCCATTGCAAGAAGTGAGAGCGATGCACACACTCACGACAGGCTGTTTGCTCGCAAGGCGCAGGTTCCCAATCAGGCAGTGGCGCCAGATGTTGTAGGGCTGACTCAGCCAAATTACCACTTCGGACCATATTACCACCCTGCATCGACGGAATCACATGGTAATCGTGTAATTACCAGACGGGCCTCCTTTCGGTGCGCGATGACCTCACCGATGGACTGACGCCAGCCTAGAGAAACCATAGTCCTTTTCCAGTTTATCCAGTGTAAGGACCTAGGACCTGCCTAAGCGACGAGGTAGTAGGGGCTGCTGTCGGCTAACGACTGGCCGATTTCTCTCTCTTTCATCTACTCTTCACATCTGATCCTCCGACCGACCGCGGCCCGCGCGCAAAGACCAGTGCTAGCGCCCGAACGACGCGAGACATTCCCAGTCCTTTTCCTTCGACCACCAAAAACATAGGTTCCAAGCTCCAGCTCTCGCTCACCACATAGCCCAACCCAGTGGGACCATCGCACTCTCTTCCCCGGATGAAACAATAAGCTCAGTTTCACGTGCTCCGACACTCACTGTGCCGGGTTGATCCTGAGAGGTCTGTCTCGGGCGCTCAACAACCATCATGCCAGCAGCAACAGAGAACGGCCATGCGCCAGAGGGCGGGGCCAAACCCGCGCAGAGGGTCCAAAAGAGCAAGAGTCCGTTACGCTGGACGATCGGCCTGGTGGTCCGGTGAGTATCTGTCGGATCAAGTCCCTATCTGTTCTCTCAAACTGACCGTCGGACTCGATTAGGCTCTGCATCTGGTACACGCTGCTGACCCCATTTCTACGATGTCCGTCAGATCTCTCACAGCTGGACGAGTCGTCGCCTCGGGTCTGCAAGCCCTACTTGATCGCACGTTCGCATGTGGAGCCCTATGTCACGCCCTATTACAACACGTATGCGGCGCCGTACATGGACCAGGCATGGCCGTACGTGGAAGTGGTCCACGAGCGGCTGTATGTGCCAGCGTCGGGCGTGGCTAAGCTGGGCTACGACCGCTACGGCGCACCTGCACTGGGACATGTGCAGGACTTTGGCGCGCAGCAATGGAGAACCCAGGTGATGCCGGTCGTGCAGACGGCTCAGGATAAGGCGAATGGGCTCTACATGGCTCAAGTGGACCCGTATGTCCAGCAGGGTCTGAATGTGGTGTCGCCATACTACCAGAAAGCAAACGCCGCGGCCTCCACCGTTTACTGGGACCACTTCGTGCCCTTCTACACCCAGTCCAAACCCTTCATTGGGAAGACATACGCCACCGGTCAGGATATTCTGGCCACTCATGTAATGCCTGGTGTGCAGTATACCTGGTCGTCGGTGGTCTACTTTGCCAACAGCTCCTTGTGGCCTCGTGTCACAGGCCTCTATTCCGAACAGGTTGAGCCCCAACTTGTCAAGATTGGACAGCGCCTGGCGAGCTATCGAGAGGGCAAGAGACTGCGTGCTGTGGTGGAGGACATGGACAGCAGTTTCTCCGAGCAGCCCGTCTCAACAGTTCCCGTGTCGGAGGAAACGGAACGCACATCGAGCACCACCACCACCACGACTTCAACAGCCACCCTCGAAGTTCAACCACCGCCGCCCCCTGCCCCTACACTGTCGCCTACCGAGCAAGCACAGCAAGATCGCGAGCGAATCGACTCTGATCTTCAACGGTGGCAAAGCAAGTTTGCCGCCGCGGCTGATAAAGGCATTGAGGACCTTGAAGAGCGCATCGACACAATTGTATCTGCCCTCATTGCTAGCAGCGTGAAAGGTCATGGTGAAAGCCTGTCAACGGCGCTTGAAACCGTCTCCAGCGAACGGGTCTCCTCGCTCAAACAGCACATCAATGAGATGGTAGAGTCCTTGCCGGAGGAAGAAGCGCCAGAAGCTGAAGAAGCCGCTCTTGAGCAGCTTGTTGGTGATATCCGGCAGTCAGCCATCTCCGTTAGAGACCGCGCCCATGCACTCCGTCAATGGTACCTCGGATTTGATGATGAGCTCATGCGGCGCGTTTCCTCCGCGGTCAATTCGACCCTGGATGTTCTTGACAGCATTCGTGATCTCGGATTGCAGGAGATCGGTACCCGCTGGGCGTGGATGGACAGCGTGACCTACGCGGATTGGACAAAGTACCATGCGCTCAAGGCACAACTGGAGGACTGGCGGAATGAAATCCGCGAGGTTGGCGTCCACCACAAGTCGGTGGCTGAGGCCAAGTCGGTGGCGAACGAGATTCTGGACCATGCAATGGAAATCGCGGAACAGACAGCCAAGGAACTGGTCAGACTCAAGGATGTCGGCCAGTGGAAGATGGCTGCTCGCGAGGTCAGCGACAACTTTGACACAAGGACTGAACCCCCGCCACCGCGACCACAGCGTGTTGAGGAGACCGAAGAAGAGTCTGAAGAGAATGCTGAAGGTGACCTCGACGACACTTCTGAGTCTCATTCGGATAACGCTGCGACTGCTTCTGAAGATGTGGAGGATATTGTGCTCGAGTCCGAGAGCCCCGAACCTACCGCCGACGAAGATGTTTCCGACAACACGGATGAAGCCTCTGACTTCGACATCGAGGACGAGATCCCACATCAGTCCGTCGTGTCTGACGAAGCTGGCGAGCACCACAAAACTTTCTCCAGTGTGCCTTCTTGGGGAGTTGCCGCCGCTGATGTGGGATCTCAACAAGACCCCATTCTGGATGATGACGACCAAGACCGATGGGAAAGCTGGGCCAGCCAAGTCGACGACAAAGCAAGCTCGGTGATTGCTCCTTTGGCTCACATCTCGTCCATTGCGTCGTCGCGGTTGAGTGAGGGTCTTAGTTCGGCTTCGGTGCATGTGGCTCAGATCCGACAGCCGGCGACTACAACGGAAGCTGCCGGTGTCTTCCCCTATGTGCTGGACGCCCAGCGCCGCTACTACGAGGCAGTCGGGCTAGCGCATGATCACTACAGTGTCTTCATTTCTACTGCCTCTCAAGCAGTTTATGGCACTCCTACACCCACTCCTGCCCCCAGGTTCCAAGGTATTATTGAAGAGGCCGGATCCCAATATGAGCACGCATCCTCGCTGGCCTCTGCCAGTCTCTCCGCCGTCTTGGCGTCTGCAAGCTCTCTCGTCTCCGAGGCAGACGATAGCAAAGCACGGAGTATTGTCAACGAGGCAACGTCTCGGTACAAGGCTGCCCTCTCTGCCGCTTCGGCCACGTTGTCCATGGCTTCTGCGTCTGCCAGCTCCGCTATCTACGGAACCCCGACCGGCACCATGGAGGCGCTTGCCAGCCGAGCATCCGACAACTGGGAAAGCCTGGTCTCCAAGGCCAGCGAACAAGTCTACGGCACTCCCCCGCCGTATCTCCAGCAGGTGGTGAATGACCGCCTGGCGCAGTTCGAAGCTGTCCAGGAGCTGGTGTCTGAGCTCGTTATTGGCAAGCAACCTTCTTTCACCGAGAGTGTGATGAGCAGGCTGCACGCTGCCTACGAAACCCCTTACCCAGCCGCTGCCGTGTCCTCTGCCTCGAGCTACATTTCAGAAGCTTATGAATCCGTGTCTTCAGCCGCTGCTTCTATCGCGAGCGAGGTGCCTACCGTCGAGGATGTCGTTGACAACGTGAATCAACAAGCCCATGCGGCCGCTGGAGCCATTAGTGCCGGTATCTACGGCACCCCGAAGGGTTCATTCGAGCAGGCGACGGAAGCAGCAGCTGATGCGTACGCCGCGGTATCCGCCAGCGCCAGCAGCGCCATCTACAGCCAAGAGCCCGAATACATGCAGATCGCCCGGGACGCGATCAAGACCATCCGACTTAAATATGAAGCCGCTATCTCCGGCGATGACACCGGAGCAGTCGATGACCTTTCTTCAGCACTCCAGAGCGCCAAGCTCCGGCTGCACGAACTCGCTTCCAGCGCAACAAGTGCTATGTCTGACGCAGCCGAAACGGCCTCGTCGCATGTGGACGACATGACCAGTAGCCTCCGGGGCGAGGATGCCGCCGAAACGGGCAAGGATGAATTGTAATTGGGAATTTAACCTGCACAGACGAGCAAGCAGGCAGTGCAGCCCTTTTTCATTTTCTGTTTCTTCATTTGTCTTGTCACCCAACCTAACTTGTGTTTTTATCACCCTGCTGCCCTCAACCCATCTCCCCATCCTCCCACCATCCCAAGATGAGATCGGATGGCCCCTCTCTCTTTCGGGATTGATTCCCCATCCGGTTTGCCCACGATATAGTGGCCGACTATATTCATGATTTGCACATGCACAGTGTTTGTGATTTTCGATCATCTTGCCTTTTTTCCCCTGTCTGGTTCTCTCTATGTACTCTCTCCTGCTTCCTTGTCGTTTCGTTTCTCTCACAGGCAGTGAGTGTATTTTCGGTTTCGGGTTCTTTTTCCCTGTGGTGATTGTTTCTGTGTAGTAGGGAGGGAGGGCATTGCCTGGGTACATAATGAGAAATGGTCCTTTGATTGTCTGACTGTGTTAGGAAGAAATGGAGTGTAGTCATGCAGACCTGCCTCATACACAAGGTGATCTTTGTATACTCAAGGAGCCGGGAGGAGCTGCGGAAGCCATCTCATCAGAATAATTCAGGTTCTCCAGCTCCGCTCGCCCGGTGAGGTGCAGGAACTGCGGATTTCTTGCTGTACAGCAGACCCTTTCATCCAGACATCACTCCTCTGTTTACATCCCACTCTACCGTGTCTTATACCGAGGCCCCCTCTTCTCCTTCTTCAACTCCCGCTTGCTCTTCGCTTCCACAGAACCCTCTTCCTTGTCACCGCCACCACCAGCCATCCCCGCAAAGCCCTGCTTCACACCCATGAAAGTGGTATACACCGCATACACCGAGTACAGCGGAATCACAATGGCAAACCACCAGCCCCGATTTCCAATAATCAGAACCGTGCACATGCAGATCCACGTCCAGTAGACCACATCCCACAGGTACTCCGTCAGTCCCGAGGCACTGAGGTCTGCACCAGCGGTGCGCAGAGAGCCATCTGCATGGTACCGGGGTCGGCCAATGTAATCGAGGGCAACTTCAAGAGCCAGATTGGGGAGAATGCCCAGGATCAGGTATGGTTTCAGGGAATAGCGGTTGAAGAACCATAGCGCGAGCAGGAAGAACGTGTGCAGCACGGCAGAGATGAGGTGGGTTTGGAGGAGGCGCGCCGAATTGCGGGTGGCCAAGGTTTTTGCTGCTTTCTGCTGGGGGTTAGCAAGTTCTTTGGTTATGATTCCACGCAAAACCATACCTGGGCCATGGTGACAGCAGGTCGTTGAGGACGGTCTTGTAGTTCCAGTTGATCCGCTCGTTGCCCTCCACAACACTCACCGCCCGGCAGAACCACCCGCCGTGCCAGCTCCATCCGGCACGAACGCAACCCCATCATAATAATACCGACACGCAGTCTATCACCCGCGCCCTTCTGCCCTCCAACACACTGGCAGCAATGTCTCTGGCTGGCTAGGCGAGGACTGTGTTTTGCCGGAGGTTTCTCTTTTCTTTTCTCTTTCTTGCTCTCGCTCTGAACCCTGTGGGACCCATTATTTCCGGTTCCAGTCTACTTACATTCCTCCGTGACTGTCCACAGCCCGATCAAGATCGGTGGATCCCCTCCCCGTCTGCAGAGTCTTCACACAAATTTTGGGGAGGTATCTCAAAGGTGTCTTGCAGGTGTTGATGGATTGTCTGCTTCCGCTGCCCCGATCTCCCCCATCGCGTCGTTGCTTCCTCCCCGCGTGTCGTAGCGCTTCCCAGAAACACAGGGCCTGGAAGCGCTGTCTGGACTGACCCGCCGTGGACACAACCTCCGGTCAGCTTATTCGAGCTTCCGGATCACTTTGACCCTTCGTCGCCTCGCCTGTCTCCCTCGCTTCCCGCCCCATCATGGCCCTCGCGACAGGGCACGTCGCCGGCCAGTTGCGGCACCTCATCTACTACCACCTCGACAACAACCTGATCCGAAACGCTCTCTTCCTTGCTGGACGTCTTCATGCCTATGAACCGCGATCCTTCGAGGCCCAGTACCTCCTTTCCCTCTGCCATCTTCTCGGTGGCGAAGTCAAGGCCGCCTTGGAGTGCAGCCAGAGCTCTGGCTCACGGGGCCTGCATGCAGGCTGTGCATATGTTTACGCTCAGGCGTGTCTGGATTTGGGCAAATACATCGACGGCATCACGGCACTGGAACGCAGCAAAAGCCTCTGGGGCTCAAAAAACCACTGGAGTAGGTTTTTGACGTCTCTGTTTTGTTGCCCACTGCTAATACACCAGCTCAACTAGATAAACACAGTGAAACACACCGACAACATCTACCGGACGCGGCGGCGGTCTTCTCTTTACTCGGAAAGCTATGGCATGCTCATAAAGACTTGAACAAGGCGGTGGATTGCTATGTGGAAGCTCTGAAACTCAATCCGTTCATGTGGGATGCTTTCCTCGGGCTGTGTGAGACGGGTACGTTGACCTCTTTTTACCGACCCGATTGTCTACTAATCTTGTGCCAGGCGTCAATATCCGTGTTCCTAATATCTACAACCTCAGCCCGGAGCTCCTCGCCATTATATCGTCGTCGTCCCCGGAGGAAAAGGATACCTCATCGGATCATCCCGCACCAGGAGAAGGTCCGTTTTCCGTGCAAACAGCCAGCAACCCCAGTGCCGACCCTTTTATGGTTCCTACATCTCGGGTCGATTCCGAGACCACTTTTGGAAGTTCCGCTCTTTGGGAGAAACTGAATGGCAGCTCCGTTAGTGTTGCAGCTGTTGCGCAACCTGTCATCCATGAGGGAGCTCAGACCCCCCAGAGCAGTGGATCTGAGGAGTTCCGCATTGCGAATGGAGTCACCGACCCAGAGTCTGCATGGGAACCCCCACTGGCTCCGGCTAGGAAGAACCGCACAATCCAAACTCTCAACATGGACCATCCCGTAAATCCTCCACCAAAAATGCGGCCAACGGGCATCCGCCCACGGCCCAAAACTCGAATTGAACCAGACGATCAACCTGCCGAACGTGAACCTCCGCCTGCACCCAGAATGGCAGATCGCAAACGTACAGTCTCTGGCCAGGTGGCTCACCCTCAAGCTCAACAACCAACGGAACCCGGAGCTCCACAACGCCGGAGCGTGCGATTGTTCAATCAAATCAAACCTACCACGAGCAAACTCTCCAACACCACACTAGCCGGAAGAGATGGGCGGGAAATGAAAAAGATCCGGGGTATCAGCTCAAGGAGCCGTCCTGGGACCACTTCGACTGTTGGCCGCGTCGTGAGCGGCAACCGGAAACCCATGGAGGCCACAGATGCCGATGGCAAGGACAATCGCCTAACGTCGGTGCCACCCGTCCCACCTTTGCCCAGAAATTCCGAGAAATCCAAGGATATTGAGGCCTTGAATTGGCTCCTGGGGCTTTTCAACAAACTTGCCTCTGGCTATTTCGCTTTGAGCAGGTACAAATGCCCAGATGCGATCCAGCACTTTGGTTCGCTCTCCCAGGGTCAACGTGAAACGCCTTGGGTTTTGTCTCAGCTTGGTCGAGCGTACTTTGAGCAGGCCATGTATGCCGAGGCTGCCAAGTATTTCTCTCGAGTCCAGATCGTGGCGCCCTCCCGGCACGAGGACATGGAAATCTATTCGACTGTGCTGTGGCATCTGAAAAGTGATGTTGAGCTGGCTTACTTGGCGCATCAGTTGCTGGAGTCGGACCGGCTGTCACCACAAGCGTGGTGCGCCATCGGCAACTCATTCTCCCACCAGCGGGATCACGACCAGGCTCTGAAATGTTTCAAGCGAGCCACGATGCTAGACCCGGAGTTCGCCTACGCGTTCACTCTCCAGGGACACGAGTATGTTGCCAATGAAGAATACGACAAGGCTCTTGATGCCTACCGGCACGGAATCAACGTAGATAGCCGGCACTACAACGCATGGTACGGACTTGGCACGGTGTACGACAAGATGGGCAAACTTGACTTTGCCGAGCAACATTTCCGCAACGCTGCCAGCATCAACCCGACAAACGCAGTGCTCATCTGCTGCATCGGGTTGGTTCTCGAGAAGATGAGTAACTCGCAAGGCGCCCTGATCCACTACAGTCGGGCGTGCTCACTCGCACCGCAGTCGGTGTTGGCTCGATTCCGCAAAGCCCGCGTACTCATGAAGCTGCAAGAGTACAAGTATGCTCTGCAGGAGCTGACGATCCTCAAGGACATCGCGCCCGATGAGGCGAACGTGCATTACCTGCTCGGCAAACTGTACAAAATGCTCAAGGACAAGGCCAATGCAATCAAGCACTTCACGACCGCCATGAATTTGGATCCGAAGGTATTTTCCTTTTTCTTCTGTGGTTTCCTTCTCGCTAACCCCCCTTCTCCATAGGCTCAACAGTATATTAAAGACGCAATGGAATCCTTGGATGATGAAGAGATGGAAGATGACGACATGGCTTAGACCCCGTGTCTGTCCTTTTTGTTCTTTCTGTTTTTGGTCCCCCGGCTCACCATACCCTGGCGTTTCGATTGCACATCAGCATTGCGGGGAGTTGTTTTTGTTGCTTGTTTATTTCTGCGTTTTGCTTAGAAAATCCGGTCTGCATCGGCACGGAGGGTGTTGAGCTTTGTACATTAGCGTGGGCGCGCTTACACATGATGATGATGGACTGCCTTGGGCATATAGCATAATCGGTCATCCTTACTATCTGTGTTTCCCTCTGTACGGTTCCCTTTTTGATGCCGTCACCTGCCAGGGTCAGCTGATGGCGGTGGGTCGGGGCAGAAAAAAGCCACCGGCTTTCTTCCCCGAACATCTCCCACTGTTTGCCTCGACGTCCATATCCCCTCTACTCCTGGTCATAGCCGTGTCTTCTTGAGTGGTTTACACTCTGTGCTTTCGCTTATCTACTTTTTCTCTTCTGCGTTGCTCCCTAGACTCGGCAACAACTGTCTCCCTCTCCGGTGATTTTCGAGTATGAACCCCACACCCTACCGGGATATGTTTCCCAGACTGACCACCGACCTTCCGTACAGTACAGTCGCAAAGTCCCACCACCATGTCAATTTGCTCGTATATCCTACGAGGCATCGGCTCATTCATTGTCGTGACCCTCTCTCTCTTCGCACTGGGCCAAAAAGTGCCCAAAGCCGCCTTCCTCGCCCGCTGTTTAGCCGCCTACGGCTCCCTCCTCCTATGCGCCGCCTACGGCGTACTCGCGTCAATCGTCCTCCGTCTGTTCGGCTACGGCCGTGTCTCACAATGGGCCACAGCGCGCAGCTTCAAGTTCGTCATGCGGTACACGACCGGTGTGAAGTTCGAGATCGTCGAGGGCCAGGAACACCTCTCTACGCGCCCCGCCGTCTTTCTCGGAAACCACCAGTCGGAGCTGGATGTGCTGATGCTCGGATACATCTTCCCACCGTACTGCAGCGTCACGGCCAAGAAATCGCTGAAGAATATCCCCTTCCTAGGCTGGTTCATGACTCTCTCGCGCACGGTGTTTATTGATCGCGCAAACCGTGAAACGGCAATGAAGGCTTTTGATGGCGCCGTCGAGGAGATGAACACGCATCGCCAGAGCGTGTTTATTTTCCCCGAGGGGACGAGGAGCTATTCCGACGAGCCGACGCTGCTGCCCTTTAAGAAGGGCGCCTTCCACCTGGCTGTCAAAGCGGGCGTGCCCATCGTGCCGATTGTGACGGAGAACTACGCGCATGTGCTATCACCCCGTATGGGACGGTTCGAGGCGGGGACGATCAAGATCAAAGGTGTGTTGTGTTCCGGTATGCCTGCCAGGGTTTATCGCTAATCAGATTTATATTAGTTCTGCCTCCTATCCAGACCAAGGATCTCACCGCGGCCGATGTCGATAGCTTGACCCTGTCGACGCGCGAGTCCATGCTTAGCACCCTGGTGGAGATGGCCCACGCCAACAAGGAGAAGATCAATGCTGCTCGCGGCGCGGCCGTCTCTACCGCTGTCGAAATCTAATCCGCGAGGGCAGCACTATCGCGATCCACACCGCATAAGAAAAAGAGAGGAACTACTATTGTCCTGTCTTCTATGGAACAGCAGTATCCATCTACATGCTGGACCATATATCTGCAAAGCGCTATCTCGTACAGCAGCTGCAGAACTGAGGTCGCATTCCACTCTTCAATCGGGAAACACACGCTTTCTCCCCTCCTTTCCACCTCGGTATATATATTCCCTCTATCCCTTCCTGCCACTGGTACGATCCAGTATTATTCCATATCCCTTACCTACCTTACTCTACTGGAGAAGGCATACACTACCCCCACTCTTGTCTTCCCGACTTTCTTCGGGATTCCCAGTACTCAATGCTTTAATTCGCCGCTCCGAATTGTATATATTTTAGCATAAATAGGAGGCTGCAGACCGAGCCTTAAAGTTCAGTCTGCGAGATTACAGAGTTGAGAGTGGTGAATCGATAGAGAACGATTTAAATCCCCAAGAGTACGTCAACAAGGCAGTAAGCTCGCGACTGATCAATTTCCCTTGGTATTGGTATACTTCAAAAACATTCATGGACGCTACGCTAAAACATCTGACCCATTATATCAAACGCCGAGCCTTTCATTCATAAGATGCCGTCAGCGAAGGAAGGGAATAACGGTCGTCGAACATAACTTGGGAATGCAGTATCCTAAAACTGGGCCAACGAGCCCAATTTTATCGTACTGCTACCCTCGCATATGGTGAGTGAACGCTACGGGCCAGCCAACGGATCAGTTGGGCCTGCCGAGTCTGGGCCCGCAGAGCCAGTCGGCAGGTTTTGCATTAATTGGCTTCCTTCAAACGCATTAGACGATGATTGGGACCTTTTATTTTGACGACTGGCGGACGACTTTTCTCGATTATGAGCGGCGAAAGCTGTGAGAGCTGGAAGACAGGCGCAGATGAGCCCAATGCCCAATTCTGCGTTTCTGTGAAGAGCTTAGCTTTACCTCCAACAGGAAGAAATTGCCTAGCTTACCCTGTCAGTATGGATCTCGTAAAAGCTACCGTATTATGGCGGTTATCCCTCTCATGAATTCCAATCACAAGCCGCAAGAGACTGAACCCAACGGCCACGCCTCCAAGCCCTAGAATGCATACCACTCTGACCTTTTTTCGGATTGGCATTTGCAGTGACCAGGTCAAAGCCACTGGAAATGCGAGAATTGCAACGTCTGCCACAAAGTCGACGGTCGAATCTGCGATGATAATGCTAGACTGTCTCCGACAAGTCGCATGGACTCTTTCGGATAAATCCCAATAGGCTGAGACTGGAACGCAGGTGAAGATCTTGACAAACATAATGATAAAATAGTAGCAGACAACCACGCCAAGAAGACAGTACATGGAAATTACTCCAACGTGGTGGGGATGGAAGACCCTTATCAAGATATAGATCAGACTGGATTTAACAAAGAGCGCCGTCGGTGAATATAGCGCTGTAGCAACGTAGGCGATCTGTAGATCCCGTTAGTGATCCAGATATCTTATAAATTCAAGGGTTAAAGATTGATTTTTCTTGCCTTGAGGCATTGTTCAAAATCATGGAGACTTAGTTCAGCGGGTGGCTTGGTTCCCCCCGCGAACCCATCTGCAAATTATAGAAGGTTAACCCGATTCTAAAATTTGAGAAACCCAAATTTAGGTCAAACGTACATATTAAAGCATTGGCGCAATACCCCATGAATAAGGCCTGATCATGTGGGACCGTTAGTCGATCATATCTGGTCTGGAGGAAGTTGCGCCATACCCATCCGAGAAAACAAGCAACTATCAAAATTAGTCAATATGTAAATTGCTTTTTTCAGTAGCTTTCTTACCGTCATCGTAACCCAGCACCCGTATTACTCTCCATCGAATGAAAATTCGGAGAAACACTAATGGCGTCACAATAATGAAACAAAGGATCTGGGTGGCATAGTTGACCAAGAACAGAGGATTACCACTGCTAATGGTAACTGACATAGGCAGTAGTGCGCTAGAGAATGTTGCAAAATTGAAAGATCCTGGAGTTTCTGATCTGAATCGATTTGAGGTTTCGCGACTTGTAGTCAGTTATTGTCTCAACGTAGAGCTTAGTCATTGCCACTGTGACGTCGACAGTGCTGAAAGTGTACCACGTACCACGGGTTGCCGTGCTATATTTGATATTTAAAAGGACTAATTATACTTTAGATATGTTGACGTTTAATGAAGGCTTTCTAAATATTTGCGACCCCGGGGAACATAGCCCCATCTCTGTATTCTTGAGCGGTAATAAATTGAAAGCAATTGTAGAAGCTCAAAGAGAACACTGCGGGTTTTTGGGGGCGTTGTTTCGGCGGCGAGTCTGGTCAGTTTTTTGGGGTAAACATAAGAAAATCGGGGTTTTCACTAGGAAGGTCCAATGAGGTGAAGTCACTCATGATAGGGGAAAACATCATCTTGGCCTGGACTCCTAGGAAAACTAATAGGTAGCAGAGCGGTTGGGATCGGAACAGCCGAAGGTCTAGGGCACGATGAGAACTGGAGGGGCTGGTCAGGGGTAAGCAACGTGGTGAGCTCTTAGTCTGCTCAGTGAGCAACTCAGGGCCAGCTCCGAGCGCTCAGGGAGCGGCTCACCCGTCATCTCAGAGCCGATCGCTACCGAAGGGGGTATTCTTACCGTCACCAAGATTACATCAATAAGTAAATAAATAAAATCTAGATAAATCCAAGCGCACAGTACAGGCTATAAAGCAACTGAACCAGAATGGCCACAGCGCCCCTCTGCACAGGACCGTATATCACGCTCAATATCCACCTCCTGTACAGGCAGCCATGAATCCTCGAGCACCCGTCCCTTATGCCATGGGTCAGCATCACCAATCTTCCTCGTCGCAGATACCTCAATCGGATCTATTCTCACGCCCTCCTCCTTTGGTAGAAGGGGGTGCTCATTTTCGGTTCCGTTTCCGGTTTCTGCGGATGCAGGTATAGGTCCGACGTGGGCGCCGCGACCTATTGTTGCGACGATATAATCTTCTTCAAAGGCGAGTAGGTGGATGCGGACATTTGTGACTGGTTTGCCGTGCAAGGAAATTCTCGTGCTTTTGTAGGGCTGGCTCCAACGGTAATCCGATGACTTTGTAGTTGAAGATATATGATGTCCAGAGTGTGACACCGGGACTGGATCTGGGGGAATAACGTCACTGAACTCCAACTCGCGCAAATGAGGAAATAAAAGCGCATCGCCGGTCATTTTGACGAAAGCCTCTTTCAAAGCCCAGAAGGAGTAGAAGAGCCGAAGGCCGTATTGAGCGAGACTCTGCTCCGACGACGAATCAAAAGTCAGGCCGCGGTTGAGAGAGTTCGCTTTTGAGAGTGTCAGGCGCGGGTTTTTCATCGCTTGCACTTCGGTGGCTGCGAAAACCTCTGCAAAGATGTCTACGAACTCGGACAGGTCGCGCAGGTTTTGGGGGGTGTTGTTACGGCGGCGGGGTTCGTTGGTGCATGTTACGTCGATTCCAATCTGGGGTTTGGGTTGAGGGTGAGGGGGAGGTTGATGAGAGGAGGCCGGTGATAGATGCAGATGCGAACTGTCATCATCATTGTTGTAAACGATAGTCCCCGCTAGCATAGTCAACGAAGCCTGATGGCTGACATTAAACTCGACCTCCTTGACAAGCGGACCGAGAAGGTTCGCATGGAAACAAGGACGATTCTCAGGCAGAGGTGTTCTATGGATGACGACTTTGTTCCAGGGAAGGTGGGTTGCTCGGTGAATGAGATAGTACTTGAGGAGCTGGGAGGCCAGCGACATGTGCTTGTCGGGCCATTGCATGTACTTTGTCACGGAGTCTTGGTCGTCCCGGCGGAGGGTTTCGAGGAGTGGAAGGGTTTGGTGGGGGAGGGAGCGTGTGTCGATGTACCACCGAACTAGGGTGGGATACCCCAGTAGAGAGGGATGAGGCTCTTCCTGGCTATCTCTCTCTCCGGTGTCCATGTTGGCATTCTCATACTGGAACACAACAAGTCATCCAGTCCGTCAACCGGGGAGGTCTTATCGCACTGCTTATCTACACGTGCCTGGGTCTGCCGGGCGGTGAGCTTCTCCTCGGGAAGTTACGCATCACATGACCTATAGATAAAAAAGAGTCATCGCGCACTGAAGACATCGTTCTTGCTAGGCAATGCAATGAGCATCACAGTCGGAGTCCTCGCCTTGCAGGGCGCATTCTACGAGCATATACAGCTGCTGAAAAGGGCAGCCGAGCAAATCCCCTCGTCCACATGGGAGTTCATTGAAGTGCGCACGCCACCCGAGCTGCAACGATGCGAGGCCCTGGTGCTCCCCGGAGGTGAGAGCACCACCATGTCTCTGGTGGCGGCGCGGTCGAATCTCTTGGAGCCATTGAGAGACTTTGTCAAGTGAGTCGCTTTCCCTGTTTTGCTTCGGGGTAGTGTCTAATAAGGGCTTGCAGGGTGCATCGCAAACCCACCTGGGGCACCTGTGCCGGGCTGATCCTCCTGGCCGAGTCGGCCAACCGCACCAAGAAAGGTGGCCAAGAGTTGATCGGAGGGCTGGATGTTCGAGTGGACCGCAATCACTTCGGCCGACAGACTGAAAGCTTCCAGGCCCCGCTGGACCTACCCTTCCTGGGCGCGGATGCTGCGCCCTTCGCCGCTGTGTTTATTCGTGCCCCCGTGGTGGAGAGAATTCTGCCCAGCCATGAAGGCATTCAGGTTGAAGAGGAGAAGCGAGAAGAGACTGTCGTGGCTCCGTCCAGACAGGCCAAGGACTCGGTCGCTCAAGCAGCAACGGCCGACCGCGTCGAGGTGCTCGCCACCTTGTCTGGACAGGCAGCCCGCATCGCCACTCAGGGGCGAGACGTCAACCCCGACACAGAAATCGGCGATGTCGTGGCAGTACGCCAGGGCAATGTGTTGGGCACCAGCTTCCACCCTGAGTTGACCGGGGACGCCCGAATCCATGCGTGGTGGCTGCGCCAGGTGCAAGCAGCCGTGCAACAGAGACAATAGAACTCCATAGATCATTGTAAATAGGGGATTTTTTGGTAAATAGAGATGAATAGCCTGTTTGATTTTCACAATTATAGGTTCATAACAAAACGCCATGTCTGCGCCGAGTCCCAAACCAGCCAACCTACCTCCCCATGCCGTACTCCTCTTCCTCGCGCCGGCGCTGCTCATCGTAGGCTCGGCCGTATCCACCACGGCCGGGGTCGTATTCCTCGCGGTACTCGTCGCGAACCTGGCCGCCCGACTTGCCGCGACTGCCATCGAGTCAGACCAGGAGACGTGTAACTTGGGGGGAAACTCACCCGTATTGCCGCCCTTCCTCAAAGCCAGGATCCAAATCTGCGCGGATGATCCGCTCATCCAGCTTAGTCCCGCCCACGTACTTCAGACAATCCAGTGCATCCTGGTGGGTGTAGTACTCGACGAAGCAGAACCCGCACGGCGTCTTGTTGAACCGATCGAGCCCCATCACCAACCGCTTGATCTCGCCGCATCTATCGAACTGATTAGAACAGCGCCGGTTGGTTGGAAATGGCACAATCCTTACTTGGCAAAGAGCTCGTGGATCTGTTCCTCGGTGGTGTAGAATGACCTAGATCCGTTAGTCTCTGCCTTTTTTCGGGCGCAATCATCAGACATACAGGTTGCCAACGTAGAGCGTAGTCGCATCCTTCAGCTTGTCCACTGGGTCGTGCTGGCGCTGTTCCTCTTCGTGTCGGCGTCTCTTATTCTGTCGCGGCAATCACATTAGCGCAAGTCAACCAATCGACGTTAGCACCTTGACTCACCTTTCCAATATAGTAGGCACTCGGCCGATCCAGCCGGTCGACTGTATTGACTGCCAGCAAGCTCATGGTGGAAGTTGTGGTGGTTGACGAAGGCAGGCGGCAGAAAGGAAGGGAGCTTTCTTTTCAGTGTTAGCGCGCCAATCCACTTCGTTACTTTCTTCCGCCTGGCTTCTTTCTACCCAACAACAACAACAACTACGACTACAGCAATGTTCTGAGTCCGACTCGGGACAATATTACATTCCTCTCATCGGTGTTTCCTTGCTCCTGCTTCATGCCCAAGGTCACGAGTTACGCGCCCGCCTGGCTGTGCTGGCCATCGCCTGGCGCAAGCCTGTTCACCAGCAGCTCGGTCAAGAGCCCGGCTCAGGCTCTGCAGGTGGTCAAGCCCGCGGTGGCAGATGGCCCGACCCGAACGATCGCGAAACGAGGCAATGAAGTGTTTGTCGTGGTTGACAATGAGATTCGCTGGTCGAACCTGGCGCGGTTGAAGGATCAATGGCAGCACCAGACGCGACAGAAGAAGAGCGCAGCAGAGAAGAATGCCGAGGCCCCGCCCTACAGGGTGAGCATTTTGACTACCTATAATGCGACTCACTGGCTGACAACAAGGTACAGGTTCTAGCAGTGCCTGTCTACGGCCACATCAAGCAGCTGATTCCTTCTCCGAACGGGGCCTTTCTCGCAGTGGTCACCGAGCACACCGTCCATATCTCCGTCCTTCCCGACTCCTCGCATCTCTCCTCAACAGACACTACGTCGATCCGGCTGAAGACGTACCAACTGGGTCCTACCACCCATGTCATCCCCGAAGCCCCCGTAGTATCGGCAATCTGGCACCCCCTCGGGCTACACAGCAACGTTGGAGGATGCATCATCACGGTGACGGCAGATGCTGCCGTGCGTGTGTGGGAGCTGGACCGCAACAACCACTGGTCTTTCGATCAACCTACCCTGGCAGTTGACTTGCGCAAACTCGTCGATGGAACCTCGTCTGATCAGGACTTTGCGCCTTCTGGATTTGGCAAGAACAAAGGGTTCTCTGCTGACATTATTGATATGGAGGCTGCGTCCGCTTGTTTTGCGGGCAATGGGAGCGACAAGGAGGATGCTTGGGCTCCTATGACTCTCTGGGTGGCCATGCGGCCGGGCGATCTCTACGCGCTGTGCCCTCTGCTGCCGTCCAAATGGCAAGCTCCGTCCGCCACCATTCCATCTCTCTCGGCTGCCATTGTGCCGAAACTGGCTGCCCTCGAGGAGGGCCCTGAGGATATGGAGGAGCAATTGGCTGCATGTCGGCAACAGTATGAATGGCTACAGGAGATCGATGGTCAAGAATCTTTGGATCCGCTTTCTGCTGGGTCGGGGGCTATCCAGGGGGCGGATGTCTTCAGTCGTCCGATGAATCCAAGTGCCATTCCGCGGTTGCAAGGACCTTTCCGTTTCGATACAGGGGACGAGGTTGACGATCTCGATCTCTGTGATATCCTTGTCATTGCTGCCAGGCTGAATGTCGATGACCTTATGATGGGCGAGGAAGAGGAGTTGGCGGTCGAAGCAAATGATCAAGACAAGCTCTCAGCGACGACTATTTGTCTTTCCAGTGGGAGTGGACGTATCCATATCTGTCTGGAACTCGACGGTGTTGAAGGCCAGTGGCTTCCCAAGGCCAAAAAGAACGCGTTCCGAGCGCCTCTGTCCGAACCTTCCGACCTGGTCTTAGTGGAATCGTTGGATACGGTTAAAGGGAATTCCAACACCTGGCCCACTTTCACCCGCGACGCTCACTCTCGCTACTCTTTCTTCGTCACGACTGCGACCAATGTGGTGTCTTTCTCTCTGTCCTCTTGGGTGCAGAGGCTTGAAACCGAGTTGCAGGCAGAGGACCCAGCGGGCTCAGCTTTCCGGCTGCAGGTTCTTTGTGATGGGACTGTGGCCCAAAGGCAACAGATCTTGCGCGTCTTGGAAACCGACATCGTCTCCCCGCAAGACCATCTTGCCGCATCCCTAGTCTTCTACGATTTCGATCTCGGCTACCTATTGATCACCCACCATCCATCACAGCCGTATGCTGCTGCCATGGATGCCCCAGAGGATTCTTTGGCGGTGGAAAATCGCCTCTACGACCACAAGCCGCCGCTACCACACTCACCAGCTCTAGCTCCGCAGCGACCACCGTACCAGGTACCTGCCGTTCTGTACGCACAATCTCCGCTGGAAGCCTTCATCGAAAAAAACGTCCCGCACCGCCAGCGCCATACTCTCAAAGAACAAGTCCGTCTCTCTCCGGCGACACTGGACCTTGTCGCGGCCGCGCATCGGTTACTGTCAGCCCACACCAACGCCCTGGAACGAGCTGCGTCAGATCTGTTCCGTCGTTGCGAGCGACTACAGGGAGAAATGCACGATCAACTGAAGCAGTTGTCAGATGTTGCCGAGCGTATCAAGGGTGTCACGAGTGAGGTCGGGGAAGACGGGCGACACAAAGAAGGAACCCGGAACGGAGAAGCTCTCGATAGACGTTTGCAGGCAGCGAAGGACAAGCAGAGCTACCTGATCCAGCGCTACGATAATCTGCGGAAGAAGGTTCTGAATTCCGGTGGCCGCCCTCTTAGCGAGAAGGAGAAGTCGTGGATTGCAGAAGTGGAAACTTTGTCTCAATCTCTCACCGACGAAGCGCCAGAAGACGAGGAAAACCAAGAGCAACACCTGGCACATCGCCTGGAAACCGTATGTCCCTTTCCTCCTTTCGATTTCAGGACCAGACTAATTTCGTGCACAGGTTAAACAACTCGCCGTCGACCTTGTGGCTACAACAAAGGCCGTCTTAGCTAAGGCACCCTCTCCTGCTGAGCCCGGCAGCCCGTCTTCCCCCGGCAGCGCGCAACCCAAGGTCCCGCAGCGACTTCAACGGGCCAGAGTTGCGGATGCGATGAGAATGGTTGAGCGAGAGTGAGTTGTAGTCGTGTCTCCTAGATTATTCAGTTGTCTTACTATATTCCTAGGTCTGCTGTTATTGACGCCATCACGTTGCGCTTGGAACGACTGAACACGAGTTTTTAAGGCGCATCGGAATAGAAACGGTCGACTGTGCTCGAAACGCGGCGTCGAAGGACAGAAGGCTGGATCTGAATCCGGACACCGTCACCCTTAGAAGAGAACGCGCCGCTATCCCGAGCTTATCCATCTCATCAAGGACGAATCAGCCACGAGAAAATAACCCATTTGGACCTTCCCATTATTGGAGTATGATTCTATTGATTTTGTGCGGTGTGTACAATTATGTGGATTTGCGATAGTTAGCTACAGGAGAACAAGACATACCAACCAGGGTTCCCTTCAATCATTAGTTATTTATTGCATGCCACCAAATCAACCAGAAGTTGTCACCACCCTCTCTTCGACCTCACTCTGAGACTCTTCTTCCGCCGCAATCTTGGATTTTGACCCCGACTCTTCGGGACCAAGATACTCACCAGTCATGTCTTTTTTTAACAGATGTATTAGTATTTCCTCAAACAAAGTACTGTGTAAAGGCCAAAGAAAAAGGGCCTTGGTCCACTCACCCTCAAGCAAATACCAATCCGTTCTCTGCCTCCTCGCGCGATAATCCCGCTTCACGGTGCGCATATCCACGGCATCACACACCCGCGATAGATCGCAGTTATACTGGCTTGAAAGCAAGAACGCAGGCACGGGGTGTAAGTCCACACCTGAAGCTGTTGGGTCTGACTTGAGGTTGAAGATGAGGGGTGGTGTGGAGGGTCTTGATGGGATGAGTAGTTCGTGCGAAGAAGGGGAAGGTGATGATGATGATGATGATGATAATGGGTGCTCTGGGTGCATTCTCTTATCCCCTCGTCTCCAACACTCCTTGCATGTGTGCAGTGTATCTTGGAGTTGGATTATTCGACGACCCCAGCAATATACATCTCTGGAGCAGATGAAACATTCTGTGTCCCAAAGGCAGCCGCATAAGGTGTATTTGCGGGTCCAGAAGATGCACATTTTGAGAATGGCTAGCATTTTAGGCATATGATATAGAAATGAAAAATTGGGGGATATGGGTCAATCATTGGAGGCTTTTTGGGATCATAGGGTGATTATATTTGGGAATAAGATCTTTGTTCATTAAGTCAGTCAGTCTCAGTTCCAATCTTAATTATCTATCCATCCCTAATTTCAGTGAGGTGGACCAAATAACCTCAGGAACAAGACGGTAGAGAAATATTCTAGAGTGTCCTGGTCTGTTTCTTGCTTTGTTGTACTCAATCAAGACAATGTCAATCCATCTTTGTCCTCCTTTTTGATGAACTAGGGTTATAGATACATGTGAACTTATTCATCCTCAAGATCTGACAATGCTGTTGAAGATAGACTCATTCTAGAAAGGTTCTACGGTGGTTCTAGTCAGACAAACAAAGTAATAAAGTCCATAGATTTGATGCAAGAACTCTAACTGCAGGATGTGTAGGATTCAACCCCTATCCTTAGACCAGTGTTGGCTTGTGTGTTCATAGTAGCCAAGTCTAAAGGGTGATGCTGTAGATACTTGAGCGAAGAGCACTTTGAAGGATTATGTCAATTGCATATCGGCAAGTATCGTAGCATCTCAGTAATGCCCATGAACTCCTATCCCTCCATGTACTCCACCCTCAACGCCCTGAATTCGGTCAAGTGTTTGAAATAATCACGTTCACCACTTAGAAGAAACTGTGATGTGCAAGGATGCCGCAGAGCACACGCGTCGTCACAGCGGACTAACGGAATTCGGGCTACTAACATAGAACGAACTGGCCAACTCATCCGCATCCTCCACTCGATCCACAATCAGCAGAGAGACCTCATCAATCATCTCCTCCCAGGTTGGAATAACCAGTCCCTCAATACAACCTTCCCACTTGCACATCTCCACTGCAAAAGTTGACTCCCACCAACGGCGCCACTCCATGTAATAGGAATCATGGCTCATCAGGCGGGCAGCCAGATACTCGATCTGGGTCTTCTTCTCACAGTAGAGGCGATAGGGGCCGCGAATAAACTCCTGCACAGCATTGACGTACTTGGTCGTGAACCCAGAGTAGCTCAGCGCGTCGACGCAGAACTTGATGGAGTCGCGCGGGATCTTGGGTGAGGGCGCGAGGGTGCAGTTAGCCGGGTTCCAGTCTTCTTTCCATTCAAGGAGGCGTTTCATCGAGTTGGCGTGCACGTGGTAGATGAGGCCCATTGTCTCCGGGCACATGGCGGAGTAGCGCTGCTCACGCAGGGTCATTAAGGAGTGCATGCCGGCGAGGGCGCCGATGGCGGCTTTGTGCAGTTTGTCGTGGGAATCTTGCAGCTCGGGGGGAACTTGGAGCCAGGTTGGCAGTTTGAAGGCACCTGCTTCGTAAATGTAGTTGAAGATGGACGAGTCTGAGTGATGGATTCGGGTCAGGGAGCGCTTGCGACGGAGGGCTTCGAGGGAGCCGCCCATGGTGAGGGAGATGATGTGAGAGGGCTGGGGAGGAGAGAAAGGTGGGAGAGGATGGAGGCTTGGAGGTAGAGAGTGTGTATGGGTTGGAGGAGCAGAAGAGATGTGGTGGGCTTGCATTATATCACCAGCAACCGGATATTCACTGCAGCTCTCAATAGATACCGTCAGTATCAGACATGGTCGGCCACTCACCAACATGGTTCTTTGTTGTCGACAGCCGATCCCCTTATGCCCTGAAGGGAGTCTATACCAACATCCACTCTTGTTTCACGCCGAGACAACATATTGATAGATAGAATATTTGTCATTTTTTTATCCACACTAGTCCAAGATAGAAACCAACAGCATAACCAAGTTAGAAAAGGATTAAGTGCACCATCCACGATCCCTCTAGCCGGAAATGGGCCCAGAGTTACTGGACGCTGTATCCCATTCATTAGCGACTAACATAACACGAGGGAAAGGTCCAGGCATACCGTTCAATAAGGTGGACTCCCGACGCAGTCTCCACGATCCCGCTAACCTGGCCCGGCTGCAGCGCAAAAGCGGCATTTTCAAACTCCTTCTGCATCTCGCCACGGCCAAAAAAGCCGCTTCCAAGTAGTTAGCATTAAGATCGACACGCCAGAAAACAAAAAACGTACAGATCACCCTTCTTCCGCGCACTACTACAATCCGACTCCGACACGGCAAGGTCCCCCAAGCTAGTCTCACCAGACTGAATGCGCTGCTCGTGGCCCTTGAGAATCTCAATAGCCTCTTCCTTCGACCGGGTAATCTCCGCCTCGCGCCAGCTGCTGGGGCGTCTGCTGTCGCGGTGCTTGATGAGCAGGTGGCTGCAGCGGATCTTGCCCTCGCCTTGTCCCGAAGCATCCGGGCGCGCGGCGGGTGTGTGGTGCTGCGCCATATATACCTTCAGCTTCTCAGTATCGGTGTCGGCGGGAGGTTCCCAGCGGGACTCCTTGGTGGCCGGGTTGAAGTAGTAAGGGAGGTTCTTGGAGTTCGAGTGTCGAACTTCCCATCCTGTTGGAAGACCCGAGTCGGCCTGCAGTCTTTGTTAGTGATTGTAGAAGGGTCAGCAATCAAATGAACCCTACCATGATGACTGTATAGAGAAGCAAGGTCGAATCACTGCTATGTGAAGCACAACTTGAATGTATGGAGTTCAGCTCTGCCACTGCGGGGATGATGCGCCCGACAAACACTGCAAACAGCACAAACAAACCAAACACTCGAAGTCTTCTGCCTTCTTCCACGCCGCTTGCTCGACTCAACTTCGTCCACGTCCTGATTCACCCTGGATATCCAGACTATTCGAGCTCCCCAAAATACAATATGTCTGCCAGCCCCTCCCCCTCCGCCGGTGGCGACGCCAAACCGTCCGACCAAATCCACTTCCGATTCTGTCGCGAATGGTAGCTACGCCTCTCCCCTTCTACCCTGGTCTTCATCTGCTAATCTGTGAAAACAGCTCCAACTTGCTCTACCCGAAAGAAGACCGCGCCACCAACCAGCTGATGTTCACCTGTCGCACCTGCCACGTCGGCGAGCCCGCCAGCTCCTATTGCGTCTACCAAAACAATCTGACCAGCCAAGTCGGCGACACGGCTGGCGTAACCCAGGATGTGGGATCTGATCCGACGGTTTGTCTCCCGGGATTTTGTACCCTATGCGGTGAACAGATTACTTGTTTTATCTGCGACGTGGTTGGGGAGGAAGAACAAAGCAGCGACGGCCTGGAATTCTAGAGGGAGATGAGATGTCCCGGAAAGCGCTGGATGATTTGCGTGCTTTTCGTTCATTGCGTTCTGTTCTCTCTGGAAAGATTCACTCTTGGCTAACGCGTGACTTTTTACTCGACGGCAGCTCCCCCGAGCCAACAAGCTCTGCCCGAGCTGCGGTGAAAACGAAGCGGTCTTTTTCCAGTCGCAGCAGCGATCTGCGGAAACCGGAATGGTGAGTGATCATTGTATCTGACCCGCAAGGACGAATTTGCGCTGACTCTTGATTTGTCAAGAAACTCTACTATGTCTGCTGCGCATGCGGTAACGTCTTCGTCTGATGCTTTATCTCTCACGACTTCCCTCGATACCCTTTGATTTTTTTTTCCGACTGTTTCACAAAGCATGTACTCGGAGTTTAGCGGCTGGATTTTCTTCAAATAAGATTTGATAGAAATGGCGAAATGGAAATGCTATTGATACATAATTCAAACAACAAAAAAACTCCCGCTTCTGTAGATATTACACATGCATCGGCGCCAACGACAAGATCTTCGACCACTGCTTGCCGCGCAGTTCCTGACCCACGATTCCTAGAGAAAAAATCAGACCTTTTTCACACCGTGACACGACCAAAGGTAGTTACTAACCGTTCATGCGCGTCCCAATGGGATCGCCTGCCTTATTCACCAGCACACAAGCATTATCCCCAAACTTAACCACACTCCCGTCAGGCCGTTGGGATTCCTTGCGCACGCGCACGACGACTGCATGCCGAATATCGCCTCGCCGGACCTTATTCGCCAGCGCGGTGGTCGTGCTCGATTCGGATCCCGCGGCTCGTTGTTTTTGAACAACGACGACTATCCGATCACCTGGACAACACACCCTGTATCAGCACTCTCTGTCTTTGAGACGGTATTGGAGATCATCTCATGTCCCTCCGGGAGGGGGTGGGACTCACCGATTGTCGCTGGCCGCTTCTTCTTCAGGACATTCACGCATTCGACCACCGAGGCGCCGGAGTTGTCGATGCAATTTAGTAATGTCTGCGCGCAGTGTGTCAGCGGGTTCAGGGGTAGGAGATTGTCGGTTGGCTCACCTTTAGTTGAATCATTGTGTGTGCTCAATCCTCCGGGGAAAGTTGAGGGTTCCGTCGAGCATCACCGTAATTTGCGCTCGGAGGGTGGGTTGTTCCGGGCCGGTGCCAAGACGGAGTAGAAGAGATGGTGAAGAGTACCTACGTAAGGATCAAGGAGTGATTGTGGATAGTTCAGTCAATAATAACAAGAATGATAAGGATGATCTGGCTTATAGATCAATTCTGTGGGAGTTGCAAGAGGTTTGTCAGGGGGATGGGCGGAGTCCATCTCGATATATATCTTCGAAGATGATTTTACCACCACCTTCCCTACTCACTCAACGCATCACCCACCTATTGTCTTTTTCTCTCTCCAAACTAAAACCAATGCTGGTCTCGTAAAGAGAGCACGTCGTTGTTCTCTACTCGCTAGTGTGCTCACACATCTAACATGTACCCGTCGGTAGCTGTAGGCGAAAAACGCGCCTATGCAAGACAAGCATCGAGGCCCATTGAGGAGACTGGGTTCTGGAATTCAGCCATAAAAGCAAGCTGTGTTGCCGTGATAGCGCTTGTGCTGGTTAATCGTTTCGGGAGTTAAAGTCCTAGTGCTGTGCTAATATCTACCCAGTGTATGACAATGATGATGAACTGGCATAGACGCGCATCCCAGAATCTTTGCGCCCTGGAAAATTCGATATCCTTAGAGCTTCCCACCAGGTGTTTCGTGTCTTGGTGGTGCTTGCCACGGTGGTTCAGCTCGTCGGAATTCTGTCGGCGTTTGATTATAACTATCACCATCGGACTTGTAGCCCTTTGTGAACGATGATTTGAGCAGCGTATTCTGATGACTGCGACGATACACGATCTGTTAGATTGCTGTTTGCGCAAGAGCGTGAGAGGAAATCTCTCACGCGATATAGAGGGAGAGAATTGATCCTAAAATCTATGTAAAAAAATCCGAATTGATTGCAATTCTAGGCTTGTCATCCCTGGTGATTGTTCCCGGTGCATTCACCCGTACATTCAACCATGACTTGCCTGTAGCGTGCCATCGAGTCTCATAGACTCTCCCAGATGAGCCACTGGAGGCATTGTTCTTGATTGTTGTTATTGTCCAGTGCGATCCTTCGTTTTATAGACAGCCTCCGACACAGCCTCGAGTCGGGCGCGGGACGAAACAACCTCCTATTTCAATTTCTGAAACGGCGACTAACCGCATCTTCCCTCTTCTTTCGCTCAGCCTACCACTTGGGGGAGGGAGGCACTTGATTGACTCCTACTACCCTATTCTTTTTGGCTCATACTTCCATCCACTCATTCTCCACTCACCCGACCCATTCTTGGCCCCTCTACCCTCTCTCCCTGGCATCCCGGACTCCGCGTTCTTCCACCCTCCCACAGCACATTGGACGGTAATTCACTCCCTCCACTCACGATGCCTCCGAAGGCGCGATCCAGTCCTGCCGTGCCCTGCCGCGAACGTCTGACCTTGGCCAAGCTGGCCAGCTACGACGACGTCGCAACGGATGCCCTGGTCGATCGCGTAAGTGTCTCTTGCTCGCCCCTTCACCACTTGTCGCAAATCGCGCTGACCCCTCTCCTCTCTCTCCACAGGCCGCCTTTTGGACCAACACGCGCAAGAACCGCACCAAGTACAGCCCAGCTCGCGGTATCCACGACGACGATGTCGCGCACATCCTTCTCCACGATGTCGTCGTCGCCAAGGATATCCCGCAAGCCGAGCGCAAACTGCTCGACATGTCCGGCTTGAAGAAATACATGAACAGCCTGCCCACCCCACGCGAGAAGGAGTGGTTCCGTCGACACATCCGCAAATACATCCAGATCTACCACCCGGATTGTCCATTCGAGGTCACCACCACCAATCGCTACACCATCACCGAGCATGAGGCGGCTATCGGTGCGCGTAAGCCGATCAAGAAGAATGAAGAGATCAGATTCCTCGCTGGAACCTTGGTGCCCATGACCCGGGAAGAGGAGCTGGACCTCGGCTTGACGCGTAAGGATTTCAGCATTGTCATGTCGAGTCGGCGCAAAACCCCGTCGTTCTTTTTGGGCCCTGCGCGGTTTGCGAATCATGACTGCGATGCCAACGGACGCCTGGTGACAAGGGGTAATGAAGGCATGTCGGTTGTGGCTACGCGGAATATTGCTGTCGGCGAAGAGATTACGGTCTCCTACGGCGATGATTACTTTGGAATTGACAATTGTGAATGTCTATGCTCTACATGCGAACGTGCTTGTCGCAATGGTTGGTCACCACAGGTGGACTCGGACTGCACCAGCAAAGAATCCACACCGGCCTCCATCGATGAGGCAGCGGATGTTCCACTGTCCGGAAGAAAGCGCAGACGTGACTCGTTGGACTCGGATGTCACATCCTCAGGCTGCTCGACCCCGCTCAAGAAGGCCAAGTTTCAGCGTCAAGTCTCTAAGCTCCGCGAAGAGATCTCTGTTTCGGAGCTGGCTACGGAACCAGACACGACACTGGTAACAGTGCTTGCTCCAGAGATCTCTTCGGAGCAGGCTACTGAACCAGATGCAACACCAGTGACAGTACCTACTTCTGTCTCTGTCGACGATACTCCTGCCACACCGGCCCAGGGCGAATACCAGGTCTCGAAGCTGTGCGAGGAGATCAAGCTTCCGGATCAAGCCATCTCTATTGAACCCGTCTTGGAGGTTACAACCACTGATTGCGAGTCTCCCGGCTCCCCTGGACCCGCCGAGTCTCACCGATCATCGACCTCCACCACGCCAACGTCCGTTGACGAGACCCCCGCCATCAAGACCGAGGAAGTGATTGAAACAACTGAGACCCCGGTTGACGGCGAGAATGATAACATGGAAAAAGCCGTTAAAAAGCGCACCTACCGCAAGAGGCGCTTCATCGTCTCCTCCGTCGAAACGGAGGTGCCAGTCGCCCGGGTACCGGGTGACTACACTAGGACATCCAGACTACTCGCACAGAAGTATGACCGCTGGATCGACTGTTATACATGCAATGTCTGGTTCTTGCAGTCGAATTCATACCAGAGACGGCGCGAGTGCCCTCGCTGCGAACGGCATTCCAAACTGTACGGGTTCCAGTGGCCCAAGACCGAGAAGGAGGGTGCGTGGGATGATGAGGAGCGTATCATGGACCACCGCGAGGTCAACCGGTTCATCAGACACGATGACGAGAAGGGTGTGAGCCGCAGGGGCCGCGGCGTTAGCTTTGGGATTACGCCCACCCCAGACGGCACTGACGCTCGCACCGAGACAGAAGCCAGTGATGCGAATGATGAGCGCCGCCGGCCTACTCGGTCTAGTCAGCAGCGAGCCCGGGCACTCCGAATGACGATGTAAGTTCGAGGAAGCAGGTTTTATCGCGTGTGCCGTGCTCGTTTGGATGGACATACATGATGTACTTTTTTCGGGAATGTTTGGATATGCATTGGGATAGGTCGATGATCTGGATCATGGGAGGTGTTTTGTTTCTGGACTATGATTTACCGGATTTTGTTCTTGCCTGTAGAGTTAGCCAACTATTTTGCGCACATCTACAATAGTCAAAGCTTGGAACCTCTCACTCGAAGTACTATATCTCGACCGGGACAATGCAGCCCGAACATCCCCGTCTGTTCCTCCCCGCATTTCGCCACAAGCAGCAACAAAAACTGCACCAATGAACACCATCCTCGATCCTTAGCGAGGTTGAATTGGCTACCTCGATAGCCCCGTGCAGATCGCCTGCGTAGGTGTTTTTCCGTCCGTAAGATGTCGCAGAAGATATAACTATAGCGGATCATCACCCAGAACACAGACTAAAGTTCAATCATGAAGCTGCCCATCGCAACAACGGGCTTCTCGGAGCCTTCTGTGCTCTACCTACTTCTACTAATTTTGATAGGAGTCCGCGCTAGCTCAGTATCCGACACTGACTACCTGCTCGTCCATCTGGACTACGGCTCCTTCCAAGGAAACTATGACTCGACCTATAACCTCTCATATTTCCGCAAGATCCCCTTCGCTTCGCCGCCAACGGGGAGGAACCGCTTCCGGGCGCCGCAGCCGCCGCAGCATATCTCTGGCGTGTATAACACAGACCAGGACTTTAACATGTGTCCGCAGCGCACGGTCAATGGCTCCGAAGACTGTCTGTACCTGGGCCTGTTCTCGCGTCCCTATAACCAAGCAACGAATCCGCGCCGTCCAGTACTGGTTGTGTTTTATGGCGGGGCTTTCATCGAGGGCACTGCCTCGTTTGATATGCCTCCCTCTTCATACCCAGTGCTGAACGTGAGCACGCTCAATGACTACATCGTCATATACCCGAACTACCGCGTAAACGCCTTCGGTTTCCTCCCAGGTAAATCAATCAAGAACTCCCCAGACTCAGATCTAAACCCGGGACTCCTGGACCAGCAATACGCTCTAAAATGGGTGCAGCAGCACATCACCCATTTCGGCGGCGACCCGGGCAACGTAACGATATGGGGCCAGTCCGCGGGCGGAGGTTCCGTTGTCGCGCAAGTGCTGGCGAACGGACGGCACGGCCAGCCGAAACTTTTCTCCAAGGCGCTGGCCTCATCGCCCTTTTGGCCGAAGACGTACCGATATGATGCGCCGCAGGCGGAAGAGCTTTACGACCAGCTTGCTAATCTGACGGGTTGTGCGGACTCAGATCATGAGATTGAGACGCTGGAGTGTTTGAAGTCTATTGATGTGCAGAGTCTGCGTAATGCAAGCTTGATTATTGATGCGGATAATACATACACGACGAGCTCGTATACCTGGGCTCCTGTTATCGACGGCGAGTTCTTGGTTGATACACTCTCCGTTGCTGTATCCAGCAACTCCCTCAATACGGAGTTTGTCTGGGGGATGTATAACACGCACGAGGGACAGAATTTTATTCCACCGGGCCTGGAGAGTACCGTTTCAGAGGAGGGGTATAATTCCTCCGTGGCTAGTTTCCGGGACTGGGTGGACGGATTCTTGCCTGGGTTGTCTGCAAGGCAGATTCGGGCTGTCGAGTCTGTTCATTATCCGCCTGTCGGGAGCTCGGAGACTATCTCGCAGTATAACTCGACGTATATTCGTGCTGGCTTGGTTTATAGGGATGTCGTGCTCTCTTGCCCGGCGTATTGGGTTGCGTCTGCGGCGACGAGAAGGGGGTACGTGGGGGAATATACCATTCCGCCTGCTACGCATGGGAGTGATACCATCTGGGTTTGTTTTGCTTCTTCTTCTCCTTCTTTTTCACATACTTTCATTTTTCGCGACCGTGATTAACTAACAAAAATACAGTGGGACACCATCAACTCTATCCAAGAGACAAACCCGCTGGTGTACGACGGCTACGCCGGTGCATTCGCCAGCTTCTTTCAAACAGGCGATCCCAACGCACATAAGTTGACCAATTCCTCTGAGCCCGGGGTGCCGGAGCTGCAGGAGACGGGGAAGGAGTTTGTGATTGTTGAGGACGGGTTTGAAAATGTGGAGATTGTGCAGTTGAAGAAGAGGTGTGAGTTTTGGAGGAGTGTTGCGAAGGACATCCCTATGTAGTTTAAGCAATACAATATTCCCTCCATTGAGGAGAGAAGCAAGATGGATGTGGGATGGGAGTAGAATCAAGTATATACATGCCAGCGCCTATATATCGTACACATCGCCTAGGCCATCGGGTATTTAGTTCGTTTTTCCAACCTGAAAACCAACGCCATTTATGATACAAATAGTTTTGATAGTAGTTATACAAAATGCAAGATTAGACCAGATCAGATCAGTGCTTGGCCGCGGAACATGCCCTCGCGCACTTCACGGACCACGTCCTTGCGGTCCTTCTTGCCGACAAGCACAATACCACGACCGCGCTTGCCCATACGGCCGAGTCGGCCGAGCCGGTGGATGAAGTCGATCGTTGTGTGCGGCACATGATAAAGGACGACGGTCCTCACGGCCAAAGTGTCGATACCGCGCGAGGCGATATCGGTGGTCACCAGGACCTTGGTGTCGGGCAGACGGCGGGTGGGCCGGTCCTCTTTCTCCAGGACAAAGGGGATAGCCTTATCTTGCTTGCGGCGCTTGTTGGCCAGCAGGATCTCCTCAGAGGTTGGGGGAGTAGCGACGTCGGTGAACTCGGCCAGGATTTCTTCGTGTTTGCGAGAGCTGGAATCCCGGGATAATGACACCGCATCGATACCCTTGGACTGAAGGAACTGTGCTACTTCTTCGGCTTCCTCGCGCTCATTGACAAACACGATGATCTTCTTCACGCGCGGCTCCATGTATCGCTCCAGCTGACCTGCAGACTCCTCGGGACCGGATTTACCGATCGACCAGATCACATCCGCGCAGGCGAGATTGCGGTGTCCGCGGTACGGGTCTTTTTCGATATCCACCACGCCCAGCTGTACGCGGCGCGGGATGGCGTGTAGTTTGGGAGTTGTCAACCGTCTAATGTCCGGGTAGAGTTTGCGAAGCTGAGAGTCGAGACTGCGGGGGATGGTGGCCGAGCAAAAGATCAATTTCTTGAGAGACGGGGCGACCTTGTCGATGATCTCGGTGGTAGTTGGTCGGAAGGATTTGTCCATCAGGGAATCCGCTTCGTCGAGGACCAGGTGGCTGACACGACTGAGGACGTAGGGGTTCGTCTTGGCAATAGACGACAGAAGATGCGGTGTCGAAACTAGAATGTCAATTCCACTCGGGTGGAAGAGCGTGTTCTTGATCCGACGCGGACTGAGGTTTGAAGCGATCATGCCAGACCGGTACTTGACTGTATGGGCGAGAGCCTTGACCGTCGATCCAACCTGGGCCACCAGCTCCGATGTAGGAACCAAGATGATGACTCGGGGACGACCAGCATCAGTCATCGGCGCTTCCTCCGGCTCCAAATCGAATGTGCGGTTCTTCAGCCTTTCCTCTCGCTCTTTGGCCTTTTGTTCCTCAATCACCTTCTCCTCTTCCTGGTCGCGTATTTCGCCGCGCTTGGCCGCATCCACTACCGGAAGCAGGTAGGCCAACGTCTTTCCCGAGCCCGTTTCTGCCGCGAGAAGATACTGGTCGTACTGAGGCTCGCCAGCCTCCACCTTCTTTGCTTTCTTCTTGTGTCCAGATCCCTCGTCCAGGAGTTGTGGTATGGCAAGACGTTGGATCGGCGTCGGAGTGGCATCGGCGATACCCGGAAGCGCCTGGGAGAAAATCGACTGTCGCACCGCGGGCAATAAGGGGAAATTATCGAAGCTGGTGATGCTTGCAATCTTGGACTTGATTGCCGTCCGGCGGCCATATCCTATTGGCGCCAGCATTGTCTGCATTTTTAATGCCTTGTACAGCGGGCTTTCCTTCTTCTGGTCGGATTTGTCGTCTTCTCCGGATCGCTTCTGCGCGGCTGCAGACCTGGCGCGTGGTGCAGCGCCTCCAACGCGGGGGGGCGTCGTTTGGTTCATGCCCGAAAAGGGGCCTCTCCAATCTCTATCAGGCTTTGTACTTTTCAATGAGCTCCTTCCGGCATTAGGAGACAGAGCCATTCGAGATGCCTTGCGGCGCGTTCGGAGGGTGGCCATAGATCGCGTGGCCTGCCATGATGTCGGAAGGACCGAGGGAGAAGGGGAGATGGCCGTGCGTGTTCGACATAAAAGACAGACGGAGGAACGAATGGGCAGAGGCATTATTCTGCCGGATTGAAGAATGGACGAGGAGTGAGTGACTATGAGATGATCAACGAGAAAAAAACGAACGAGCCAGAACCCATTCCCTGACGCTAGTCGATTCTGGGTCTAGCCCCGATCACCCGCCAAACACACGTGATCCGCTGAGTCACCCCCCGCCTGTCGTTGCCCCAGCGACTCCCGGGCCCCCAAACAGTAACAAACCCACTCTCCGATCCATGGTATCTACCACAACACTATCCATAATCAAGATCCATCCCCGATCTGCTTCTTGTCTCTCCCCTGCTCGTGTTGTCATCCCTTCCATCCCTTCGTCCCTGCGTCAGATTTCCATAAATTATTGCACTGTCTGACCCTTGGACGGCGTGTTGACGCACTGGCATTCTTGCTTCGATCGACACTCCCTTGGACGCTTTCGCAACGAATGTACAGCACCTCGTCTGCGAACAACTCCCACGCCGCCTGAACGAAAAGGTATGTTTGTTTTGACACGGATGGCATTACTCGACCTACCGCCGTCACTGGTTGAAGCTCTGTATTGACGCAATGGCAGATATTCCTTTTCACCGTTTGTTTTCTTGCTCATCACCTCCGCGCCCTGGTTTCCATACGCACTCAACATCAGCCATGGGTCTTGGAGCGGGCCAACGGCCACTCTCTGAAGTGAGCCCGATGGCGCAGCGACGTAACTCACCCAGCTGGAATCAAGTCTCAAAGGTAACGCGACACCCCCACCAACATCGCACGATAAACAAACGGCTGACTTCGCAAGCAGACACCCAGCGGTGAATCGACTGCGTACGATGGGTCTCCCTTGAACAATTCCTCTTCCTCGCGCCTTTTCTGGAAAGGTCGCGACTCTCCTAGTCCCTACAACAAGGGCAGCGAAAACCGAAACCCTTATGACCCGGAAGGCTCGTACTTCCCGTCCAAGCGGCCCTCCCTGGAGGACCTCAAGCGCGTTTCGCGGGTTAAGAACCACAACATGTTCCGCGAGAGTGGCCAAGAATACGATCCAACCCAAGCGTCGGTGCCACATCGGCCCTGGGCTGCCGAGCGCTCCCCCCAGCGGGAGAGCCTCGTCAGCATGGCCAAATCGCAACACGACGATAGCCCTGTGACTCACACGCCTCGCCCACCTTCTCCCAGCAAAGACCAACCTTCTCCGGGCAAGTCCTCCCTGTCCAAGGGAAGCCGGTACGGCAAGGGCTTTGACCCTCAGAGCGACATCTGGTCGGAGTTTGACAGCATCGGTCATCGTCATGCTAAGAGTGTGACGTTTGACGTTGCACCTCCACAGGTCAACGAATATGAAATGACCACCCCAGATCCATCCTCTGTCGCGTCTGGCTCTCGTGAGAACAGCTACGATTCCGAGGACGATGAAGATATCAGCTTCGAGCACGAGTCATCAGTCGAGCACGAGGATAGCTTCGACGCTTCTTTGGAAGACATTGAGAAGACTCCGGTCGTGCATCCAGATGACTGGCGCTTCATGAGCCCCGCAAATGACGGAGAAGATGGAGATCCCTTCATTGAACACGTCGAGGGTCGTAGCACAAACACCCACCCGGAACGAGAGTCGGCTCAGCATGAACGAGTCGAGTCTCTTGACTCCAATGGTGATCCACGCCCTCTGCCGCCCTTGCCCTCTGTCAACCGTCTTTCTGGCTCTGGTCCGGCTTCGCCCAGCAGACTGGCTGCTGCTTTTGAATTGGGCAGTGGTGCCCAGCGCATCCTGCCGGCACCTCCTTCACCAGCTTCCTACAGCAAGTCAGACTTCGGTGGCCGCATGTCTCTTGAAGAACGCCTGCGTCTTATGATGCTCCAAGAGGATGAGGCAGATGATGACGATAAAGAAAACGCGGCCCTACGCGAATCGCGACTGAGACCCTCCGGCCTCGCGAAAGGTTTCGACAAGAAGGAGGCTGATGAATCTCAGGACCACCTCTTCTCACCTCCCCGAATCTCTCGTGACTCCATTCTGAGACACATCCGCAAGAACGAGAGCTGCGAGGAGGATGACGAGGAGGATGATGTCTCGGATATGGCCTCTAGTCCTCACCATTACGATCACTACGACCCTGACGTGCCCATTCCTTCACTGGAAAATGACGACGATGATGATAGCGGCAGTGTGATCGTCAAGGAGGAGGAGCACGAACACGATCTCTATGCGATTACCGATTACTACGAGCATCTTTCGGACAACAGTCTGTCTTCCAAGGATACCCGAGCTCAATATGACGAAGACAGCAGTTACTCTCTTCACGATGCTGCAGGAAGTGACGGCACTGGCTCTGGTCACACCACACCGGTGCCTGAGGAGCAGACGGAGACTGCTGCGCAGTCGAGCGCGGGACTGAAAGACCTGTCGGAGAAGGGTGAAGCTAGACCCTTGGACATGGCTTCTATTCGAGAGTCACTGGGAGTTCGTCCCGCTACCCCAGAGCAACAGGAGGAGCAGGTCTCCGAGCCTGGAACTCCCGACTCCGTCATTCGTCATCCCGTAGAGGACGAGGATGATGAAGAGGAGAAGGATGAGAGTTCGTCTGATGAGGCGGTCCCTGAGCCGGTTGCAACCGTCCGGGCTCCTGGTGCTGGTCTCAAGGTCCGACCTTCGCTGACTCCGGCGGATATGGAATCGATGGCTGCCACCCGCCGCAAAATTAGTGGCCAGCATGATACCATGTCGCAGCTCACCAAGCAAACGTTGAACGGGTCAGGCAAGTCAGATGAGACTGTTGGCGATTCTGGTTCTCTTGCACCGCAGCTGGCCTTGCCAACCAATTTGATTCAACGACAGCCGAGCTTGATGAAGCTGGATATCCCGTTCAGCATTCAGGAAGAGAGTCTTGGTTCCGGTCTCGACAAAGAATTTGACCGCGTTATTGAATCCCAAAAGGTGGCGTTTGAACTCGCTCTTTCCCAGATTTCTATTCATGAACCGCGACTCCCTCCCCCGGAAGACCCCCAGGATTCTTCTCGGAACAATAACTCACTCTTTTCCCAAGCGTTTGCTAACACTCCCCGTCCCAAACAGAGAGGATACCTGATGCGCCAGAACACGAAGGTTATTATTGCGAGCAGTCGCAATGAAGAGCCAGCCATCCCTGCTGAACCTGCCCCCGTCGATCCTCGCGGCACACAGTCTGCGGGATCTTCCCCCGCAAGGCCAGCCAGCAGACTTGGACCACGGAGCCTTGGAATGGACGGATGCGTCGTCCTAGTGTGAAGACCCCAGCGGGTATCCCCAAGAAGAAGCCTGTTCCTTCCGGACCTGCACCGCCGCTCCCAGGCCAACAGAGCAATGTTCAGGAGGCAACCACCCCTATTGAGGAGACCGAGCCTCAGCTGAATGAAATTTTCGAAGAAGGTGAAGAAAGAGGCCGCCTCTTTGTCAAGGTTGTCGGTATCAAGTACCTGGACCTCCCACTCCCGCGAGGTAAGAATATCCTTTTCTATTGACTAGACCAACCACTGACATTGATGCAAGGCGAACGATCCCATTTCGCACTTACTCTAGACAATGGCTTACACTGTGTAACCACTGCATGGTTGGAGTTGGGCAAGTCTGCTCCTATTGGACAAGAGTTTGAGCTCATGGTGCAGAATGATCTTGAGTTCCAATTGACCTTGCAAATGAAGCTCGACGAGAGCAAGTTCCAGACTCAGGAGAGTGCTGCATCATCGCCCTCTCGTCAGAAGGGCTCGGCCCTCAGTCGTGTGTTTGCTTCCCCGCGCCGTCGCAAGGAACAGCTTGACTTGAAGCAGCAGTCTCAGCAGAAGGCCAAGGACGTCAACGCTCCGGTTTACGAACGACTTCGAAACCTCGTTTCCCGTGATGGAAGTTTCGGCCGCGCATATGTCTCATTGAGCGACCATGAGCAGTATGCCTTTGGTCGGCCTTACACTGTGGATGTGGCTTGCTTTAACGAATGGGCTGTCGAGGAGACTCCCAGCAGCGTCAAGAGCAAGAAGAGTGCCACCAGCGTCAATTCCCAGCGTCGTCCACCTTACAAGATTGGGAAACTTGAGCTGCAGTTGCTGTTTGTCCCCAAACCTAAGGGCATGAAGGATGAGGACATGCCCAAGAGTATGAATGCCTGCATTCGTGAGATGCGTGATGCAGAGAGTGTAGCAGCGCGCACTTGGGAAGGCTTCCTTTCTCAGCAAGGCGGTGATTGTCCGTTCTGGCGTCGTCGCCTCTTTAAGCTTCAGGGTTCTAAATTGACGGCCTACCACGAGACTACGCGTCAGCCACGCGCAACAATCAACCTCGCCAAGGCGGCCAAATTGATTGATGACCGATCTTCCCTTACCCAGAAACAAACCAGCACCAAGGGTGGTGGTCGCCGCAAGTCCGCCTTTGCCGAAGAAGAGGAGGGTTACATGTTTGTTGAAGAGGGCTTTCGCATCCGCTTCGGTAACGGCGAGGTGATTGACTTCTACGCCGACAATGCCGCAGATAAGGAGGGATGGTTGCGAGTCATGTCTGAAGTTGTTGGCAAAGGCTCTTCTGGCAACGGAGCAGTCAAGGCTTGGGCAGATTTAGTTCTCAAACGTGAGCGCAGTATGCTGAAGCCGAGACGTCAGACTACCACCGATCGACCGGCTGCACCTCCTGGCCCGCCTTCGCCCATTGCGAAGCGGCCTATGACAGCAGCTCCAGCTCTCAAAGGAACGGCGGCGCAGGCGCCCCAGTCTCCTCGTCCACGACACAAACACACCTTCTCGCAGCCTGAGGTTCGCGGCATGGACTCCCGGCACCAGAAGACTCGCTCTCTAATCTTCTAATATGTGTCTGTGCTCCTAATGGCATTTCAAAGCCCCCATTCGTTTCTTCTGTCCATGATGTCAAGTTGTTACCATACCATGCCTGAACTTTCATTCCCTTCTGGGATGTTCATCACACTGATCCCGCTTTCCAAATTTGATTTCTTTTTTCTCAAGGCGTTGGTGTATCATGCTTCCTGTTCCTTTTGTTCTACTTTCCTTTTTGCAGAGTGTTTCTTTTCTGTTTCAAGACCTGCTCAAAGCAGACGAGGGAATGTGTCTGTTCCATGGGTGCTACGACAAGTGTATGACCCCAAACCCAGGACAGATGATCTTCTCATGACCCTTGAGCTTCCTGTTGTACGTTAATGCTACATATGCCTTACTCTTCTTTCCTTCGTCAGTTGATAATTGAGTTATTTCCTTTTCCTTATCCTATATCCTGCATCTATCGTAGTCTGTTTGTACCATGTCGACAAAACTCACGAGAACTCCAAACATCTCCCAACCGTTGATTACTCTCTCCCAGCCCACCCTGAACAATAATCCTATCCTTGCCAATAATATCCGCATCAAACCAGCTTCGAACAGCGCGTGTTACCACTCAACTGTGTATCACAATTCATTCCCTAATTTTCCCGTTCGCCCTTCTGGTACCTTTATGACATAGACTTCGACACACATGTGTTCCACGTATATTGATAATGTTCGGAATTCATTACTGTAGTTGCTCAATGGTTATGGCGGCAGTAATGTGAGAAGTCAATCTAGCTTTATTTTGGACTCATGACATTAGACACTGCCTTAATATCTGTACAAAAATGTTCACATGTAATACCCCAAGATTCACTAACTCCACAAGATGTTGATCCTTGACCACCAGGACTTGGGACCCTCTGGCGGATCTGGATCGTTCTCTGCAATCTCCACAAACCTCGCAACGGGCGATTCCTCCAAAGAGACAATCTCGGTACGATACCAGATCTTATATCCGAAGTAGAGAGCAGCGAAAATACCAATGTCAAGATAGGCAGAGATGAACGTCTCAGTTGACCAGCTGTGACAAACCGGTTAGTTTCTCGCATTTTATCCAAATCCGAAGATGACCTCGCCCGTAAGATCGAGAGTGAGACAAACTTACTGCCCATGAATAAAAGTGGTATAACCACCCGTCAACAGAATAATGGAAAGCGAAATCAGGGTCATCCACGCCGCATACGGTTGCAAGGGCGCTTTCCATGGTAGTCTAGTTCGAGAAATACCCTGCTTCTTCATGGCGTAGTAGAAGCGTAGATACGTAGTGCAGATAACCAACCAACTCATGATTTGTGCACACGCCACTAGATCCTGAAGCCACGTGAACACCGTTGCGGCCGTGGCGCTGACGGACATGTAGCCTAGGGCCATCCACATTCCGATTCCGAGGACGCCCATGTACGGTACGCCCCAGCGGTTGGTGCGGGCTAGGAAGCGCGGAGCTTGACCTTCCCGAGCTAGGCCGTAGAGAATGCGGGAACCGCTGAGGAGAGCTGCATATTGTTAGTATGTCCTAGATAGTTGGACGGAGACACACTTGAGTTTCCTGAGCTCCATGCGCTGGTCAATACGATTGCATTGATGATGTGAGGTACTACCTTCACATTTGAGCGGCTTGCGGCGATAAGGAATGGTGATTGGGCTGCTGTTCCGGTGCTTCTTAGGAGCATTTTGTCGTTAGAGGGGACGAGCAGGGTAATCACGAAGACAGATATGACTGAGGCATGTTAGATACCGGAATTTGGAAAGGATGGAGGTTGAAAATACTATAGAACAGTGCGACTCGGACGAAGACTCTTTTAGCGGCTCTAGGAATATTTCTTCTCGGCGCATGTGTCTCTGCTGCGGCCATGGAGATTGTCTCGACCGAGGAATAGGCATACGCGGCGTTGGCGAAGACAGTCCAGAATCCCATAAAATGGCCCAATGCTCCTGGAAAGCCGAGATACTGAACAAAAGGACCAGGGTCGTGCCAATATTTGAAGCCAATAACTTGGTGATCGGGGCCGCCTCCTGCGGTGAGTACAAGGCCCTGGAAATGTTAACATACCATTATCAATGAATTTCGAGATGGGTCTAGTACCATAATATTCATGCCGACAATCAGACAGACTTTCAAAATGGCAAGTGTGAATTCCACTTCTCCGTAGATGCGAACAAGAAAAATGTTGGTGGCAAAGAGAATTGCGCTGAAAACCGTCACCCAAATCGCGTTGTTGATAGTCACCCAGAACTGTATGATCACTGCGGCCGCAGAGATCTCAGCGGGGATGGAGATGAGATACTGATATGTGACGTTCCAACCTTGCGCAAAGGAGAAAGCAGGGTCCACAAAATAAGCAGCAGGTCGGATAACACCTCCACTAAGAGGAACAAGAGCGCTCAATTCTCCGATGGAGAGCGTTACCCCCGAGATCAATATCCCCATTATCGTATATCCCATGCTGCGGATAGATTAGAATTTGTTCAGACGTGTATGAGAAGAAACGTACACAATACCTGCTGGCCCGGCATTGGCTAACGCTCGTCCGGAGCCAAGGAAAAGCCCCGTTCCAATTGTGCCTGCTAATGCGATCATCTGAATGTGGCGCTGCTGCAGTCCTTTTCTGTGTTGACAAGTCAGAAATAAAAGAGAAAATGACCTGAATGCTCCGATCGAACCTTAGATCTTTCACTTCTGCCATTTCAGGAGCATCTGCTCCGTCTTTGGCCTTTTCAACATCATAGGGCTGGGTGCTAGGCACTGTGGTGTTGACAATATCATCCGCCATCTCCTAAGTAAGCTTTGCTACCGTGGCTGTTTTCGTATAATTGTGGAAAGAGCTTTAAGGAGGAATCAGCGACCTGTAGCATTCATATGTCCTAGGGGTCTGAGATAAACAATTGGAGAAGATAAGATGACCCACACGTAGCGTGGGCAGCGCGCTGTAATTTCGAACCGAATATGCGTGGGGGTGATAGGGGGGGAAACCTCCTAAGCGCAACTATAAATGGCAGACTTGCCCTCTTAGGGTATTTGCCAGCAGTCAAACTGGACGCTGGGAGCGATTTATCGGAGTGTGACCGAGTGCTCTACGCCGATCCACCCTTCTCTTTGCGGGGAAGAGGGCTCGACCACCGAGATTGCCCAGACCGGAGAAATATCTATTACTTGAGAGGATCCACTGCGTCTACGATAAGCAGAATGGAGGGAATTGGGTATGGACATGCGTGGACTTTTGCTTGGTCTTTCGAACGATATGGTATTTCATCTACTCAACACAGTTATCATACATGTGCCCACGGATCCTAGCTACGGATTTAGCTAGTAAGCAGCCTTGTCGGAGTAGCGACCACTTAATTAACAATTAGTGGCACATCCTTGCGTTCCGGCTATGCATATGCAATAGAAAATGCTGGTGTACAGATATATTTAACAGATATCGGGCACGGATATGATCAAATTTTTGCAGTAATTGGCCTTCTGGAATCGTAATAACCTTTACTAGAAGGCAGTTACTTATCATTACTCTGGGTGGCTAACTAGTTACAAATAAATGGCCATCCATGGTCTCCGCGCAACGCCGCCCAATCCTTGATAAGGCCTTGTCATGTGACTAGACAACTATGTGGAAAAAACCAATTCTGATGTCGGAGGCAGTGGTCTCATATTCCCTAGATAGATAGATAGGTGCTCATAAATATAGAAATCAAACCCTGACCTCCAGAGGAGGTTACTTTGAGCTTGTGCTTGTATTGCTTCCTGTCTCTCGCTTGGTTGCGTCATCGACTCTACGATACTTTCACAGGATTTGTGATGCCATCTGGTTACATAGCTAGGGAATGTACTACAAAACCTCTCACTGATCTTCTTTCTCTCACTTCATCGTCATCAGCCCTTCCTCAATTACTGCATTCTGTCTATATCCACCATGCCAGTCAAAGAAATCAGCTCGTACGTCCTTCCTTATCCCAAAGTATATCCCGGACATCCCGCTAACTGACAACCCACCGCTTAGAATGCAAGACTTCCACGAGGCCCTATCCACTGACGGCAACGTAGTGGTTCTCGACAGTTGGGCAAAATCGTGCAAACCTTGCGAAGTCATCGAGCCGGTGATGGAAGACTTTAGCGAGAAGTTCTCCGACGTCCGATTCTATAAGATGAATGTGGACGCTGTCGATGACGTTGCGCAGGAGCTTGGCATCAGCGCCATCCCGACGATTCTTCTTTTCAGGGATGGGCTGAAGATCACGGAGGTTGTGGGGGCTCATACGAAGACTATCGAAAATGCGATCCATGAGGCTCTTTCGTTTGGGATTCATGGGGTTGGGGAGACATAGGATACCTATTTCCTCCACTCGGATTCAACGTTTAGGGCATGGGTCTCGGTCTCTGCGGAGATGTTGGAAGAGGAATTATTTGATGGCGAGGGCATGGTTTGTGTTTGAGAGAGAAGAATTTGCAATTGAGCTTGATTTAATTGTGTGGGGGAGCGAAGAAGAAAATTGCATCGGATGACTTAGAGATGGCAATATATATACGGTTAAACGCCAGAGGTATTGAATTCGGAAGGGATCAAAGTCGAAGATATCATTGGCACTCTGATACAATGCGATAGCAATTCCTCACCCTCACTTAAACTATCCGAAAATCTCCCCGAAAGATGAGATGTGAGGAGCTCCAGGAATTAAGCATACTAATAATGATGTACCCGGGCTCTTGGCGCATGTTCCTGCATTGTTATATTGTATTGACGAGTCTTAACTTTTACAGTAGGAAGTATGTATATCCGCGATCAGAAACCCTTAATTCTAATCTAGACAGAGATAAATGAGTGTGAAATTGTACAGAGAAGACAGTCCCGAAATCCAATCTTGATAACAGCTTATCCTAGTCACTCCAGATCCCAAAAAATCAAAACGCTTAAGCCAACATGGCGAGCGCGATGCCCGCAACGATCATGCCAAAGGCCGAGCCGGAGGCGCGGGTGGCAGCGTTAGGGGTCGTAGTAGGCGACGGAGAGCCGGAGGTGGCGGAGCCGGAGCCGGAGGCCTTGGTGGAGGTGGCACCGGCAGAGCTGGAGCCCTTGCCACCGCTGGCGCTGGAGGAGGAGCCGGAGCTGCTACCGGTGGAGGTGGTCGAGCCGGGGGAAGAGCTGCTGCCAGATGAGGAAGAGCTGCCGCCAGATGAGGAAGAGCTGTTTCCAGACGACGACGAGGAGGAGGCGGTCGTGGAGGAGCTGGAGGAAGAGCCGGCAGACGAGGAGGTGGAGCCCTTGGGGCAGGTCAAGTCGAACAGAGGCTTGGTGCTCAGGGTGGTGCCGACGATGCCGAAGCTGGGGTTGGGTGTGGCCGAGGCGTCGGCGTCCTGCAGGGTGTACCAGTAGGTGTTGGTCTTGCCGAACAGAGGGCAGCCGACCTGGTCCCAGTACTGCTTGGCATTGGCGATGGAGGCGACACCCTGGTTCTCGGTCGTGCCGCTGACGGGCCAGCCGGTCTCCGTGATCCAGACCTCCTTGCCACCAGCAGCGGACTTGGTCTTGGCAACAGCATCGTTGAACAGCGACAGGCCATCGTCGATCGAGTTGGCCATGGTGTTCTGGAAGAATGGGTAGCCGTCGAAGCCGAGCCAGTCAACTGCGTCGTTCACGGCAGAGTTGGAGCTGTTGACCCAGGAAGTCCAGGTGTCGACGTGGCCGATGGGGGCGCCGCTGAGGCCGGTACCCTTGATCAGGGAGCGGACCTGGTTGATGTAGTCGACCAGCTCGTCGGGCTGGACACCGGGGCCGGCGTCGGACAACTCTCCGGTGGGCGAGTTGCGGTAGAGATCCTCACTGCCGACCGAGATACCAACCACCAACTTGGTGAACTGCTCGCCGTACTGGCTGATGGCAGACTTCAGCGCAGCCAGTTCGTTGTCCGTGTTGCCGCCGGAGGTCCAGAGACCCAGGAGCAGGGTGGTGTCTGACGCGATGGCGGCGGGAATGGCCGAGATGGGGTCGTTGGTGGTGCCACCCTGGATCATGGTGTACAGGCGGGCGCTGTTGAATCCCGAGGTGCCGACGAGGTTCTTGGCGGTGTTGAACAGGTCCTGGAACTGCGACTGGGTGCGGCTGCTGCCATCGCCGTTGGTGCTACCGTAGTTGAACCCCTGGAGGGCGGCCTGAGACGAGCCCAGCGATAGGGCGAGGGCCAAAAGGCTGGTGAAATGCATGATGACAATGAAAGAAAGTACAGAGAAAGAAGAAGACAAAAGAGTGTTGTGAAAGGGGTTTTAAAAAATAAAAAAGAGCGAGTGATGAGAAATTGGGAGAGTGGAAGGAGAGAAGAAAACAAGCCACAAGGACAGACACGTTTAAAAGGGGACCGCGCCAAAATCTAGACTTACGCCACTGAGACAGGGGTCGGTGGGTCACTGTGGATCCAGGCCGCGTCGTTGTGCCTGGAGTGAGGGTGTTGGATCAGTTAGTACGTTAGTACTTAAGATGTAGTAACTATACTATTTTGGGAGTGAGGGTCTACCAATAGTTTATTCATTGTCAATTATTTGTGGCTTGTGTTCTTATTTGCCCCTGGAATGGACAGAATAATTCTAGAAGGGATCACGTGGAATTTCCAGCCCTCATCCATGGGTATCGCATCGCTGGTAACGAAAAAAGAAAAGCAAAGGGGAAAATCTCACCACACAAACCCCTGCGGTCCCTGGGCGATCGGATTGGTGGCAACATACATAGCAGCTGGCTCGACTCCATTGGGACCGTTGTCCTGCACCTGGAACAAGCTGGCTAGAGCGATCCAGTTCGGGTCCTCCTTGCCGGCAAGATGGCTAGGCTTCACCACAATGACCAATGGACCCCGGCAATTCGCCTTCCATTGCTGCCTGAGCAATCGGAACCCTGTCTCTGCCGAGATCACCCACTTTCTCCGGAGAATCCACGTCTTGACGGTCGGGTTGCAGGAAGCCGGGATGACGAATTCAACCTGGCATCTGCTGTCCTCGTACGCCTTCCCATCGGCCGTCGGCTCGAAGATATGATTGACGGCCTGTGAATGTCCGCTCTCCGGGTTGGAGGGGCACTCGTGCTTGTTCTCGATAGCCCGGATGACCGGCGGTGTGTTGCGCACATACATCGTGTCGGCAGGCGCATGTCGACGCGCCCCGAGGTGAGTAGCGGCAGGGAAAACTTGCATGGATTCCGCCAACGAGAGGGATCAGTTGCACGCGGATCGACAAAGCCATCTCGCCGCCCGCGTAAACCACTCTGGGCGCCGTGACCTGGGTGCTCACACCCATAGTAGGGTCAGAATCCATTCGGAGCTTGTCCATTAAGCTGTGTTCCCAAATGAGGGGTGAGCCGCTTGCTGATGATTTTCATTTGGCCCGAGAAAATGCCCCTGGTCTGTATCTGTGCCCATTCATCTTTGAAAGGGCGATGCATCGTGATATGCACGCCTTTCTCGACCGAATCGAGCTCTTCGATCTTATAGGAGCCTTTATTCACATTAGACTCGATCACAGCGACGGAGTATTTAATAACGCCAGACCCAGCGCTCGGACCTCGGGCTGCCAGCAGGTCCTAGGAGCTATGGTCATAGATGGCGGCAAGGGATGTCCTGCGGCAGACTCGAAGTTTCCGGATGATGGATCCCAGCCCTTGACGGGTCCCGGTGATTACATCGTGGGCGCATAGATTTTATTTGGGCGATCCAGGGACAAATCAATATAAGACGACGTCATTTTGTCTCAGGGGTAGTTAATAATGATGTGGGTTTTGAAACACAACAACTGACAATAACAATGATATGTGGGTGAGTCGCTGAGGGCGTGTGGCTTTATGGAATGTCTCTCCAGGGTTTCTAGCCCTCCAGGATGCACCAAAGGCTTAACCAGCATCTCTAGGTGCTATAACAACAAAGTGGTACTGTAGTCAATTTCAGCCCCAGACGATGTGACAGGCGGAACCTTCGATCTAAATTAAGAGGGTCTAGGGGCCGATCTATCTCAACACGGTGTGGCTATGTTGCTTAGCGCGTCCCACTGTCTCACCACAGCCACAAGGGTGAGTGTGTTTTAGAGGCCAAGCCATTTTCAGTCAGCGTCAATTGTGGCTTGTGCAATAAAGAGGGAACAAAAAACAATTGGTCGCTCGAAGTATCCCAGTGGCTACGGTAGACCAATTTGCAAGGAGATAGCACCAATAGCGTGTAGAGCAAGCAATAAATTAATAACTGAGTAGACTATGCTTATCATGGCTTTTGGCATGACATTGCCAAGTCTTCATGATCTCCTCGTGGATGTACAATACAGTCTCGGTGACCTTCAATCCTCGCCATATCTAAGAGCTGGTAGACTTCTTCTTCGCTTCCCACTCGTCCGATAAAATCCCCATGTGAATGCAATCCCACCATCTCCCCGCTTTCCACAAACACTGCCTCCGCCGACCCTCAGGTACAAAACCAATCTTCTCATATACCTTCCTTGCCCTCTCATTCCATTCAAACACCGTCAGTTCCACACGATGTAACCCTGCCGTCAAAAAAGACCAATCAAGCAACCACGAGATAGCCTCTGGCCCGTACCCCTTCCCCTGGTACTGCTTCGCTATAGTAATCCCGAACTCATGTGTTCGGTTATGAACGAATACGGGCGGCTGAGATTTCAGCGAGATCACCCCAATCGTCTCGGGTTCCTTGTCCTTGTCGTCTGGGATGATGCATATCATAACAGACATGAACATCATGTTTTCAATCGTTTTTCTTAGATCTTTCCGTTCCTGGATGCTCATGGGACGATGGAGAGCGTGCGATGCCATAGACCCGACTGACGGGTCGTTGTAGAGAGCCATGAAAAATGCATCGTCCTCGGCGTTATCCTCTGGGGCACGGTAGAGGAGACGTGCGGAGCGATAAGGTTCTAAAGGGAAAGGATCCATTGCGCTGGTTGGTAGACTTGAGTCGTGGATATGGTAGGTGGATATATCTGGGTGGATTGAGAATAACTGGGGGAGGTACGGTAGTTTATAAGTCGGAGTTCGGATTCGCTTCCTCGGAAGATGGTTTATCTGTGGCGTTCCTAGCTTACACCATGTGACTCACCCAATACGAGATGAGTCTCGGGTTCAAGGTATGGGTCGATGAATGATAGTCTAAATACTCCCAGCCAGATTGTGTACCTGACTTTTGGTGATCCTGCGTAGTGCGGGGGAGTTATCAAGAGTCACCAAAGTACATCGGGAGATGCCTAACAAGCTCAGGTAAGCCACTCTTGCACCGATGCTAACCGCTACCGGAATTACAACTTTTTTTTCAACATTTCATTCTATTATAGCGCAATATGACTCTCTGTAGGTCCTTGACCTGACTTGGCCTTCTCAGAGCAGGCACTATGTATATACAGTCGGGGTCCACATTAGGAAGGTGGGGTTCCATTCTGATGAGGCGAGAAATTATTGTTTGGTTGAACTCTCAATGATCGCGGTGTGGAGGAGATCGGAAGTATATGAGTTGAGTGTGACCATTTACGGAGCACATTAGAATGCGCCATTCCACCAGGAAGAGACTAGCTGATCAAATTTGACTACCCTCGAACCAAATCTCAAGCGCCAGTTCATCACCTCAACTAATATGAAAGATACCGCAATTGGAAGGTGCCGGGGGCACGAGATTGCGGAGAACCAACAGTCCTCAAAAATGACCCAGAACTTTTCATCTCAACGGATCAACAGGGCGCACGAAGAATGGATAATAGTTGCAATCAAGGCGCCCGAAATCATTTTGAAGTCATCCTTGCCAAGACCAATCGCAATGTCCGCTGCTTGGATAACAGCAGAAGCCCCAATCACCAGCGATACCAACGGCCCGTCAAAATAGTAAGGGAGGAGGCCAGCCAATAGCTCGAGTGGTATTGTGCGCGCGGTATACATGCGCTGGTAGAAACGCTCGCCGTTGGTCACCTGGATCGATCCGGAGAGAGCGGCTGGGTTGACGGTTGCGATCACTCCTGCCGCCGCGGAAGCGAAGGAAGCGAGAAGGTTCAAGCCGAGGAGGAGAAAACGCATTGCTGAAAGCAAGAAGAGAAGGGTCAATGAATGTGGAATATATATTCGAAAGATGGGTATTTTCGGAGAACAGAATCGAGGCTCGGGTCCATGAACTGAGCTCTTACCGGAATCGACCGAAGAATGTCTACGTGTCCCGCGCCTTATCCTTACGTGAAATTGTTCCGAAGAGCCTAGATAACAAATGAGACTATTCGCGTAAGGACCCGACTTTTAGGGGGCGATCATTTTCCATTAGGGCCGCCAGCGGTATTTCTACCAGCTCCCCGTCGCGGGTTTGGCGCCGGCCCCAAACTAGTTCCGGGACTGTATTGTGTGGAGTTTAGTGTTGTACTCAACGGGATCGCCCGCCCCGCTACAGCCTCATGACCTGCGCTCTCGACAGTATAAAAGCGTGGTGAGTCGCTCAATCATGATCGATCTCCTTCTTTCTTACCACTCCGTCTCGCCCGCTAGCAATGCATCTGGATGAAATAGCGGTCCTCGTTTGCTGGCCTAGCTCCTGTCGAGCTAATAATTTTTCTTCCTACCTTTAGGCTGATGCATCTCCCAGAGGTTAGAAAGGCAGAGAGAGGTTAAGACAGGAACTCGCTCACGAAGTAGAATGCCAAGCCACACTATTCTACTATGGGAACAGGGCCAGGCCAACATTAGGAGGAACCATCTTGTCAGCTTCCCCCGCAGTGAGTGAGGCGGAAGCTCATCCTTTTCTCCATCTCCCGACACTCGTATCTTTATGTTCAATACATCGTTGAAAATCCTTAATTTCCAAGCCAGGTTGCCATTTCTAGAAAGCCACTGACTATTGTCATGAGTGATCCGCTGTCGATCGCAGCTGGGATCGCTGGATTCCTCTCACTTGGGATTCAAGTTACGCAAACCCTGGTCGATTTTTATTCGGTCTATAAAAGCCAAGACAAAGATATTGCAAAAATCGCCCAAAATATCGAAAATCTCCAGAGCGCATTTCGGTCTTTGGGGATTGCAATCCAGCAACGCCAATCCCAGCCCAACGCAGAGGGGCTTCTTCAAGAAGTCCGCAAGGCCACAAACAGATGCCATGAAATCATCGAAGAGCTCCAGGCGGAGTGCCAGAAGTTCTCAGCTGACGCGACGATCACCGGTTTGAAGGGCCGTTTTCAAGTCGCTGGGCGTCGTGCCGCCTATCCATTCCGAAAAAGCACTATACAGAAGATCGAAGAGGACATTGGCGAGATCCGGGAAAATTTGTCGTTCGCCCTAAACGTTCTCCAGTTCAAAAACCATAATCGGATAGAGGATGAAATATCAACAGTCAGATCTCTTCTCGAGCGGACAAAATCAAGTCAAATTTCTATTACGATTCGTTCGTGGCTTCAGGCACCCGATCCATCTGTGAACCATAACGCTATTTCTAAAAAACACCATCCAGACACTGGCCTATGGTTTATTAACAGCTATCAATTTGCAAATTGGCTACAAGAACGGAGCTCTTTTCTCTGGCTCAATGGGTTCGCAGGGTGTGGCAAGTCGGTTCTCTGCTCCGTTGCAATACAAACTACATTCCGTGAGACAAAGCATAGGAATAAGGTTGGAATAGCATTTTTCTACTTCTCCTTTACCGATGACTCGAAGCAAGATGAGCAAGGCATGTTACGTGCACTATTGTTACAACTATCGGTCCAGCTCCAAGATGGCGAAAAGGAGCTCGAACAGCTCCGCTTATTGTCTAAGTCATCTACCCCTTCAGTGGAAGCCCTACTCCAAACTCTTCGAAAATTCCTTGAGAGATTCCAAGATAGCTATATTCTCCTCGATGCATTAGACGAGTGCCCGCAAGACAACGGCAGGGAAGGGGTTTTAAGAGCAATAGAGGCGATACGAGATTGGAGCATACCTACTACTCATCTCTTAGTGACAAGTCGTGAACAGTCTGACATTCGACGATCTTTAAACCCTTCTTCTAACCATGATATATCGATGAAGAATTCAGGAATTGATAGGGACATTGCAGGTTTTGTTTCTTATCAGCTCGAAAACGACCCTAAGCTCCAGAGGTGGAAAGTACGCTATAGCGAAATTCAAACTAAATTAACACAGGGCGCCCAGGGCGTGTAAGTATTCTAAAAATAGAGGGTATATCCTGATATTCTAATAGCAATTTATATCTAGGTTCAGATATGTGGAATGCCAGCTAAATGCTTTTCGCCGGGCGCGAAACCGGAATCAACTTGACGAATGTCTACGATCATTACCTCGTGATCTGGATGAAACGTACGAACGTATGCTTTGTAGCATCGATGAAACATATGTTGAGGATGTACGACGTATATTAACAATTCTCTGTGTCTCCACCCGTCCTCACACTGTTGAAGAATTAATCGACGCTCATGCGGTGGAACTTAGTGAACCACCATATCTCGACCGTGATGGCCGGTCCTACGAGCACGATGATCTCGTGGATATTTGCCTTGGACTTATAGAGATCGTGGCAATCAAAATTGATGATGGAGACCCGATTTCGGTCGTCCGTATCGCGCATTTCTCTATCCAAGAGTATCTTCAGTCCGACCGAATCCGCCAACAGAAAGCGGAAAGATTCGCTATTCACAGTATCACTGCAAACACAGAGATGACTCAAATCTGTCTTGTCTATCTTCTGGACCCGAGACTATCGGATGGAGTCTTGGACGAGAAGAAGGTTCGAGACTTCCCACTTGCGCACTTCGCTGCCGCGCATTGGTACCACTATTATCGAGTTTCTCAAGAGGGAAAGTCAAAAGCTGAAAGCTTGATATTGAGGATCTTCCAAAACGAGAGGAATTCCTTCGTGAACTGGGTCAGGTTTTATGATATCGATCATCCACTGGAAAACTACGTCAGTTTTAACAGAGGAATGGATGACATGGCATCGCCTATATACTACGCATCTATTTTGGGGCTGGAAGCGACTCTGAAGAGCATTCTAGCAACTTACACAAGGTCTTCCAGTCTACCAGACATAGTTAATGCCATGGGTGGAAAGTATGGCAATCCACTTCAATCCGCGTCCGCTAAAGGCCACAAAGAGGTGGTCCAAATACTTCTCGATCATGGTGCCGATGTGAATGCCGTAGGTGGATACTATGGCAATACACCTTACGCTGCATCAGCAAGAGGCCATAGAGAAGTTGTTCAAATGCTTCTCGATCACGGTGCCGATGCGAATGCCCTAGATGCACTCTACCCGGCATCAGCTAGAGGCTACAAAGAGGTGGTCGAAATACTTCTTGATAAAGGTGCCGATGTGAACGCCCAGGGTGGATACTTTGGCAATGCACTTTACGCCGCATCAGTTGCAGGCTATGATGAAGTAGTCCAAATACTTCTTGATCATGGTGCCGACGTGAATGTACAAGATGGAACGAATGGTAGTGTACTCCAAGCCGCATCAGCTGAAGGCCACAAAGAGGTAGTCCAATTACTTCTCGATCACGGTGCCGATGTGAACGTCAACACCCTGGGCCATGGCTTCGGGAATGCACTTCAAGCCGCATCAGCTCATGGCTACAAAGAGGTAGTTCAAATACTTCTCGATCAAGGTGCCGATGTGAACGCTAAGGGTGGATACTATGGCAATGCACTTTACGCCGCATCCGATAGAGGCTATAATGAGCTGGTCAAAATACTTCTTGATCAGGGTGCCAATGCGAATGCACAGGGTGGAGAGGATGGCAATGCGCTTCACACTGCATCCGCAAAAGGCCACAAAGAGGTAGTCCAATTACTTCTCAATCATGGTGCCAATGTGAATGCTCTGGGTGGATACTACAGCAATGCACTTCAAGCCGCATTAGCTAAAGATCATAAGGAGGTGGCTCAAATACTTCTTGATCATGGTGCCGATGTGAATGCAAAGGGGGGTTCTATGGCAATGCACTCCAAGCCGCATCCGCTACAGGCAACAAAGAGGTGGTCCAAATACTTCTCGATCAAGGTGCCGACGTGAATGCAAAGGGGGAAGCTATGACAATGCACTTCAAGCCGCATCAAGCGCAGGCCACAAATATGTGGTTCAAATTCTTCTCGATCATGGTGCCGATGTGAATGCCAAGGGGGGATTCTATGGCAGTGCAGTTAGAGCCGCATCAGCTTGGTACCATAAAGAGGTTGTCCGAATGCTTCTTGACCATGGTGCCATTACCAGTACTAAGCCACCTCGAATTTGAGTTCAAGTTATGTATAGGTTGCAGTAACCCCAAACGTCCCAGAGCGATACCGTAAGCTCAATTTGTATCTCGGCCCACGCATGTCCTCTGGATGATCGCAGGATCTACCGGTCTCATGGGTGATCGTATCAGTAGTTAGTGAACTCTCTAGGAATCCTAAACCCAAAATGGAAACTAACATTAAACTGGCGAGACCCAAACTATGAAAAATGGCATACTTGCCAAACCGTGGTTAAAGGTGAACCCTGATTGTTGTTACCCCGTATCTGGTGTCGGAGTCTTACAAACGATCGACAATTAAAGTTCCGAGGAGACTGAAGCAAGGAATCAAACAAAGTTCACAATCCTGTGTGTTGGAATTGACGTCGACCTGTGGATTGCAGCCCCTGGAGGCAGAAGGCAAACCCAGTAGATCGCTCGTTTAACCAGGGGATAGTATTGCCATGCATGAGCAGTATTATAGGGTCGTGCTCCCTGCATGTGTACATGACAGAGCAGTCCCGCCATAGCCTTCCAGGCACGAATGATGACATGAACATGAGGTAATTATATTAATTACAAGGACAATTAATTAAGAAGGTATTCTACAGCACCAAGATCCACTTTGCCTATCTAGAACGCACATAATGACATCGAGATCCATTCTTCCGTTCTGCAACATCTTGGTGGCGGCCCCTATGAATGTCGAGCGCTGTCCGTCCATGGGGAGCCTTAGCTTAAACTCAATGTCCATAGTGACGGTGACGTTGGAACGTTGCTGATTGCATGGCCTCGACGATCGTGTTAGTCATTACGGCGGGGATTCTCTGCCCATAGCTCTATCTTCTCCCACAGGGCGTGCGCGTCGTATAAGCCGCCGTTGCGCAAGAGCGTGTCGGGCATGGAGGGGACGATGTCCGCCATCATGGCCAGGTAGGTGGAGTCCAGGCGCTCATCTCCAAGGAAGCTATTCCACGCATCGCAGACTTTTCAAAGACGTCTCGGAGAGATTGCTTAGCAGTGCTACCCTCCGCTTCCTCTTGACGAACTTTTCGCTTGGAAACCCCCCTTCCACCCTTTTTGGGCTTCAGCCAGAGGAGGCAGGAGGCCGAAACAACCATGATTCCCTCCACCTCGAGTAGCCCGCCCGGTATTGGTTTATGAGTTGGATGCATCCTTCTGGCTCTGAGAGCTGGCGCTCATGGTCGGTTGGGAGGTAGGGAGGATCTGCTTGGACTGCTCCTTCTGCTTCATTTTGCCATAACCGTAGACAAGGCCGCTGAAGAATCCCAGGAGGATAGCCGAGACGCTACCAAACGTGATGGGAGCATCGAAAAAGACGATGCCGCTGATGGCGAGCGGGAGCTTATTTAGATAACCGATGAACGAGTACGTAGTCGACGAAGTCTTGCGAATGCACCAAGCAGACGAGTACGAGATGAAGATGGCACCCAGGCCAGAATACAGCATGCCAATCATGAGGTTGTTGCGCGACTCGGCAGGGAAGTTCTTAGCCAGGTTGGCCGAAGACCAATCCTCGGTGACCAAGGAGCAGATGATCATGATCGGGAGGGAGAGCATGTTGTTATAGAACATGGCTGGTCGATTCCGGTCAGTTTTAGTTTGCAAAGCCTGGTAGTTAATCAAGAAAAACTTACTGTCCCAGTCCTTAAAGTTCAGCGAAGTGATGAACTTGCGTGTGCCCAGGACGTATGAGGCAGTGCAGAAGACGTTAAGCCCCATCCACGCGTACCCAGCGTTCAAGGTTGAGATAGCGGCGGCAGTCTCACTCGAGTGCCCAACGCCATTGAGAGCAGCCTGAATATCAGCCCACGCAGCAACGACGGAGCTGAGCACCATGAAGCCGAACGACAGCAGAAGCAGCGGGGTGACATTGCCGCCAAACCAGAGGACTTCACCATAGGCGATGACGACGATGGTTAAGTTCTTAAAGATAGTGTATACCGGAACAGATAGAAATTGAAGAGACCTTGTGCTAGTGTAGATCATGCCGACGAAGAACACAGACACGGGGAGCCCTGATTCGGTGTTAGCACGGCCGGGAATTGCACGAGCGTCAGGTGGCTGTCGCAGACATACATCTCTTGGCCTTGCTGCTTTCCAAGGCAGCGAGGTTAGGGATCAAACCCATCTGTTTCAAGACTAGAATTGCAGCAGTGCAAATAACGGCCTATCGAATAGGTGTCAGCTACAGAGTCTTGATGGGGTCCAGAGTGTCGCAGCGCATACCTGAATTGCCAGATAAAGGAAGTTCAAGTTCCAGGACGAACCCGAAACGACATACTTGTTCACGACTGTCATGCTGATCGAGGAGACGCAGTAGGCCAGAGCAGCAGCACCGGGACTGTTCTCGAGTTGGGAGAGAATGCTACCCATGCCGCTATCGACGCGAGCCCGGTGATGGGGCGCAGGCTTCATCAGGAAGCTGTCCCGCTCACCAAACTCTTTCTCATCCATCCCGCTCATCTCGAGATCCTCGTTCTTCTTGTTCGACATTGTGGTTTCGTCGTATCATCGAAAGGTCCGAAACGAAAGGCTCGAGGTTGGCTATCCCACAGGATGACGGGGATAAACAAAGGGTAGAAAAAATCTGTAGGGAGGCTGCTCGATAAGAGAAGGGCGTTCGACTTCGCAAGAAACAAAGGCGACAATCGAGACCGCAGGTCTGTGACTTCAAATCAAAGACAACAGGAAGCGAGGATAAAAAGACGGGCGATAGGACCTCGTCAGCAAACTTGACGAATTACTCGCCTTGATGCTGCAGAGGAAAGAGCTGGGTTGACGCGTTCAATTGCAACAGACACGACTCCCAGCGACGGGCTTGCCAAAAGAGGCTTGGCGGATGGGGACAGGGGCAGGTGGCCCTTGCCCCGTTTTGGAACGGCATCCAGTAGATCGCGGAAAGTGCTTATATAATACCATCTAACCTATTTTGATCTTCTCTCCTAAACTACTGCCTGTACTACACCAAAACGCTAGGTGACGGTAAATCGGGCGCCGAGAATGGCGTGCAATGTAAAAATTTTTGGCGCCCTTTTTACTGAATATTAGTCATTCATAACTCATATGATAGTTAGGATTGAACTGTATGCTCTCTAAGCACACTCTGAGTACATTCCGAGTACTTGGCTCCAAGTCGGAGGATAGTGCTAATAGTTCGCTTTCATCGGACTGACCCAATTGGTGACGCAATCATTCCTAAGGTAATCGAATTCAACATTCTGGACTTTGTTTCCGAGATGAAATAGAGAATTGAGATATGTTTAAAGGATAGTCAAATGTAAACAAACACTTCCATGGTTGCTAAGGTGATGAAATGGAAAACTATCAAGATTTTGATACTGGTAAAATCGATTAATCTGATTGTTTTTGGAGGAATAGAGGGAGGGAGGGACGGAGTTGGAAGGTCTGAGCTCAGCGAAAAGGCTATAGGTAAATATTTGCATGTTAGTTGAGACCAGTGGATAGTGTGAAAGTGACAAGGTAATACTCGTAGATTTGGACTTTAGGTTTGGGTATTGTAAAGCCTCGAACTAAAGCAGCAAGGCTCCAAAGATGAAAAAGGATATATAGCCAAAGCATATTGGCGATATATCCATGTGGAAAACCAACACAGACTGGCTTGTAGTGCGACTGGCTTCCTGACTCCTTTCATGTTATTTAAAGGTTGTCCTGGTTTGTAGTTAGGGCTCCCGGTCAACCAGAAGGAAGACACGGGGCCGAAAACGTAATGAAACCGAATCCCCCCTGAAAGCAAGGAACATAAAAACCCCATCCTTTGCCAAGACAAGCAAAAGAAGACTCCCTCCCAGCGGTCAGTTTATTATAGAATCTCAAATGCCTGCGCTAAAGAGTCGATTGTAAGCTTACCGTGATCATCTTATGTAGAGTAGTGCCTCTTGAGGACTGAAGTCTATAAGAAGAAAGGAAACTGCTTGTTGTAGCTAAAGCTAGACCTTAAAAAACTAGTTCTACAAGGGTAAATATGTAGGTTAGTGTGATTGTTTTCAGGTGAGATCTGCGTGGCACGATTCAGGGACGCTTTATGATTGGTTCCTTATCGGCGCCCCCCTTCCCTTCAGGGTACAGGATCAGTGGTGCTAGAAACAGACTTCTTAAGTTCTTCCACTCGTGCTAAAAAAAGTAGATTCGCAAGCTAGGGAACTTACTTACATGGACAACAAGGCCCACATGGTTGTAAAGTATTGTTTTGTCCAGTAGATTGGATGTTTCTCACTCTAGGGTATTGTTTTTCGGACCCCTCTAAAGGAAGTTCATTCTCTTCCCGTAAAATGGGGCGGCCTTGTTCCTAGAGGGTCGGAGGTGGACCTTTCGCGAGGGCTACCTGGTACTATGTATTTGGACTGAAAGAACGAAGAATCAGGGGCGGACTTCATAACCCTTCTTATTGCTGCTGCTTGGAATTTGCCTTGCCGTGCAGCTCAAAGTCTTTTCGTTCTTCCATTAGCAGCTATTTGAACAAGCACCCCAAGATGCTCTTCAGCAAACTTTCCTGGGCGGTTCTCAGCGCCACTTTCTTCTTGATATCGTATACCTCTTCTGCACCGGCAACTGGCAAACCCCTCGACTCGGTCAACTACTTAGAACGTCGAGGTATCTGGCCCACAGGTTTCTACACTTGGGACATATACAACAACTATAAAAATTACCTGGCCGGCCTTTCTAAGCCTACGCCAGATCTCCAACAGTTTCCTCAGGGGGAAAGTGTCGGTTCAAATGGAGAAAAAATATATGCGTTCTCTCCGGATCTAGACGACACTAATTCTCAATCCTGTCAGGAGTGGAAGGTGGAGCTATTTGACGACGAAATCGGGAGCGGGGGATATGGGGACATTCTCGATGGAGAAATGCATCGCGATACAGGAAGGAGTGAGACGGTTGCGGTCAAAAAAACGACAAAGGATGCACAAGGTATGCTGAGAGGCGACCGCCTCCGACAAAAGATAAACGGCCCCGGTATCCTGCAACCTTATGGTTCTTTCTGGATTCCGAGGAGAAAAGGAGCAGACTACGGCCCGGCTTTTTCAGTTATGCCTCTAATTAAGGGGGGGTGACCTGTCTAAATGGATCAAGGCCCTCGGTACAAAGTCGCGAACCATGTCAGCAGCCGACGTCTGGGCTGAAGTAGATCTGGTTTTCAAGCAGCTGTTGGAAATCATGGTCTCCGTGTCCAAAGCTGAGGTTGCTCACCGTGATATCAAACCAGAGAACTTTATGCTTGATGGGCAGCAATGGAAAGCCATTGATTTCGATATGGCTACTTCGGCTACTTCAATTGAGACATCAACGGATTACTCTATAGGCTCGCTGTTATTCACTCCACCGGGTGAGCTTTCTGTCCCTTATAACTTCTATCATTGGGTTAATTAGAATCTGTGCTAACCATCAAACTTCCTCGCACAGAAAAAGTTAGAATGGTTCCATACCTTCTTCAGAAAGGAGACGTTTTTGCCATGGGAATCCTCTATTTGTTTATGGCCTTTCCGAATATGGATATAAAGGAGCAAGCCACCACTTGGGCCTTCCTGGTACAGCTTCCGAATAAGGAAGTGAATATCTCGCCGGAACAAGCTGAGCATATCTTGGAAGTACGGTACGACGAGGACCTACCTGAGAATAAGCGAAAACTTCTTTCAAATGTCTTTTGCCAGCAGGATCAGCGGATAACTATGCAGGATTTCTTGACCCAGTTCACAAATCTCTAGAATAGATGATGAGATTCAGACTTTTTACATTGAATGCTATAATTGAGATCTTAGCTTACGAATACAAACCAAATTAGACCTTGCCACGACCCTGAATTCTGACCCTGAGCGTCGGACCCTACGCCCTACAACCCTGATATCGACCCTTATTTTCATAAATGTGTGTACAATAATGAAGAAGTTTCCTATGTAGGACGATTTACAGTAGAAAATTGTCTTGGCGGGTCATAACTCAGGGTCGTGGCGAGGTCTAAACCAAAACAAAGGATTCGGTGGATTCATTTCTTTCTTCTGTTCTCCCTGTTTGACAACCTCCTTTTACTATGGATGTATATATGTGTTGAAATGCCTTCTCCTTGATAGACCACAGGTCAGGAGTCTAAAGTGTGTCAGTTGGGAAGAAGACCGCGTTCCTATTGGGCTACGGTCACTCCTATCCACAAGCCTGACTTAAGTCAGGGCGCTAAATCGCGAAGCGGAAGGGAGAATCGTAACACAGAGTGCTCAGGAAGCGCCCGCTGCTCACCCCAGGATCTCAGAGCCGATCGCTTCCCGAGATGGTAGCCTTACCGTCACCATTATTACACCACAACGCTAGGTGACGGTAAACCGGGCGCAGAAAATGGTTACCTTAGACGCCATTTTCCGGGCGCTTTTTACCAGAATCGTAATCATCCTTGCGTCAGGGAACACGATTAAACTATGTGCTCACCGAGCACTCTCTGAGCACTCAGGGTGCTCAGAGCAGATGATCAGATGTGACGTGTGTCTACGATGAATTTGCTTCGAATATGTAGGGAGTTGGCAGTGTTTAGATTATAGTATTTACATACATTCTATGTACTTCCCCCTAACTCCAATTACCCAAAGGAAAATTCTCACAAGGGGCATTCAATCTCTCAACATGTCAATCGCCATCGAGTAAGCCCTTCTTTTGGCCTCTTCTTGTATAGGCCCTGCATTCACAGATTTATCCCAGCCGTGATCACAATTCTCCATTCTCTGAAAGACGACATGATGATCGGCTTGCTTTTTAACACGAGAGACAAGCTCTTCAGCCTCTGGTGCCAAATTGTCACGACCAGCAGTTATCATCAAAAGTCTAGTAGGGAATCGTGTGGGATCTGCATAAAGGGGCGAAATACGAGGATCCCGCGCATCGACATCCACAGGGATATAACAATTGTTAAAAAAACGTGCTATCCGAGGAGGAATCGCCTTTCCAGACGTATCAGGTGCGATCTTTTCAGCGGGGTTCTTTGCTAGATCCACTCCGGGATAGAAAGCAAGAACTGAGCGAAAAGTATCTTGAGGCAGTAGGACACCAGCAGCAACGAGGGCAAGATTCCCTCCAGCACTGAAGCCCGAAGCACTCAGTCGAGTCAGATCATATTTATCCGGCTGTCCTAAGACCCACCGGATAACATCTTCAACATCGTTCACAGCAGCTGGGAACGGATTTTCGGGAGACAGCCGATACTGGACATCGATCACTGCGTAGTCTGTGTTTTGACAGACGTGGTGACAAAACTCATCGTCCGAGCCAAAAGCAGGAAAAATCATCCCGCTTCCATGGAAATTGATCAAAGCCGGCTGTGGAACAGATGGAGTTGGGGTATCTCTCTTGTATAGATGGGCCGTGATGGTTCTGCCGGCGTCTCGACTTGAAATACGCAGGGTGGTATGAACATGCTTTGCAACCGATGCAGGACGTGTTAATTTGAAGACGACCCGCAGAAAGGTCACAGCAATTCGGAGGTAAAGATTTCTGAAAAATAATGTAACCCGCCACATTGTCCGAGGTGGAAGAAGTTGCTTTGTTTCTGCAAGCAGATAGGAGATAGTTCTCCTGGCTTTATATGAAAATCATGTGAGTTGAGCGGGAATGACTATGTAAGGAGTCGGCGTCCCAAAGGAGAAAATGGGTGCAGTTAGGCGCCCACCGCATGCCTAAGGTAGCAAAGTTCCGAGATTACGTGAAAGCACTTAAGATTCCTGGTCCTTGGGACGTAGCCGTCAAAGAGTATGGTGAATGGCAGGGGTCGAATGCCAACAATGACATGCTCACATCATCTCGCTCCTCCAGCAGTTTTACTAATTCATACCACTCCCACACTATTGCAGGTCATGTAAAAAACAGATTCTATTCTAGGAAGCGGTCGATCGATGATCATACCATATTAGGACTAGCGCATTTTACATAGATAATAAGAAGATCATCTCTCTTAATTATTCGCCCCAAATGGTTGGAGTGAGAAGAATGAAATACCATTTCCATCAATTTATGTTCATTTACTAACTGCTCCAAGATCCTGTGGCGCTCTGAACAGAGATCGATATAACGCGCTAAGCCGATTATGGTGACCGACTACTTCCATGCGGCTCGGTTACCATCCAAGTTGACTCACGAATCCATTCTAGGTGTGCACTTGTATGGCTGCTCCACAATAGCTATAAAGCAATGGATATTTATTGGACAGCTCGCACGGAGTACCTAGTCTTGAGCCGCAATTTCCAACGTGTTATCTATCACATGAGAGACGAGGCTACCATGAGTCAACATGGCTTTGCTGCGGGGGGAGTTCCTACAGATACAAAAGGAAGGCTAACCTACTCCAGGCTCAAAGAAAGGAACTCCAAAGCGTCAAGTCTGAAGCAATCAGCCAGAGAATGACAGTACCGGAAATGAAGGAGTATGACCTCTTAATTATCGCGGACGCAACCGCGTCCATGTCCAACTATCTCCACTCGCTCAAAACCTCGCTTCCTCAGATCATCTCAGTGTCCGCGCTCACAGAATGTTTTTCACGTACTGGCCTTCTTGCATATCGCGATTATGGAGATAGCAATTTACTGGAATGGTCTGGGTGGCTGCATCAGGATGCAACAGAAGGCACTGACCAGGAACCCGATCTTGTCAGCCTCGCGAGAGGCCTCCATGCTCAAGGTGGCGGCGACTATCCGGAGGCTGTCAAGACTGCCCTCGCCAAGGCATACGAGGTGATGCGATCCGAAGCGACCACTATAATTCTGCTTTATACCGATGCGCCTCCGCACATGGATGAACCCGCTGCGGTCCTAAGCAATAATGCGAAGTCAGAAAGACAACTATTGTCTCGGAAAGAATCTTATTCCGGCAGCGGATCTATCTTCCTGAACTGGATAGCTGGATGTAATGCTCTACGCAGTGGACCGAAACACGCCCAGGTCTTCGCGATTCTCCCGTCAGACATGCCGCAATACTGTGCCGCGTACTATAACTTCCTAGCCACTTTAACGGGCGGTGCTTGTGTTCATCTCAATGACAATCGTCCTGCAAATATCTCAAAGGTGACTGTCGACATTCTTTTGAATTGGATGGGCGTGGAAAAAGCCCCCCGTCTCAGGAGCCAGCAAAGAGCTGGGCTCGGAGACAGTCTCTGCGGAGCTGTCGCGCTACATCTCTGTCAGCGGTATCAAGCAAATTGGCCAAGAGTACGAACATGCTGCAAGTCCTTTTCTGGCATTTTCTCCGTGTAAGACCTTGTCTGAGAACCTCACAAGCATTGGAATGACTGGAGAGGTCATGAAAAAGCACCTTCCCAAGAAGGAAATTCCAGTCATGAATTTTGCAGAGCGGTGGAAGACGGATGCACGATACAAGGAGCGAGCGGTTAAGCAATTGATGAGCATAATCCGAGAAGATGTCCGAACTATAGCACTCAATCCTGTGTTCGGAACTATGTGGAGAGCATTGTGCAGCGATAGAACCTATCCTCGACGTGATGAAATTGTCCTTGCATTCAGCCAACATGTCGACAAAATTCAAAATTCAGAGGAGCGGGCTCAAATGAAGGCGTGGCTTGAGAATTCTTACGACTACGCGGAAGAAATATTAACTATCATCAACGCTGTTCATGAAACAGAACAGTTTCCTTGCGTGTTTCTGGATCCTACGCTACGATTCTCCAGCACTAGCGAAGATGGAGATGAACCAATCTCAGCATTGACAAGAGCTGACCTGCTTGAAATCGGTCGATCCTGCAACGCTCCCATTCTGCGGCGTGTCGGCCGCGTTCTAACCCAACTGACATTTGCTGGATCCGCGAGCGAGATGCCGGAGCACGTTGCAGCAGCATCCACTGAGCAGGTGCCAAGAATTCCGCTGGCCCTGGCTTCAGAGAAATATGGCCGTCAGTTTTGGAAGGTTCTTTTCCATCTTATTGTCCCAGGTACCAGACTATCAGGTCGTCCGGCTGCTCTCGTTGCCGCCCTAAGTATACGAATTGGAGTCGCTCACTTCACTGGCATTGCTGCAAGCGAGATGCTTGTGTTCAAGGACAGGTGGAACGACATCTCTGTGCCCGAGAACTGGAACATGGGCTGTTTGACCCTTCTCGTGGATGCCGACGAAGGATATCAAACATGGCAGGTGGACTCAGCGTCAATGCTGCAAGACCAGGAGGCGATTAAGAAGCCTGTTCGACTTTTGAAGAAAACCGATCGTAAGCTTTTTGAGCAACTGGTTGCCTTCAAGATCTTGGAACTGAATCTCGATGCTCCCCTGACGGCCCGTGTTCCATGGACTCCACAGAAGTCAAGTGCGCCCGTCGGACCTTTGACGACATGCCGATCTTGTCAATACATCCGATCTGTCACAGTAATGGGAAAGAGTAGCAAGTGCGGTATTTGCCTGGCTACAGACTATGCTACCCAGAAAGAGAAGGAAAAATATATATCCACTGGTGTCTCCCGGGACATCGACCGTGTCTCTGAAGCAACATGGGTCGAGTGTGGTATTGTCTCTTGCAGAGCACAGTACATTGTGTATAATGTCGACGCACTAAATGTCCGAGCAAAGTGTCACTATTGCAGAACCCAGCAAGGCACCGCACCTGTCGTCGAGTGCAAGAAGTGCTCTAACCGGATGATTTGGCCTAAAGAATATAGACCTTCTTCGTTTCACGAAACAGAGTTCATCTGCCCCCCTGTATATCAGGCCATAACACGATTACAGGCCTGGAAACGACCGCACGGGCAATCTCCATGGAGAACACCTTCTCCTGGCTTATCCACGACACACAGAATTCGATCGCAGAGTTGTTCAAGAATCATTCGCTATTCTCTACGGTCTCCAATGTGGGAACTATTAGCTTCCTTTCTCGGATAAAGCTCTTCCCATCCGGCAAAGCAACCCTCACTCACCGAGAAAAGCGCATCCATAACGCAACTGAGTTGGCATCCATTATCCATGAGATGGTTATTGGGCGCAAGACAATCCAGATTGACTGTTCGCTATGTTTCTCAACATTCCATCCCGGTACACTGAACCCCGCTTGTGGCCGACATGGGTGCCTTCAGCGAATTTGTACCACCTGCTTAGCAGGATGGTACGGCCAGAATGCACCTGGCTCTGTTATCAACACCGCTGCCCTTGCATGTCCGTTCTGCCGCCGATACCCCACGCCTCGCACGCTTGCCAAGTATGGAATGGGCATCCAGGGGGTCAGAGGGCTGGCTGATGCGGTACGCGACAAGGGCACTTCGATCTATGCCTGGTGTCAGGAATGTGCCTCCGCAAAGGAGTATATGCAGCGAACCTGCGCAAGAGGAACACCCCAACTATCCAACTGGTCATGCTACGAATGTGTACAAGAGCTTGAACGACAGCGATTGGAGGAAGAACGACGGACAGCAGAGGAATTATTCGCCATTGCGCGATTGGAGAGGAATATTCACCTGGCTGAAGCGGTGGAGCATCAGCGAGACTTGGCCAACCAGAAGGAAGAGGAGCGCAGGATACGGAATCTCGCGCCATGTCCCCGATGCAAAGTCATTACTGAGAAGATTTCTGGGTGTGGCCATATGAGTTGTCCCATGTGCGGCACAGAGTGGTGCTTTTTCTGTGCCAAAGTCATTCCTGGCGACATATATGATCATATGGCTCAGAAGCATGGGGGCATATTTCAAGAAGATTTTGAGAGGGAAGTGGTGCCCCAGAGAGTCCAGAGAATGATGGAAGATGACGGCCAGAAGACAACGAACGACGAAGAGTCTGGTTAATGTATACAGTTGATCCGGAAATCGGTGTCACCACCTATCCCCTTCACCGTCCGCGCCAGCACAATTAGCGTGGTTTCAATTAGTGTATTTTTCTAACCAATTAGACATAATACTAAAATTTATGAGCTCTCATTAGCTAGAAGGGCTCCACTACTTTGCTTAATTATCAACGCGTAGTAGTTATTCTAACTACGCGTAGTTAATTAGTTTCTCTTTGAAACTACTCCCTACTCTCACCTTTAGTTCTACAATCCTTAAATTCAGTATGGCAAAAGGTATTTACCTTATATTATTAGGCTTAGGGGCTAGTATTATACTAATTCTAGAGATTTATTAGGCACTAAGCGGAAGCTTAATGAAATTATTGCTGAATTACCCTCCCAAGAGGCGCTTAATGCTCGACTTCAACCTCTATATCCTAGCTTTGAGGCCCCACGACTACAGCTCCCAAGTAGTCTGAATATTGATAGCCCATATGCGCTATTCTCTCTCTTTATAAGCGAAGAAATGTTCGAATATATTGCCCAATCTACCAACGAATATGCGCAGCAAAAACAATCTGAACATCAATCGCCTACCTGCCGCGCATGGAAGGATACCACCCCTTTAGAAATCAAGGCTAGTCTATTAATACCTAGTCTGGTCTATCAATATCTAGTCTATTAATACTAATAGAATATAGGTCTTTTTGGGATCCTTATCTATATGGGCATTCATCAATCCCCGACGTTTGATGACTATTGGAGCCAAGATGAGGATAATGGACCTCTACACCTTCCTAGACGCTATATGGCTCAGAAGCGATTTGAGCAGATTAAACGCTTCTTACATATATCTAGGCTAGGTACAGAGGATGACCAAAAGGCGACTAAGCAATGGTGGTATAAAGTAGAGCCTCTAGCTTCTGAATTTGAAAGAGCAGCTCGAAATTACTACTATCCAGGTTCAAATATTTCTATTGATGAGACTATGATTCGTTGCTTTAATCGTACGAAGCATACAATCAAAATGCCTAATAAGCCTATTCCCCAGGGATACAAAATCTTTGCACTGGCAGAGCATGGCTATATTTGGACATTTACCTGGACTAGTCGCCTCTGGGGTATTATGGAGATGTTTCGATTCCCTGGCCTTAGCCCTACAGCGTCTATGGTATTGAATATGATTACAAAGCTGCCTAGACTTAGGGATTCAGCTATCGATTCAGCCATCAATTCAGCTATCGATTCAGCTATTAATTCAGCCATCAATTCAACTATCGATTCAGCTAATTCAGCCATCGATTCAGCCATCAATTCAGCCATCGATCCAGCCATCAATTCAGCCATCGATCCAGCCATTGATCCAGCCATTGATCCAGCCATTGATTCAGCCGTTGATCCAGCCATTAATTCAGCTACACGAGATCACGCATGCGAAGTTGTCGAGTTTGTTTCCTTGCCTTCCTCCCTGAAAGCTGATGCTAATTAATTTGGTAGCTCAAGATTACGCATACGGGCTCATCAAGTGCCTTCTTTTATCTCGAAATCCAATGAAATCTAAGAACGCAGATACATATGAATATTTTTCCCTGGGTAGTGACTCTTATGCTTCGATTTGTCAACGGCAAATAGCTGACTACCAACCTCTACCAGGCATATACTTGGACGAGACTAACTGGCGCGGCGGAATTGCTCGTGAGTCGTGATTTCGACGCATAAATGAGTCCTTGGCGCTTGTTGATGCCTTTCTTATTGCACGTCGATCTGGTCTCGATGTGTCGAATGCGTCTCTTACATTTGGCGAGCTGCAGATAGCTCATACAGAGCAATGACCACCGGTCTCTCCTTGAATAAATAGTTCGAACTTTGATTGTTGGTGTCTTTCTTTGTCCTGATGAAGTAGAGTTGTGTTCCGGATGTATAACTGGGCATGGCTAAGTCAAGAAAGAAAATGACAGTCAAGTAATATGAAGTGGGAAAGCGTCAAGCCAGCATAGTGAAGATCTAAGCCTCCAGAATTCTTGCGACGGTATCCAGGGATCCAGATTGATTTGCTGACTACGTAGTTGACAATGTACCCCGATCGTCATTTAATAATTGTACCCTTTAGGCGGCTCAAAGTAGTCATGCTATATCTTACGGCCCACGATAAGGGCGTCCGTCTATCAGAGTCCGTAAGGGAGTTCGGGTTGACACTCTCCGTGGCGAGCAGTAGCTTGACCGCGGCCTTATCTCCACACACGGACGCCAGCGTCAGGGGTGTCAGCTTCGATAAGGGCACGCAAGGCAGCAATTGCATAGCACTTTCGTGTAAAATATATTATGCAAAGGTCTCGCCATCGTCATGTAAAATACGATGTCTATTCTAGGAAACGGAGGATCTACCGACTACGCCTTATTTGGATTAACGTGTTTCATGGTAAGGGTTAGAAATTAATTCGTGTAACGACGATGTTTGTATATCTGATTTCCAATATCGCTGTTTTGTGTGCCAGTCTACTTGAAACGCTGAGTTTATACCTTCATTGGATGGAAACTTTCTTGCCGGATGAATTGCACATATACATACCAAATTCCACGATCGGCGATGCCTTGGATCGCAAAGGCTGGTCCAAGAAGACAGCCAGACAAAATGCAAAAGAGCCCATCGCTAGTCCCGATGCATATGCTTGATACTCAACCACTCCCATCGGACCTTGCGCAGTCCCCGCGTACTATTCTAGTAGACACGCAGAACTCTGACCTCTTCGCAGATTTTCCCGGGTTTCTTGACAGATCTACCGGATGGGTCTGGGGATGGTGTCGAGGTGCGTATCTTATCCATTCCATGGGGTTTTTACAAAGAAATTTTGGGCTGCAGGTGCTTTCAATTATGCAAGTATTTCAATGAGTTGGCCAAATTCGGTTGTATGAGGTTAAATAAGAAATGTGGGCCCATGACTGAACCCGATGTTGTTTCACGCTAGAACTCGACCCGTTAAGAACAATGTCAAATCAGAAATTAAGAGCATAGTGAAAAATGAGCTATTGTCTTCTTTCTAAGGTCATTCAATTTTTTGCTTAAACTCCTGACCAGCAATCCAGACCCTTTCAATGTGCCGCGTCGCTTTTATATCCGCGACAGGATTTCCTTTGACGAGAACAAGATCTGCTCGGCGACCAGGCTCAATGACGCCCCGGTCCTGTAAGCCAAAATGTTTTGCAGGCAGATGAGTGGCCGCGCAAAGAGCTTCAGTTGTTGAAAGGCCAGCTTCAACTAGAAGCTCCAGCTCCTCGTGCAAGCTGATTCCGTGAATAACATTAAAGGGCACACCCGGGGCCATATTTGCATCGGTGCCAGCAAGCACTGGAACTCCAGCACGATGAAGAGTGGAGACTGTATCTTTAGCGTTTCTATATGCCCCTGCCTTTTTCGCAGCGCATCCCTTCATCATTGTCAATGTTGGAATGCTGATTCGCTTCTCTTCTAGCATTTGGCTAACCTCCGCGTCGCTCATGACCCCATTAAGAGGAGCATGGGTTATAGCATCCGCGCCCGCAATTTGAGCCATTTGGGTAGCCATTGTCGTCACGGCATGGGCAATGACGAGTTTCTGGTGGCGATGCGCTGACTCGACCAAAGCATTCAGGCATTCTTGGCTGGGACCAGGAATATCAGCCACGACTTTGATGTAATCAGCGCCTTCAGCCACTTGCTTTTCCACGAAACGTTCGGCTTCCGCAGTATTCGAAACCAATGCCTCTTTAGGTATTGTTGGAATATGGCTGTGGGCGCTTCCAGGAGCTGTGGCAGCAAGCCCGCAGCCCCTAATATCGGTCACCCCGTTTCGACCACGAAGAGAGTTGAGAAGATCAGCCGGCCAGGTCGCCATATCCAGTGCGGTCGTCACACCATATCTTGCCATTTGTGAGAGGTCCTTCGGGCCAGTCAAATGGATATGGCAGTCAATCAATCCAGGAAGAAGGATCGATCCATGCGCATCAACGGTTTCAGTCGGAACGGCATCAGGATTACCAATCAATTCACCATCAATGATGACGGTGCTAGGCTCTTGAATCTTTTGTCCATCAAAGACCCGGACGTTGGAAAGAGCGATGATAGTAGTCGATGACGTGGCAGACATTGCGTTCGATGGAAAAGTACTTTAGAAGACTTTTTGCACCAAGTTGACTGCTGCTATATTACCGTGAGAAAGATAAATCTTGCGCAGCCTATTGCGAGTGAACCCATTTTAACGGACCCTTTATATGGAAGAAATTCGTCCCGCTTCATATATGCGGGGCTCGGTGCTCTTGGGGCCGACCTCCGACCTGATATGTGGTTGATCGGCATCATCAGGTCCCGCCGTTTCCTTTTGACCAGGGTTTTGGAGGATATTCTAGATTCTCCTTGTGGAACTACATATTAACTAACTACGGCGTGACTAGATGGCTCATCTCGAAGCTGCAAAAACGGACACGAAGGCTGGCTAATGCTTTAGCGACAGCTTTCAGTGCAGAATAAGGGATCCTACCTGTGATTTTGTGTTATAAATTCGTTATAGCTTCACACCTCTTCTGACTACACATAACGGTGGTGGCACTTTCCATACGCGTTGAAGAATATTCTTGTAGTTGTGGGTGTGGATGGTGAAGTCCAAAGGGGGTTGGGGAGCCTATCACGCCCGTGAACAGGAAGCCTTTTGAAGCAGCCTTATGGGATTGTTATTGAAGTCGATTGGACATGCAAATTGCGATTGATGACGGAATAGAGACACTTTTCTCATTTCGTAACAGTGGATATGTCTAAATCGTACAAGGTTTGGGCTCTAAAGATATCAATTCCCTTCTTCGCCGCCATCCGGAAGTTCCCCTTCACCCTCGGACGCGGACTCAATAGCAGCGAGCGCCTTCCACTGAGACTTGCCCTTTTTGAGTGATCTAGACGGGGCTGAGCTGTTCGAATCGGCAGACGGTGCCGCAGCGAGTCGAGCAGCCGGGATTCCACCGGAGGTGACATAGAGAAAGTACCCCTGAGGGTAATGATCAATGTGGTTGAAGAAAGAGCCGAATCTACAGGCACCAAGTTAGAAATAATTCCTCACAAATGAATACGGGGGTCGCATACGCATTTTGCTGCTCCTCCTCCCGGAATATCCGGTCGTAGATCTCTCGCTGTTTGAACTCGTTCATCTCCTTAGAAAATTTCTCGAAGTCAATTGGGCTCCTAGAGAGCCCTGCAGCCTTCGCATTGTAGGCACCAAAAACAGGGCGCTCCAGCAAAAGTCCCAGGCCCGGTGCCTTGGGGATGGCAACGCGGTCGGGCCCATAGGTTTCCTTAATGCGGTCAGGGACGCAGCCGCAACGAGTGACCAGGGCGGCCATTGCCACCATTTTGCGGATCTGGTGCATCATGAAACTCTGGCCGTGGACTTTGAGACTGAGCCATTCAGTGCCATTGATGATGATCGGCGTCGGATTCGCTTTGAATGACTTGATGTATCGTTTGGCGGATGGGTCACTGTATGTTTTTTGAATGGTGTAGTTGTGAAAGTTCGAAGTGCCCTCATAACGACTCAGGCAGTCTTGGAGGCGCGCGACACGGGAAGCCGGTACTCGGTAAGTGCGTTTTGCCGTTGTATAAGCCGCTTTGACGGCCTTGATGGTATCTTTGATGAGTCGTTCACGGGGATCCACCCGGTAGGGTTGGTCCTGAGGAGTCTCGGATGACTTTTCGGTAGCAGATTCCTGTTGGGAGGGTTGCGCGTCTGCAGGGCTATCTGTCATTTCAGCGTCTCTCTCCAGCTCCGTATCTTGATTGTCATCGAAGTAAAGAGCCTTTTGCACAATATTGCGCACATCCTCCGGGACATTCTCCAATATAGGCTTGATGTGCTTTTCATCGACATCCTCCCAAAATCCTGCAGCGTCCTCTTGTCGAGCCTTGACTTCATCCAGGTTGCCGGCTTGCTCAGCAAGCTCCACAATCTTCCTTCCAAGGTACGTGCTGGGATGTGGCGGGAGCAGACAGTGGCTCGGCAGCAAATACTCATATACACGGGAATCACACATCTGGTAGCAGCTGAAACTCTTGGCAGTGATCTCGAGGCCCCAAACACGAATCTGGGGGCTGAGCTTGTCATTGATCTTCTGGACGATGTCCGGATCTTCAACGATCATCTTCAGAGACACGACATTTCCTGCCGCATGTACACCTTTGTCAGTGCGTGCACAACGCACAAAGGACGACTTCTTCGGGTCCGAAGCATTGGCTTTCGAGATGGCGCCGGCGGCAACCAAGGCCGTAAAAAGATCACCCTCAATAGTCTTTTGTGAGTCGTTCCTATAACAGTAACGTCAGCGTTTTGCACAATGCACTGATTGAATAGCCATACATCTGCATCCCAGCGTATCCTGTCCCGGAGTATCCCATCAACAGCGCGACCTTCTTTTTCGGTCTCCGCTCCTCGTTCTCAATCTCCTCTTTGGAAAACTGCGTCGCATAGATCGGAGTCTGGACCTCTTCGCCATTCTCGATTTTCCGGCGTTTGACTTCTTCTTTCTCATCAAGGCGCGCTCGCTTGTCTGTCATCGACCGACTGTCTCGTGGTTAGTTAGTACTGCGGAGGTCGAGGTGTGAACTCCACGCAGCATACCTCCATTCTGCCCGGCCCATATCTCGCTTCTTACGGCCTCCACCAGCGCGGCCTCCGCTTCCTTTGTTATCGGCCATTGCGTTTGTGAGAGGATGTCTGATAGCTCGGCGCGAGGTGTTGTCTTGAGTAGAAACGTGCGCCGGGGGAAGAGAAGATTGTTGTGGCGGGCAAATGTAAAGGAAGACCGGTAAGCCAATGGGGTTTTGCGTCTGCGGAAAATCCCTGTCAGACTCCGCGGCAAAAAGAACGAGGAGGGCATGAAAAGAGTCGAGGAGCAAAACGAAGCCGTAGCAGAACATTTTCCATGGTCGATTTGACGCTAGGTCGTAATGAGCATATTTCTGCCTCAGGCAGTAATGAGCATGTGACTAGCCGTGTCCATCTTTTGTCCCATGGAGAGCCTCTTTCATTCACTGCACCCCGGCCCTTCTCTCCTTCTTCACCAACCCGGGCGTCCAGCCTAAAAAGCCAACTGCCTACAGCTAGTTTCGGTCCGCACTTCCGAAGCATGCCCGTCTGGTCCGCCGTCTAACTCGCGCGACCTGACGCCTTGCGCTCAAATCGATCGCTGCGCGCGACAGCTTTCACTCCGCCCTCACAGCAGCCATGGATCTCGCCAATACGCTCATCCGGAGCGTGGTGCGCGCCTTCTATGAAACACGCCACATCCTGGTTGTGGACGCGCTCTTCCTGCACTCGGTGTACGATGCGCCCCGATGGATGCTTAGCTTCTGGCTGACCTGACCTGCTGCAGTCTCCACGCCGAAGATCTCGCTTTCTTGATGGGCATGCAACAGAAGGACCTTCGCAAGCTGTGTGCGCGACTGCGAGAGGACCGTTTACTCGCAGTGTATGTGTTTGGTCCGATGCATGTCTGAATATAAGCTGATTTTGGACTTCTTCGTGTCACACAGGAGCACGCGTGCCGAGATTCGTGATGGTTCAACTCGCCCCGTCAACCGTGATTACTACTACATCCCGCTCCACCCCGTCATCGACGCGATCAAGTATAAGGTGTCCAAGTTGACGTCAACAATCAAGGCACAGTACACACCGAGCGAAGAACGCAAGGAGTACATATGTATCCGATGCGGAGCCGAATGGACCGAGTTGGATGTCCTTAGCCTTGTATCGGAAGAAGGATTCGAGTGCCAGGAGTGCGGCGCCACCCTAGAGCGGACGGAGGATGTCAAGGGCGTCGAGGGCATCGACCGCACCGGCCACGAGAAGAACAGCAAGCTGATGGCGCAGCTGGACAACATGCTCAAACTGCTGAAGCAGATCGACTCCGTCGAGATTCCGCCGAATGACTTTGACACGGCCTGGGATCATAAGGTAGAGGTGCCCCGGAACCAAGCCACGCACCCAACGCGCGCGGTGGTTCCCGTTGCGACTAAGCAGCAGGATCTTACACGCGGTCACATCAAGACGGACGCGGCGGCATTGGAGATCTCGCTTACCTCGAGCGAGGAGAAGAGCGCGGCGGAGCAGGCCGAAGAAGCCGCTCGCAAGGCTGCGGTGGAGAAACAAAACGCGCTTCCGGTGTGGCACACACATTCTACCGTCAATAACGCCGTGCCTGGAGGTGCTGGGGCTCAGATTGGGAAAGGTCTCTCCATTAAGCCTGACCTCAGCGACGAAGATCAGAAACCCAGTCTGGATGCCCTTGACGACAAGGTTGCCGCGTACTATGCCGCTATGGAACGCGAAAAGGAATTGCAGGAGCAAGAAGATGCTAGCAGTGAAGATGACTCGGATGACGAGGACGAGTTCGAGGATGTAGGTGGCGTATCTGGACCAAGTGGACCAGGTACTCCTGCCACAGCCGGTGGTGGTCCTACCAGCGTCCCCAATTCGTCTACACCTGGTGTTGCTGGTATCAAACGCGAACATGATACGGCGTCGAGCGTCAGCGCGCCTCAGTCGTCTGTCGACACACCCTCCACGCCTGCCGATGACGGGCCCACCGCGAAGAGGATCAAGGTTGAATCCGAGCTCACGACCGACCCTGAGATCAAACCTGACCCCGACGCGCAGGTAGAGCCCGCAGTGAACAATGAAGAGGAATCCGATGAGGACGAGGATGAGTTTGAAGACGTCTAAGGGACCGAACCCGCCAACGTGGCATGCTTTGGTAAAGCAGGGTAAGAAGACACCAAAACAAAACTGGAAGCATTGGCGCTGGCGCCTGGGGTAATGAGGGCAGTCGGTATATCTAGAGGAACTTGTACAATATTATAAAACTGTGCTTTTCTTCTTCGCCGTCCTTCAAAGTAAATAAACAGCCAAATATTCAACCTCTACAAGTAGACACGCCTGCGGCTTCGACATAGTGTTCCATAGACAAGACGTAGCGACAGAAGTATTCCAGCATCGTTGCTTTAGTCTATAGTAAATCCTAGAAAGGGAGAATGAAAAGGGGAATAATTCCCAGTCCCCTGCATTCCATTCGAGCAAGCAAAATCTACCTATCTCAACCCATCCATTTCATCCGCCCAAAAACACAACACAAACAACCCCACGAAAGATAAGTAAGGCAAGATATCGAAATCAACGCGCAAAAAGAAAGAATGAGCCCACCTCATTAACACTCCAACAGCGAGGATTCCATTTGAATGAATCAAAAGCACAAAAAGAGGTCAATTGCTCATTCACGAGCAAGGCGGACTACAGGACAGGACAGGATAGGAGAAAAATCTAGTACACCATATTACCGAGGGTGTCAGCCCATCTCGAACCGGTAAAGGATTTGAAAACGCCGGGTCTATGCAGCACAATAGCAACAGCGCAAAAGTCAGGAGAGGGGGGATGGTACGTCGCGGACCGGAGGAACATTCAAGGTTGCGATGCGAAAACTTCTCAAAAGGAAACAAAGAATCAATCATCATGTGCAGAGAGAAAAGGTTGTTGGTGTGTGTAATCGTAAAGTCGTTGCTTCGTGTATGGGCGGCACATAAGGGACAAGGATTCTCAAGAAGGGTTGGCTTAAGGCGTTCCCACGAGTCCTACTTCTTCCGAGTCGCTACCCAAAGGAGAGTTGTTTTCCCACTCCTCTGCAGAAGGCAGATCAGATTCTGGAACATTTGCAAAAAGAAATTGTTAGACAGGGAAATTGAAGCTACGTGAGGTGAACATACCAGAAACCAGTTCTTCGGGGGCATCAACAGTCATTCGCTCGAGGAATACTACCGCGGCTGGGGAAAAAACTGTTAGTAGCTAGCTATGCAAGGAATGGGCATGGATGAAAGGGCTTCTTACCAGTAGCCTCCTGGATAACCTTCTTGTCCTCCTCTTTGCTCTCATCGTAGAAGGTCTCCAAGCAGTGGTTAATGACCTGGATGACTGCCTCCACAATCCTTGACTCAACGGTCTGAACGTCACTATGGAGAAACGACTTGTCGATCCTGTTCACGCAAGCAGTCATCAATTCGCGAGCAATGGTAGCACACCGAGCCTGGTATTCATCGTTGGCCTCATCGGTGTCGCTGAAAAGCAAAGTGCTCAGAGCGCTGATTGTCGCGTGCCGCACATTTCTGTCCTTATCAATCAGGAGAGTGGGGGCCCAGTCCGGGATCTTTTCCATGGACAGCTGAGTGAAGTTATTGTGGTCCAGGTTGGCACGCTCGTTCGATAGGCGGCACAGATGGGTGAAGAATTCCAAGTGTTCCAAGCCTCCACTGTTGTTGATAGTCTCCACTCCCTTGGCGACGAAGTCGATCATGGCGATGATTCGCTCTTCGTCTGGGGCACGTCTGCAAAACAGGATTGTCGAATCTAGGAATGGCGTACAGAGATCCGCGGGTGACACTCTCAAACCAGCCTCCAGTGTCTGGCAAATAGGACCCAGAAGGCCCGCCTCGGGTTCTGCCTCGAGGAAGAGAGAAACAATGTTCCGACAAGCTTGGGTATTCACCCAGTGGTGATGTGTGATGATTTTGGTCAGGAGTATGAGAGATCCGTCCTTATCCAAAGACTTGATGAAGGAACTCTCGGTCAGGTTTACGGAGAACCTGCCGTCAGCTGACATAATTCGATCCTCATCCTCCATAGTCGGTGGAAGAGTGAGGTCAATTCTCTTGAAAAAGAGGGAGCACAGGTCTAGAAGCTTTCGGTGGGAGAATCGACGACCTTTCTCAAGCAATCTGCAGTAAGTCGAATAGTGACCCCTCAGTCTCTTGCGGTCTTCCCCTTCGAGCCAGATTATCTCGAGGCATCTCATGAAGATACCCTTGTCTAGCAGAACTCTCATGGCCCATGGACCAAATTCAGTGAGCATGTTGAGGAACTCATGGTAGTCATCCCATGGCCGCGGCGCGCTTTGGAGGGCTGGCCACAAATTGTCTAGCATTTCAGCAACTTGATCGAAAGCATATTCGAAGCGCGAGCGCCACATCTTTTGGTCGCTCTCATCAAGTTCGGAATCATTGGATGTCGTGTGAAGTTGCTTCAGAGCACCAACGACAAGCATAGATCCCTTGACCCGAACTTCAGAATGAAGGCCCCTAAGGATGAGATTGCGGATGGAAGTGGGCCGTCCACACACCCAATCCAACACCCGATAGGCGGCGTACGGGGTCCGGCCGAGGATTTGAAAGATCTCCGTAAAGAGGTTCTCCAGTCCCATGGCATCCTTCGTCCGCGCCACCAGCTGCTCGAGTGTATCCATGCCGACATCGACGGCCAGTCCAATGACCTTATCTCGATTTGTGGTGAGAGCTACAGTGTCCAAGCGTCGCAATAGCTGTTGGACGAAAAAGGTGTAATAGGGGTCCAGGAGGCAGTAGCTTCGAACATGGAGCTCGTTTTCGATGGCGATATGATTTCCAAACACGGTGGGAATAGGCACGTGGGCAGGGACATTGCCCTTTGACGACCTGAAGATGGCGTTGGATTGCTCCATTGTTGACACGCGCTGATAAAACAGCATGTAGGCGTTCCAGACCTTGTTGAGCCGAACACCATTGACAGAGTGAGATTCGCTTTGGCCGCCAAAGCATTGGTCGGCGATCGCTGCCGGGTCAAACCTGCTGACGTCGGAGTCATTGAATTCAACCCATGATGGCACGCTACTGGCCGTTGGTCGCTCACGCATGTAGGAGTAATAATGACCAGATTCAGCTGTGCCGGTATGAACGAGAACACCGACTAATTCAAAGACGTCCGGCTCAATAGAGGCGTTCGAGTCGGAAAGGTATTCCACTTTGAATGGGGCCATGTCAATGCGATGAGGGAATTGGAATTCATCGTTGATCTTGCTTCGCATCATGGTCACCATATCAAAGTCAAACCGCTTGAGATGGAAGATGAGATTGTCGGGGACTTCTTTCAGGCAGGCACTGTGTACGAATCAGCACATACAATGTCGATGAACAAAGAATTTCTCTCCTTACCGCTTGACAGCATCAACATGCCGTCCGCAGGAAGTGCAAGAATACTTGTTGTCTGGTTCAGATTCTTAGCATAAGGTTTCCAGGCACGATCCCAGTTTGCTTTACTCACCCCCCTGCATGACCTCACCCTCAACATAAGCCTGCAAGCTCTCCTCGAGACTCGTCTTGCCCTTGATGTCACACTGAATAGCCGAGAACGGCTCCAATCTCTCCGATATGTGCTCACATTCCTTGGACTTGATCTGCTGAACCAGCTGGCCCCCATAGAAGGAGCGGAACTTCTTCTTGTCTTCGAGATCAAGAACTTGAGCCTCCCAGCGGTCGAAGAGAAGGTTGTAAAACTCGTCAACATCCATCTGGATAGTGACATCAATAGCCTCGTTGTCGTAAGTCCGAATGCTGTCCACAAATTCCTGTGGTTCCAAGCTCTTCATCCATGTCTCTTGCATCCATGAAAAGAGTCTCTGGGTCTCGTAGAGCAACTTTTGTGACGAGCCGGGGTCTGCGGGTTGGAGTCCCAGGATGAACTCTCGGAATTCGACATTCATGAACAGCTGTGTCATCAAGGAATTCAAATAACAAGTATTCGAGAGATTCTTGAGACCAGCGTAACCCTCCGGTGCTCGAAGCATTTTCGATCGATCAAGAGCCGTGCTTGAGACGTAGGTGTAGTCTGTGAAAAATAGGGATGGTTAGCGCACAAAGAGACTGGAGTCAGAGAGACCGTGACTTACCTCGTGGGACAATAGCTTCCAATTGGTCCAAAACATTCGCATAAACATCGTCATTCCGTTTGCAGAGAAGGTTGATGATGTTGTAGAGCTTCTGGCGAGTGAGATTATGCATAACAGGAGCTTGTGGGACGATGGGTTCCGACGATTCCTCCGACAAGTCCGGGAAGAGGTAAGTGGCAAGGATTTTCTCAGCGAGATCACTGGAAAGGACAAATGAGTACAAATACAAGGTATTAGGGTCAATAAAAACTCACGCAGTGTCCATTCTGGCCTGGGCAGAATCAGCCAGGTCGAGGCAAAGTTCAAGCAAATGAGCAAACCCGAGGATCAGATCATCGACGGGCTCACGTCCAACGAACTTTTGACAGGTCAGCTAATGGGGGTATCAATCTGTCGGGGAAAAAAAAACAAACCTCTTCGGTACGATGGCTCAGCATGATCTCACTCCACTGCTTGACATAGTCACCGAATATCAAATCCCGGGGTGATTTCTCAGCGACAGATTGAAGCACCCAGAGAGCAGTCCTGAAGAACTCTGCCGACTGAGAGGCATGCTCCGTGGTCTTTGGTATGTCCTGGACAAAAGCACTCCAAATAATAGCAAGCATATCAATCCGAGCAGGCTTATCAAGGGGCGATGGGTTTTGCGGATCTTCAGTCGTCAATTTGGCGGACTGCTTGAACGACTTCGAAGGACTACAGGTCATCTTAATCCGCTCTGCGATCTCATGTCGAATTGGCTGACGACATTCCTCCAGCAGAAGAGAGCATAGGAGCTCGTCGAACTTCACATGTTGCTTGACAGCGCTCCAGAACTTCTGGTCGCTCAAGGAGCCTTCGATCAAGACCCCGAACGAGTTGCATATCAATCGCTGGATATTGATACCAGGAATGGTGCTAGAGGAAGTATGACGGCCAATGTCAATGAGGTCGACAAGCCGCTGTACTAACAAGGCGGGATCTTGGACCAAGCTGTCCTCATCACTGGCCGGGTGATAGACAGGGAGAGCGACCACAAGGCACTCAAGCGCACTGGTAACGAGGAAGAACCTCGTAGAATTTGCGGCGAGAGATTCCAAAAGCCCATCACCAGCCAGGAACGACACCAGGACCTGAATGCTATGGGCAACGAAGGTTGGGTTAGGCGAAACCTCTACCGATTCTTCGCGCAAGCACGCTGACAGGGTATTCATAGAGTAGAGAGCATTGAACGGTTTCTCGAGAGGAAACAGGTCCTTGTCGCTTCGAGACTCGGACCTGACAAGCTCGCGAACTCGATCCTGTGGAGGAAAAACAACAAGGAAATCATAGATCTGCAAATGTCAGCACCAAAACAAGAAGTCACGGCAATAGACCAGTTCTTACCTCGTGGGCCAGATCATCTTTAAGATCGAGAAGATCGTAAAGTTCATCAAAATGCTTGAGCACCTCCGCATCAACGGAGGTAAGAGGCTGGCGTCTTCCGCCTCGGGCCAGTTCCGGGGCCTCTGGGATTTTGCGAAGAATAAGGAGCCCAGATAGAAAGTTTAGATCCTTCACAAGAGCTCGTGGGTCCTTGAGTAGCTCCACGTTATGTCCACCGCAGATGGCGGCAAACTTGGAGAAGCCGGTGAGGTGAGTGAGCCGCTCGACGAGTTCCGTCGCCGTGGAGAGGTCACCAATCTGCAAGATGTTGACACCAGATCTATTGGCACCATCGAACCATTGATAGGAAATATCAACGGAGTCGCCTTTGAGGGGTCGGTCGGGCAGGCGGGGCGGCGAGCGTTGTCGGGGGCTGTATTGCGGACGAGTCCTCAATCCGTGCAGCAGTTGCCGCAGAAAAAGCAGTGAGCGTCTAAATCCAAGCTCCTGCGCTCCAATGCCTCCCTGCGAGCTGTCTATCTCCATGGTGCCATCGCTAATGGTGGAATGGCTGCTCGAGGACTTCAGGATTGCAGCAGCCGATTTGAGCTGGTCAACACAACGCTCGACGATGGAAATATGGGTTGCCTCCACGGCTGAGCGTGGCGACCGGCGAATGATGTTGTGATCCAGGTAGACTTCAATCGCGTAGTTGGTTGCCTCGGTTTCAATGGAGCCAGAGGGTGCGGTTAGAATGAACTGCCAGACCCGCTCCATACCAGGAATCGTCACGACCTCATTCTCATCAGCGATGGGAGGAGGATTGAATCGGACATCGTAGTGAATCGATTGTTTGGCGAAAGCCAACACTTCTGGTGAGTAATCCTCGGGGAGCAGTGCTGGTAAGTATTCCTGGATACATCGCTCGACGAACGTGTTCGGTTTGCCAGTGCGACCGGTGACGGTGCACAGCATATCCCAAACTGCCATGCGGCCTTGGGGATCAAGTGTTTTGGACATGAAAATTCCGTTCCAAAGGGTATTTCCCAGGTCTGAATCGATGGTATCTGGGGCCATGTCAATCAGTCGGGACAGGATCTGCACGCGTGAAATGAAGCCGTGATGGGAGAAAGGATCGCCGAAGTTGACCTGTCCTTCGCCAACAATGTGGGCAAATTCCGCGATCACGAGCCGTGTCAGATCAAACTCGGTTGCCAGTTTCCAAATTTCCTGTGTACCCGGCATAGGGACGAGGGCGTTCAACGCCTGGATGCTTCCAGCAGTGAATTCGTTCATCTCGGCAATATCCTGGATGCAGCGCTCGTACATCTCCATTTTATCAACTTCGCTAAGTCCAGCCTTGATGAACTCCCTGAGCTGCGTACTGCCGAACTTCTGCATCATGGTCTTTTGCTCCACGGCAAGATCCGTAGCGGCAGCGCTCTCCCGAATAAGGCGCACGCATAGGCGTAAGGGAATGGGATCCACATGTTCGGCCTCGGATAGGTCATAGCGTCCCTTTTCGAAATGCTTTTCGCGCACATTCTGCAGCAGGTGGTGACAAAAGTCAACGATCCGGGAATCAAACCGCTCCAAGGGGAATTCAAGTAATTTTGCACAGACGTAAAGCAGGGCAGAGGATGCCGAAGCGTGCATGGGCAGTGTGCGCATCAACATCGACAGGACTTCGGAGATGGTTCGGCTGTCTTGGCTTTCAGTCACGGTCTTCCAGATGATGTCCGTATCAGCATTTGTGTAGGAGGAGGTTACGACCAAGAATCCGACGATGTTACTGCTGCGGCTGATCAACTGTGGATGAGAATCGACGCCCACAATATAGTCCACGAGTTTGCTGTCGCGCAGGAAGCGAACCAAGTACTGGATGAAAGGCAAGGAGACACCGTCTGGGTTTTGAGCGAGATGCTGCCGCCAAATCCCAACCAAATCAGACTGCATCGTTTCCACGCCAAGGACTCGAAGCTCCATGCGACCATCCATGATGTGTTTTTTGAGAATGCTGAACCTCCAGGCCCACCAGATGATCGATCCGCTTTCTTCTGAAGTGATTTCCTGCGGAAGAGGTACTGACAGATCAGTTGACAGACGCTGAAGATATTCGTCAGAGAAATGACAGAACGAGAGGTAACTGCGGCAAAAGAAGCGCAGGAACTGGTCCGACATTTCGCTGGTGAGCCATGGTGACTTCTTGGTGATATGCTCTCGGTATGCTTCGTCCATCATGCGCACTGTCTCATAAAGGATTTGCATGACTGGCAAGTCTATAGTCGATTCATCATTCTGCTTCCGCTCTAAGGTGCGATCCACTAGAGGGCAAATGACAAGGAAGATGTTGATGAGCATTGTTGATAGTTGTGGGTATTTCGGAAGGAGTGAAATGACGAGAGACACGTAATCGGACAGTGCGCTGGGGGCATCTATCGGAGCTGTCGAGACCCGATTTCTAATGCAGATGAGAAGATCCACAACTTCGGTATCATGCAGCCGATCCAGAGTGCGAAAGAAGGGAATGTTGGTAAGTTGAATCGTCCAGGCAAGAGGTTGTAGGTATTGCCGTGACAAGCTGTCCGGCAGTTGGATATCTGTCACGTTGGATACCCGGTTCAGAATTAACGTGTCCAGGCGAAGCAGGTGAAGAGTAATCCGGGCAAAGGCCACGAAGAAATCTTCCAGGAAACTCCAAACGCTTTGCCCAGCGTCCAGTTGAATTGGTTGTCTAATAAACCTGTTAGCTAGCTTTCCAGGACCTGGGTATGATTATCTCACTGTCGGCGCAGCAAGGCCTCCACCACACTGGGGAGCTCCTCCCAGAATTCATGATCTTCAGCAAACACCTCTGCTGTCAAGCGATCCAGATTGCCCGCGCAGTCGTCCAACCAATGTTTTGTAGCGACCAGTACTCCAGCGTCGTGCGGGTCACCTACCCAGCAGGGTCAGCATGCGTAGCAAAGCGAGGTCATCGCCCTTCTCACCTTTGTCAATCATAATGCAAATTTTCCCCAAGTTCTCACGAGGCCCCATATTCTCGCGAACTCTGGGGAACCAGTTGATCATCGGAACAGAGCCATGAGTCTTGGCGGCCTCGGGCGCGACGGTGTCCTGCAATACCTTCTCCAACGGCCTCCAGTTGGACATGTTGGGGTCCTGGCCTATGTCCTCCAGCTCGGCAACTTCGATTTCGGGGGTGTGATCTGGGGACGAAGAGATGGAGATGGGCGCGTCGTGGGGGGTGGGCTGAGGCTCCGGCGCGACCTCAGTCTGCTCGATCGGGGTGTCTGTGCCGGAGGGCATGTCGGAGGTGGGAGATTTGACGTTGATGGTGACTTTGGAAGGAGGGCGCGCGATATCCGGAGTCTCATCCATGTCGACGGCAGGCGCGGCCGGGGCGCGTTCATCATCGATCGCCAACGACTCGCTCACTCGGCTTCCACTGTCGAGGCGCGGGCGCTTCCGGGTCTGAGGGTCCTGCTCTTCCATGGGGCCGCCCGGACGCGTTGATTCTGAGGTAGCGCTAGGCGGGGTGCTAGAGCTCTCTAGCGGGGCTTCAGCCATGACATTTTCCTCGTGGAGGTGGTGGGTGGGAAGAAGGGAGAGGAAGAAAGGGAGAGTTGATGGGATGGGAAGGCGTGGGAAGAAAGAGAAAGAGAAGAAAGAAAGAAAGAAAGAGAAAAGTGATGAGGAATAGTGGGAGGAACAGAGAGAAGAGTGAGTGAAAGCGAAAAAAAGATGTTGTGAGCGTCGACGGTGACGTGGTGTGGAGAACTCCTGTGCCCAATGTTGGCTATTTATGTACTCACGAACGAGAAATGCCGCGCAAACAAGCATAGAGATCATGAATAGGCCATTGGACACGGTACTGAGTCAAAATTATCTATAAAGTAACCTTCGGCTCTTCAAAATTGGTTATTTTATAACTCCGCTCACGCAGCATGCAAGATATATATATGTGGGAGCATGAATATAGGAGACCCCAGCAACCCTCGAGGCATCACTATACCCTGATTTACGAAATGTGGAAGTCGATAGGTCTTTCTTCATTTAAAGTAGATACCTATCCCTACTCTGTCATCGTGGTTTCAATCCGGCGAATAATCCTAGCTGGATTCCCAGCTGCAACATGGAACGCAGGCACATCCTGTTATATCACACCGTCAGCTCAACTCTAATTATCCAATATAACTGCATTTACTCACCTTGGTAACCACACTTCCCGCCCCAATCGAGCACCCCTTTCCAATTGTCACACCAGGCAAGACAATCACATTCCCACCTAGCCAACAATCCTCACCAATCGTAATCCGCTTTCCATATTCCGGCCCCTTTAGGCCATTGCGCAGCGCAGGATCAACGGGATGCGTACCAGAGTACAAATTCACCCCCGGGCCGAACATGGTTCGCGCGCCGATAGTAATGGGGCAGGTGTCGATGAAGACCGCGTTGGAATTGACGAAGGAGCCCTCCCCGAGTTTTACATTGTACCCGTAATCGACCCGCACGGGGGGCTCGACCCAGGGCTCGTTCTGGAAGAGAGCCTCGTCGGCAGCGGGGTCAGATTGGACTGGTGGTAGTGGTGTTTTGTCATTGGTGATGCTGCGGGTTGTGGTTAGTATAGTACATGTTTATGCATGAGATATGAAATAGGCATAAAAGGAGAGGATGCCTGTCACATTTCTGCGTTACTCACTCTCTCCACAGTTCAACCAACCGCCGCCGGGATACCTCGCCCGCCTCGTTGAAGCGGATGCAGGCGTATTTACAGCGGTCTCGCTCGGCTAGCAGCTCCGGGGAGAAGGCAATGAAGAGCTCGCCGCGCCGCATCTTCTCTTTTTCGGTGGTTTCAGCCATGGTAGGCATGCAGCGTGCTTGGGCTTTGGTTAATTACTGAATTGTGTTAGTCCAGGCGGTTCTGGAAGTGGGGACTTATCTTGCGATTACGTACTAGTGCTCTCCTGTACACATATCTTCTATACATAGTCCCTATGTTTTCATATTGCAGACAGAACAGCGTGGTCGACTCTCAAGTTTCGGTTAAACCGATTACATCACAAGTTGTACACCAACAAGCTAGATTCTGTTTCCTATTATAGAGGCCGCATCCTCCTTTACCTCGACTTCTGCTGAGACTGACGAATAGATGTCAAAATGATATCAATATCTTTTTCCGCATGATCCCATTCATGTCTGATAAGGCGGGCTTTCTCCACAGATCGCGGTGTAAAAGATGCTTTGAACGGCTGGGGTCGGGAATTAAACCCCTGAGTAAAAGCAAAGGGATCGACTTCACATCGCCGTTGGACTCCATCAACGTTCTCATACGCACATTCGATGTCGAACGCCCACAGCAAACGCGTGATATTGATGTAAAGCGAGTTCTTGGCAATATGCTGCCCTGTACAAATACGACGTCCGAAGCCGAAGGGTGCGAGGGGCAAAGCAGGGTCCTCAATCCACCTATCAGGGTTGAAGACGTAGGGGTCTTTGTAGACATTCTCGTCTAAATGGATAGACCAGTGGTTCCCAATAACTGTAGCTCCTTTCGGGATGTGGAAGCCCATATATATATCGTCTTGTATGACAGCATGAGGGATACCGCCAGCTGAAACGGGCCGCCATCGAAGCACTTCTTTGATAATCGCATCCACGTAAGGCAGACTATCCTTATCAGTGAAAGAGGGATAGCCCTCAATGACTGTGTCAATCTCTCGCTGTGCTTTTCGCATCACGTCGGGATAAAGGACCATGGCTAATGTAAATACTTCCAATGCCATGGTTGTGGTGTCGCTCCCTGCCTCGTAAATTATGCCAATGTCGTACGCCAGCTCCTTTGTCGACATTCCGTTCGACTCTTTCATGTCTATCACCTGTTTACACCAATTCCAAGATGGAGTTTGCTGACCGCGAGTCATGTTGTTGATTGCCAGCTTTGATTCGAATTCGTGAAGGCTGTCCGCGTATCGTTTCCATGGCGCAAGGATCTTTGGCAGATAATTCAATGCCGGGAGGGCGTCCACAACCCACGTTCCAATTCTCGCTGCGTAGAGGAAATTCTCCATCACTTGGTCGATGGCCTTGACTTCTTCTTCACTTCCTAGTGGAAGCCGACGGCCGTAAGCAAGTGCAAAGATTAAACTGGAGGAATATCGATGGAAAAGGTCTGAAAAACTGGTGTTGGAGACAAGCATGTCATTTACAAGCTGCTTGCTTTCGATATCTTGCAAGGCACGGTAACTCTGCGACACTCGAATATTCAGGTAAGATGCCTGTAGGCGCTGATGAGCGCGCCATTGATCCCCGTATGGCATCAAGAGTGTTCGTAAACCCCGGCTGACATTCTCACCGCCCATAACCGAACGAGGCCGGGAGCTATAGATATTGCTGCGTTTATCGAGAAGGTCGTGAGCGGCTTCATATGTTCCGAGTATAATGACAGTGTTGAGGCCATACTGAAGGCGAAATACAGGGCCGTACTTTTTGGTCCACTCTTGATATACTCTCCAGGGATAGGATTGAGGTGCCTGGTGTAGATTCCCAATCACCGGAAGCGGTCGGGGCCCGGGAGGCAGTCGCTGCCCTTTGGAATATTTACATCTCGTGTAGAGCCAAATAAGAGACAGGACTGCAATGGGTATAAGAAATAAGGCCATGTTTCTAGTTCTCCGAATCACTTGTAATTCAAAATGATAGCATCCGGTTTCAACCATTTATACCCACAGAAGCGTTGGGGGTTTAGGCCAGACGCCAGATTTTGTACACGTCTGGGTTCTCACTTTATCCTACATTCTGCCAGAAAAGCTCAGGTGCGGGGTAATAAAATCGGTCATAAGAGGTAAAGTCCCGCCACAGCATAGCATACGTATTATGTGGAGGTGGGACGATGCATAGTTTGACATAGTGTTCCTAATGGTCCCACAGAAACATCCAGCATGCAAACAGATCCTCGCTATGACCCTCAAGATCAGGGAAGTCTGTTTTCGAATATTGCTGTACTTATTAGACCGTTCGAGTTTTTGCAGATGCAATTTTGTCCGTACTCATCCAATCACACATTACACCGCATTGTGCTATCCACCGTGCCAGGCATATCATTGGCTCAAAGCATATAATTTTCCGACTCCCTCATCAAGATTCGAGACTCAGTATTCCACCTTTTATCACTTTCGACTCTCTTCTCTGTTTTCGGCCCGTTCTGTTTCATGGCCACAGCGTGCGACGCGCGCGTCACCAGTTATAGATCGACTCTCATCAATGGTGAGGTGAACGTCCTATTTAGGTTTAGTGTCTCCAATACTCCCCAAACAATATCTGACTATCGCCGATTGTTCTATCCACTTCGACTACAACAAAGAACGCCCATCTTTTACGACTCGCTGCTGCTGGTGAGAGATGCGCTCCTTGCACTTCTCATATCCCTCTTCCTCTGCCCTTCCCCAATCCTTCTCCCGCTCTCTCTTCATCGCTGCATCACCATGACCACCGCCGCAACCACCTCGGGTGCCCAGCCCACATCCCACAATCTCCCCTTTCCAATCGAGCGCATCAACACCTCTCAACCCTCCGCTCCGGGCTGGCGGCCTCCGCAGCACACCCACCGCCGCGGTTCCCTCTCCCCCCTGCCCTCCGAGACCAGCTCCGCGGCGGAGGATGAAGACACCGTACATGCCTCCAACTACCCAGCCGGCAAAATGGCCCTGTCTGGAATCTCGCTGCGTGCATTTCTGCTTGGCGTCACTCTGGGCCTCTCCACATGCTCGACCCTCTTCCTGGTGACCGTCTACCCAACACCCCTCTGGCGCGCCCCGTTCTTTATCTCGGCACTGAGCCTCTTTCACTTCCTTGAATTTTTCGTCACAGCGAAATACAATACGAGATATGCGACTGTCTCTGCGTTTCTTCTCTCGTCAAATGGGTGGGCGTATAATGCCGCGCATGGATCCGCGCTCGTGGAGTGTCTACTCTCGCATCTTTTCTGGCCGAATACCTCAATCATTTCGGGCGTCTTGTCTACGACAACCCTTACCTTGGGCTTTATTCTCATGCTCATAGGCCAAGTGGTCCGCACGCTGGCCATGGTGCAAGCTGCGAGCAACTTCAATCACCATGTTCAGGTTGAGCATAAGGAGGGCCATGTGTTGGTGAAACAGGGGTTGTATCGGTTCCTGCGCCACCCGAGCTACTTTGGGTTCTTTTGGTGGGGGCTCGGGACGCAGCTTGTACTGGGGAATATGGTTTGCTTTGTTGGGTATGCGGTCGTGCTGTGGAGGTTCTTTTCGAGTCGGATTCAACGCGAGGAGAGCTTCTTGGTTCGGTTCTTTGGGGAAGAGTATGTTCTGTACCGGAAAACAACGCCTGTGGGGATCCCTGGTATTCGATAGAGGCAATTGCATATAGATGAAGGGTAGAATAGGTGTTCCGGTCAATGAAAAGTAAATATGGCTTGGTATATATGGCTTGGTATATGTACAAAATCTACAGAATGCAAAGCAAAGCATAATATCATAGCTTGCTCTCTGGCGCAATTCCCCCAACAGCACCGCTCATGTAGGGACCATTCTCTTCTCCCTGCGCAGAAACAGACTCGGCACCGAAAAGAACAAGCTCGCGCCCACCCCGGGTACTCCACCAGGTAACGCAGCAATGTGCGCGATCAACGTCCATCTCGCCACTGCTCAGAGCTTCCCAAAGACGATCCACGCAGACGTGGCGCATGCCTCGATCGGCGACTTGATTGATGAGTTGTGCCGCCAGGGGAAGCCACTCTTCCAGGTCTTCGACACGCAGGAAAGACAGAGAGTCGAGTAATGCTAGGATGAGCACAGCTTGCTCGGAAAGAGTCGGTGTGTTTCCTAGATCAGGTACAGTGCTCGACTGGGATGAGGGCGGTAAGGGTGTTGACGACGCGTTCATCGCGCGGTCGCGAACGACATCTAGGAGAATGGAAGGGAGGAGGGGTTGGCTGTTTGCTAAAGGTGAGGGTGGTGCGGTGACTTGAATGACGGTTTTGAAGGCGAGACGGAATTGTCGTGCGGACAGATTTTGAGGGAATACCTGCAAAGAGTAAGTATATCGCGCGCTCTAGTAGAGCAGAAACTCACGGCAAAGAGGTTGTCAATATAGAAAGGCAGGTGCTTGGCAGCCAATGCCGAGTTGCCAGGGATGGCAAAGACAACAAGAACCACACTGTGAGCGGCTTCGAAGATATCCAGAAGAAGAGGGTTCGCTCCGGATGCAAGGTAGGGGAAGGCGGCTGACAGAAGCAGCTCCTCACTAGACTCTGGCGACAAGACAATTGGGAAATGCTCCGCAACATTCATAAAGAACAGATCTAGACACCGCTCAACTGGATGCGCGGGGATCTGCCCAATATCACTGGGCTTGATACTTCGCAAAAAGTTCTCGGCGAGGTCCGGGTACTGTGAGAGGAGGTCGATGGCAGCCAGAAACACAAACGTCTGCTGCGAAGACGCGTTCTGGCCGAGCCGAGACGAGATAAAGTACACGTTGCGGAGAATATGCAGGGCCTGCATCGACAGGAATGGTGCGCCTAGAAAAGTCAGTTTTGGATCGAGGAGCATCGTGTCATAAAACATACTACTGCCAGCAGCCAAGGCCGGATCATTAATGGTGCGGCCCAGGACCGCGCGAAGGGCGATAACAATCGAATATAAACAGTTCCGCAGAACTTTCCATAAAGCAGGAATTGTGGTCTCGCGCGATTCGGCATCCAAGAAGTCCATCTCCTCTGCGATGTCCACTTCTGAGAGTTTATTCTGGCGCCACTGCACCATGAGCGTGCGAGTAAAGTCGGCCAGGTAATCCACAGTCTGCGCAATCAGTTTGGGGTCGCGAGTATTCTCGATGGCGTGCGAAATTAGTCGGGATAGAGGCCCCAATGCTGCGACAAGGGGGCGCGAGGATATGGCAGAGACATAACCGAATGTGGGGGACTTGGCCGACCACCGAAACTTTTTCCCGGGAGCTTCGACGACGTCCTTGTCAATAGCCCCCAGGAAGTATCCTCCCTCCAGACCCTCCGGAGAGAAGAACGCCGACCGAACCATGACTGGCAGCAACCGGTCGTAGTCCAGTTTGCTCCTCTCTAGATCCGATAGGAGCTCAAAGGTATAGTTCAGCACCATGGTAATGCAATATCCATCAACACCGTTCTCAGTATTAATCTCCTCCAAAGAGAGTTGCGCCGCCGTGGCCAGAGCCGATTCAAGCTTCGTTCGGATATGTCGCGGGAGGCCCCGTCTATTCTGGCCCTCGAACCCAAGCAGGACGCCACCAATCAAGAGCATGTGTCTCCAGCGCGGGGATTTCTCGTCCGCTCCGTCCACCACAGCCTTCGCCCATGCTTCACGACCGATCTGGCGATTGCGGCCATAGGGGACCCGAGGCTCATCGGTGGCATCGTTCTGCAGGACGGCGATGGCGGCTGTGTTAAAGACGCTGAGGATCTTGCGACAGGTCTGTAGATCCAGCGAATGGTTCCATAATGCGGGGGCTCTTAGTAACTGCGATGAAAGTAGATTCAGGTTCAGCGGGTTGCCGAGCAGGGACAGAAAGCTAGTAGCTGTCGGAAGGAGGCTGATGAACCGTTAGTAGAGAGGCTAGTGCAGTGGTCAGCTTACTTACGCAGTAGCATCTTGCGGGTTGGAAGACGACTGAAGCGACCGCAAGAGTGCAGCTAACGAGCGTTCTGTGGCCATCGCTGTCCCGGAGTGCTGTGAGCAGGAGATGGAGGCGCCGTGGAGAAAGAAGCCGAGGTTACGGGACTGGGTGCAAACAATGCAAACAGTTCCGCCAGGCATAGTGTTGTGGACAACTGTACCTGACACTTCTAACGATCACAAGTCCGTCCCGTTTGGCCGCCGGCATCCTCTCCGTTCCGTTTATTTGTTCTTCTCGGGGGATGGTCCGCCGGGCGCGACCTGCAGAAGTGCAGCAGCCAGTCAGCGTGATGCCCGCATTTTGTATCCCCTGCCGGTTCTGTAAATCAACCAAGGTGGCTTGCTAGGTGAAACTACCAAATTATATGATCACTGCTGCCTTTTTGGAGAGAAGCCAAGGCTCATACTAGTAATAATGTGTATGAGCTATCAATCTCACTAATACCCGGATCATTAGGCTATATAGCTCCACTTTATCATACAGGGACATGAACCCTGCAGCCGGCTGAAGAACTGCTTATTCCTCGTGTCGGCCTTAAGCGCTTGCCACTTTTAGGCTCCCCGTGATGTATAGGGCCTACCTCCCTGGTAAACTGGGGTAGATATGCAACCATGGAATTGCGGGAGTAGCCAAGGTCCGTTACGAAAATGGAAAACAGTTGGATTTGTTGAAACAGATCATTATGCCTAAAGGCGGATCAAACTTAATGCAAACTTTGACATAGTAGTTTTGGTCTAGAAAGCAGGGTGCGTTGAACTAAGCTAGCCTGCAGACCCTTTTCATCACATCCCGCGTCTTTTTGAGATATTGCTCCGCGACTATTGTTGCATTGCTGTTTAACATCATCGGGAATCCGGGCTGGTGTCCCGCTTACTTTGGGTGACAGAGATATAAATTTCGTGGATGTCTTTCTTGTAGATTCCTGACCCTGCATTCACGAACGTTCAAAGCAACCTAGCAATACGAAAAATTTCAGTCAAGATGCAGCGTACTTCAGGCCTGGCGCTTTTTCTACTTACTCAGGCCGTCTATGCCCAACAGACTCTCTGGGGCCAATGTCCGAACTCCCATTCCATTTCTTGCTGGGAATAATGTGTTAATCATTTCTTTAGGCGGCGGTACCGGATGGACAGGATCAACCGCCTGCGTAGCACAGGCAACTTGCAGCACTTTGAACCCATGTACGTCCTTTCTTACCCTTCTATTATTTGTAATATAGCACTCATTGCTCGGAAAGACTATGCACAATGCCTCTCTGCAACTGGGGCAACAACTACGACCACGATTACAACAACCAAGACTACTCTGACGACTACAACTAGTATCACGACAACAAAAGCATCCACCACCACCACTAAAACCGGTACTACCACTACAGCCCCGACGGTTTCCAACAGTGGCAATCCGTTCAGCGGCTATCAGCTCTATGCCAACCCTTACTACTCCTCCGAGGTCTTCACAGATGCAATTCCGTCCCTGACCAGCTCTCTCGTCGCAAAGGCCAGCGCGGTGGCTAAAGTTCCATCTTTCGTTTGGCTGTAGGACAACTGCTCCTGCCCAGGTGTGCCTTTACTAATTCCTTGAATAGCGACCAGGCTGCCAAGGTTCCCACTATGGGTACCTATCTTGCCGACATCAAGTCACAGAATGCGGCCGGTGCTAGCCCGCCAATTGCAGGAATTTTTGTGGTCTATGACTTGCCAGATCGCGACTGCGCTGCCCTTGCGAGTAATGGCGAATACTCAATTGCTGACAACGGAGTAGCCAACTACAAAGCGTACATTGATGCAATTAGGGCCCAGCTTGTCACATATTCAACTGTGCAGACTATTCTGGTTATTGGTTAGTGCCCTACGCATTTACAGAGGACTGGAATCTCTCTTCTAACATTTACCAGAGCCCGATAGTCTCGCCAATCTCGTCACCAATCTCAATGTGGCTAAATGCGCCAATGCTGAGAGCGCTTATCTGGAATGCATTAACTATGCCCTGATCCAGCTGAATTTGCCCAACGTGGCCATGTACATTGATGCTGGTAGGAATATTTCCCTTAATCATTTTGGCAGGAGGCATCAGCTGACTTGATATGTCTAGGACATGCCGGCTGGCTGGGCTGGTCAGCTAATCTCCAACCGGCGGCTACGCTCTTTGCCAACGTATACAAGAACGCTTCGTCTCCCGCTGCTGTGCGTGGGTTGGCCACTAATGTTGCTAACTATAACGCCTGGACAATTGGCACCTGCCCATCATACACATCAGGCGACTCCAACTGCGATGAACAGCTCTACGTCAATGCCCTTGCTCCGCTGCTGGCGTCCGCAGGGTTCAATGCTCATTTCATCACCGATACTTGTAAGCAAATCCCACGAAGCTTCATAATTTTTGATAGAATCGGGATTTTCTAACCTCTGGTTAGCACGGAATGGTGTACAGCCCACTAAGCAAAATGCCTGGGGCGATTGGTGCAATGTCATTGGTACCGGCTTCGGTGTTCGCCCCACGACGAACACTGGCGATCCTCTTGAGGATGCATTCGTTTGGGTGAAGCCCGGCGGAGAATGTGATGGTACTTCGAATACCACATCGCCACGATATGATGCCCACTGCGGATACAGTGATGCCTTGCAGCCTGCCCCAGAGGCCGGGACATGGTTCCAGGTGAGTCTTTAACCTCGTGTTAAACTTGATTAGTAGCATATATGTTCCTTTGCTGATATTCTGCAGGCATATTTCGAGCAATTGCTTGTGAATGCCAACCCGTCTTTTTGATGAATTGACGGAAGTGAATACTATCTACCTGTTGGATGAATTACTGCTGTGATATCGCCTCTCTTTTGTACGAATCAACTTCGATTTTTCCTTGATAAAAAGAAATGAAACTTGAGATTGGATTTTCTGATTCGTAGCTCCTCGAACAAGTCTCGAGTATTGTGAAATTCCGCTTAGGAAGTGTGAAACTTTAGGCTACAAGGCACCAGGTATTCAATTAGATGCATGTAAATATAATGTATGCTTGCAACTCAATAATTTCAAAAAAGAAATTGTCCAGGACCTGGCCATCATGAATATTAAAGGGATTGAAGGATAGCGTTGACATCAACGAAGCTGAATTCTTCCAACGTCTCTTCCCACAGCCTTTCCATGATTTTCTTACCCTCCTCGGTGTACAGGAGTGAAGGATACCTAGACAAGTCAATAAGCAAGTAAACGAGAATGTAAAAAGGTAGAAAGCTTACGGAACAATCTCCCAGTTCATTAGAACGGACCCGTGAGAGCTCTCCTGGGTGATCGCTGCGTCAAGGTACGTTGATGCACCGATCTTGACAGATCGAGCGGTGGCAGCTTTGAATAAATTCAATCCAACTTTGACCGCAGAAGGCGCGTCACGTTGCAGCTCCGTGCCTTTAACAAATCCGGGCTCAACGAGGTTCACCAGCACATCATCAGCAGACACTAAATCCGTGAGCTTCCAGATGAAAAACTGCCCGAGGAATTTCGACGTCGGGTATATATCAAGGGAGTCGAAGAGCTTCACATCGTCAAAGGATTTGAGAAGCGGAACCTTGTTCTTGTTTGCAAATTTGGCAGTCATGGAGAGCATGCTCGTGACGATGGTCAAAACCCCCCGCGATCCGACTGGAGACTTGTTCCTCAGAACTGGAAGTAAGAGAATAGCCAGGAGCATTGTCGAAAGATAATTGACCTGCACGGTCTCTTCATGTCCAGTAGAAGGCACAGTCTTGAAAGACCCTGCGGCAACTCCAGCGTTCAGGATGGCAGTGTCAAGGCGGGATAGCTCTTTCTCGGCCCGAGCTGTGAAAGCTTGAACTGAATCGTATGAAGCCATATCCAAAGACCAAACATCAATCGTGGAATTGGGATACTGCTTCCGTAGCTTCGCTGCTGTGTTCTCGCCCTTGGGAGTTGAACGAACCGCCATAATAAGTCGGGTCAAATTATGGGAGAGGAGTTGACTCGCGCATTCCAGACCAAGGCCACTATTTGAGCCTGTGACAATAACAACTTTGCCTGAGAGATCTGTAGCGTCTGGGATGGGCTTGGGTTTAGAGCAAAATTGATTCTTGATGAACTGGTTCGGGAAAAATGGAGTGGTAGAAGGTGGTAGCTCCTTCGAGGATGGCATCATGAAATTGGCCTAAGAGGAATTTACTGCCTGGGAGAAAGTTCCAGTAGTGAGAAATGTCGAGTAGGCGTGATTAGTTTCCAGAAGAACAATGTACAAGAGGGGTTGGGTTAGATCTCTCTTTATAGAGGCTACTGGCTCGATGAAGGATCAGCCTGCCGGCGTTAAGACTGAGATAACCCCTAGCCCCGCCAACATCAACTACTGAATACCATGGAAACAATAATGATGATTGCTTCTGGTAGTTATGTAGAACTCTCATTCTTCTCCAACGCTGGGATTGAGCCAATCAGAGTTGTGAACAGCAGGCTATACCGGATTAGGACATCAATCTCCTGCATTAGCGCCGTCCGTTTTGGGTAATTTGAGCCCCACTCAGTGGCTCTAATCTTGGTAATCTCACCTTGACCTCACTCCACCGCCTATGATTCAGCTGAAACCCTTGCCTCTTACGCACTTAACCGTGAATGGAATACAATCAGTTACATCGTTGACAGTAGTCATCCGCTTGAATCCGAATCGTACAGACTGGTCTTAACAGAGAAAGCCTCGGCGTTCGAAGACATGGGTACTCCTGGAGGACATGGTAAGCCATTGAAAGTAATACCAAATAAGATCCAATCTCGATGGTCTAATAGGCAGCAAATAGCCGAGATGCCCTTTATCTCCATGGACGGTATGGGTAAAACGGAGACAGACAAGCGAAAGCTAATCAGAAAATACGTGATGCTGGGCAAGAATCGCGGCAAGACTCATAAGGCAAAAGCAACAGCACTACCAAATCCGGAAGGCTCCAATATATACCAAGATGAGTCGTCAGAACTGGTGATCAAAATGCAATATCCCAAGGTCCCTGAGAAAGTCGGCAATGACCTTTCCTTCACACGACTCGCCGCTCCAGTCGAACCAGCGTTGATGCAGGACGTGCTAAAATGTGAGCAAACTACCTCGATGGATTTTCGCGTCCTCATTTAGGCATGATTCTTACCTGGAATGAATCATAGTCTGCTTCATGGCGAAGAAAATCATGTTCCCTCTGGCAGGCTGCATCGAATTCCACAAGAAAGACAAGGTCGACACATTATGGTTTGACCTTTTGATTTCGGACACTGCATATATGCATACCGTGGTGTTTTTATGCCAGGCTTACCTTTCTTTGGTATCTGGCCAACAAACGCCCGCCACCATGCGCAGAGAGATGGTACACTATTCTGATAGTCTTCGGCTTTTACGCAAGAGGTTGTCAGGTCAAAATGAAGATTACAAGATATGTGACTCAACAGTGCTCGTGGTTCTGAATTTGGCCGTCCATGCATATATTTTTGGCAACCACAATTCCGCCAAGCACCATATCGAGGGTCTACGCAGGATAGTTGATATGAGAGGTGGCATTTACGCTTTCAGCTATAACCCAAAATTAATGATCGAACTGCTAAAGTAAGGATCTCCGAGGGCTTCGTCCGCTGTCTAGTTGTTGATATCTAACCTTGTCTCAGATGCGACTTGGCAATAGCACTTGATTGTGGAACCGCACCAGTGTTTTTCCAAGACCCGTACTTGGAACCTCTGGTACCTTATGATCTGACACCATCGATAGTAGAAGAATCATCAGGATATAGGCAATCCTGGGAACCGGCCAAGTTAAACATCAATCCATCCCTGGTACAGGCCTGGACAGCAATGATGAGGTTCTGTTCTGCAATCAACTCTGCCGCCAAAAACAATCGCCGGCTCCCCAAAGAAATCTTGCTTAACGTCATGGCCGCAGTGATGTACCGCCTCCTTCACATGGACAATTTCGATGATAGCTCAGTTGATGAAGCCATTCGCCTCGGTCTTTTAGCCTTCTCATCACACATATTCCTTCGAATGCAAGATGTCAAGCCTCGATATGCATGCTTCCCTGATGCTTATCGAAGATGTCTTTCGACTGTGAAGCTCGAAGAAAGATCATCTCCTTTACTCCTTTGGCTTCTTATAATTGGCGCCATATCACTCTTCACACCAGCTGATCATTGTTGGCTGATACCAAGGCTACGGGTCGACATTGAGGCATGCGGCCTGCATGATTGGAATCAGCTAAGCCATCAAATGAAAAGGTTCCCGTGGATAGACATCTTGCATGATATGCCAGGACAAACGGTTTTCGAGTCGGTGTTCTTGTGGACAAATGCTCCAGAAGTGGAATAGGCATATACAGATCTCTATTACACTACTAACTCGGTTGAATACACAAATGTACAATTCATCATTTTCCAGATAGATAGCATTTTCTCGAACGTGATGCTTCTCCTTTGCGCCACCAGTATATGCCACCAGCACTCAGCTTGAAGGATGGTATATGACTTCTGCACGTATGGAGACCATTTTCGTTCGCATTTGCTCCGAAATATTTCCGCGAGCGATTGGTGCTGCCTAGTCCCCACATTTGCCCACCAATCCACCGGGGGAGGAAATTCTCACCAAAGTTCATAAAGTTTGATGGACGACAACCCAAAGTTCTGTAAACCATCTTACATCTTGAGAAATCTTTAGTACGACAACCTGTGCCGTTTTTACGTCCTAGGACTCATGTTGCGTTCCTGATGAGAAATGCTTAGATGGTGCGGAGTGAAGTAATCAATCGGCTCTGATTTGTGGGCCAGGCCGACATTCGGCGAGTTTTCGGTTGGAAACCACGCAGTAGTGGTCCACCCGGGCTGGTGTAGCCCGAGCTCGTGGTCGGCCAGGTTCCGACTCCCTCTTTTTCTCCAACATGGGGCCCCCACAAATGTGTTCACCGCGGGGTTTGCTTTCTGCTGATTTCTTCATTTTTCTTTTCCCACTTTTCTATCTTATATCCGCACGGAACACATAAATTCGATTCCCTTGAAAAGGTTCTAGAAACCGCCGACAGACATTCCATAGAACGTGATTTGCAGAGATCGGCATGGCTGGCGCCAAGCTTCGCGGGAAGACGCTTGGCCTCGTCATCGGCGTTGTCGGGGCCGTCGGATTTGTGCTACAGGGCTACGACCAGGCTGTTGCTAATGGACTGTTGACATTGGGATCTTTCATTGCTGTTTTCCCACAAATTGACACCGTCAACACCAAGGGTGCGCAACAATCCCACAATAGCACTATTCAGGGTAGGTTCTTCAACAAATAATCTCATTCTGGCTCTAATCTCGGACAGGTACGACGGTCGCTATCTATGAAGTCGGGTGCGCTCTTGGCGCCCTGGTCTGTGCCTGGCTTGGAGATAGACTTGGGCGTCGAAAAACAATTTTCCTGGCTGGCTGCGTTGCTCTGGCTGGCATCATTATTCAGGCGAGTCCGTTCGCGCTTGGCCAGCTTATCGCCGGTAGAGTTATTACTGGTACAGTCTGCACCACAATTAAGTCCCGGCACGATAGGTTAACATAACTGCAGGTTTGGGTGTTGGTGGATTCACCGCTACTATCCCTATGTACGTTTCGGAATCATCCGGAGCAGGAGCCCGTGGGCGCATGGTTCTACTCGAGGGATGGTTTGCAATTGGCGGCATTGTCCTCGCTACATGGCTGGAGTTTGGCCTCTACTATGTCAGCAACAACTCTGTCAGCTGGCGCTTTCCAATTGCTTTTCAGGCACTTTTTGCGCTCGTTGTCGTGCTGTGCATCCCATTTTTGCCGGAATCTCCCCGCTGGCTCGCCCGCAGTGGTCGAATGGAAGAAGCAGCTGAGGTGTTAGCCCGTTTAGAAGATGTGCCTGTCGAATCTGAGCGTGTTGCTCAGGAGTTGGAGATCATCCGCCAGTCACTCTTTATGGACGAGACTGATGAGTTGTCGGTTTCGAGTTCGCCTTTTGCGCTTACGAAGAATTGTCACTTACAGCGCACTCTGATCGCTGTTGGTGTCAATATCCTCGCCCAGATGACTGGCGTTAACATTATTACCTTCTATTCCGACACCATCTTCCAAAACGATCTGCACTACTCCGGTACGATATCCCGCATCATCACGGGATGCCTCCAAATCTGGCAATTTCTTGCAGCAGGCGTGGCCGTTCTGCTCATTGACCGCGTTGGACGTCGCCCTCTGCTCATCGCTGCTGCTGCCGGCATGACAATCGCACAGGCCTGTTTGGCAGGTCTTTCTTCCGACCTTGGTAACAAGTCGGCCGCCGGCGCGTCTCTTCTGTTCTATTTTCTTGCACTGTTCTGCTTCCCGATCGGACTGTTCCTTGTCCCGTTCTCATATTCGGCTGAGATCGCGCCGTTGCGCACTCGTGCAAAGGTCACCGCTATGTCGGCGTCGGCAAATTGGCTCTTCAACTTTCTCATCGCAGAGGTGACACCAATTGGATTTAACACGATCCAGTGGCGGTACTATATTATCTACGCTTGCATTAGCGCTTTTGCCTGTGTTGCTTTCTATCTTTTCTGCCCCGAGACCAAAGGTCGCACGCTCGAGGAAATTGACGACATCTTTGTTCAGTCCAAGTCCGTGTTTGATACTGTGGCTGTGGCACGGAAGATGCCATTCCAGGCAGACATTTTGGCACAGATTGACGACACCGAAAAGGTCGAGACCAAGGATGAGCGGATTGAGAGCGTCTAAGCAGTTGGTCAAGGCTTACTTCGATGCCGAGCATTTGCCCGGAAGATCGACGGCTACCACGAAATGGAAGGATTGTCACAGTGGCTCATATTACCAAGCCTTACACCAAATATCGTACATGATTTATATATATTCCACTCTAGAAACGTAGACTGGTCTATTTAGTTGCTCGATAAAGGCACTAGAGATGACGTCACTGGCTCAACTGTTTTGGGGAATATGCCGATCATTACCCCGAGTATAAGCCCCTCATTAGCCAGCTTTCCCTTAAATGTCTTTTTTCCATGCCCAGATTTGCTCGTTATGCCAGCGGGGTCGACAATTGCACCCTAACAAGAGAAGATGGCACTCGCTCGCAGGCTTGCAATTCTTCCAGGAGGATTGGGCGGCCTTGGAACGAGCATAGGCAAGAAACTAAGGGATCAAGGAACTCGGCTTGCCATTCTCTATGCACCTTTTGAAGCTGCACGCCGAGACCAGGTCCTCGGATCTACCTACGGTGAAATAGCCACCAAAGACGATATCCGCACGTATGAATGCGATATCACTTCTCCAGAATCCGTCCAGTCGGCATTCACCAATTTAGAGAAGGATATGGTCGTCCCATCATCTTCGTCCTTGGCCGAGAGAGCCTTTCCCAGCATTCTTATCAATACCGCTGGATATGTCTCCTTGAGCGACATGGAATTAACGCCTCCCGAGGAGACGGTCAAGCATCTTAACACCAACATCCTCGGCCCGATGCTCTGCTCCCAAGCCTTTGCGCGGCTCTATTTTGCGGCATCCAAGGTTGCCGAGTCTTCAACCAGCCCTCCACCTCCAGGCCGGATTGTCAGTATCTCATCCCAAGCAGCCCATGCTGCGCTTCACCAGCATGGCGCGTACTGTGCTTCAAAGGCAGGGCTTATGGGTCTGACCCGCAGCATGGCCTCTGAGTGGGCAAGCCGAGGAATCACCTCTAACACCGTGTCCCCCACTGTTGCGTGGACGGCTCTAGGAAAGAAGGCCTGGGGAGAAGAATCCGTGCGAGAGGCGTTTTTGAAAACAATACCGACTGGCAAATTTGCTTTGCCGGAAGAAGTCGCCGATGCGGTTGTCTTCCTTTGTCAGGTAAGTGTCCAATTGTAGTCCGAAACAATTTGTTTTGTCCATACTAACTAGCCTCATAGGATTCAAGCGGTATGATCAACGGAGCAGACATCAGAGTTGATGGTGGTTTTACAATCAGGTGAACATTACATGAATATAGTTACTTTAGACGAGCTCCTTTGATAGAAAATCTCACGATACTCATTTACATCCAGAATGGCTCCATGGCTTTCAATTGACTCAAAATCTTAGTAGACGCCTGTGTTCTCATTGTCTCAATCTATGGTTCAGAGACTCCTCCCGTTTCAATGGCCTTGAAGTCGTCCAGGATCTTTAAAGTTTGTGATAGATGCTGCTTTTCTTTTTACACAAAGTAGGAGGCGTCCATGAATGCGCATGAGCCTGCAGCTTCATCAAATCAAGATCCATAGGAGATCAAGTAAAGCAGTGCGTGATACAGCTGCTCTTTGTTGTTGTATACATCCGGCCGGTAGCAGATATCTACATTAAGACCGATGGTCAACCAGGAGGGTTCGGGTCAGCTAAAAATGATACAAAAGATCTCAAATTGGTGAATTGGATTTTCTGTAGATCAATTTTGGCTATCTGCTCTAGCGTAGGCTAGCGGTCAGCGTGGAGAGGTATATCAGTGTTCATTGGTCAGAGCATATGAAAGCATGCCTACACATAGATCTCCATTCAGTTCGATCAGACCAGTAGGGCTAAAATCAGTTTGGATTAATCCATTACTATCCTATAGCATTTTGGCACGGCATTCCTGCAGTAGTATACACAGAGAAAAATGGTTCCCGATCCCCCGAGAGACCAGTGGTCCCGCATTAGAGCTAGTGGTTGAATCTATAAATAACACCCTTCGCATTCTTTTATGTAACTTACTGACTTTGTGAATTCCTTTCTAGATGGATGTTATTCTTTTGTAGTCTTCTCCATCTTCTCGAGAAACTCAGTACGGTTTAGCTATATTTCCTGCATAATTTAATCAAAAATCGTTCCCCCAGATATGCGAATAATGCGAGTCATTGAAATACAAAACTGTCTATTATTAGTGATACTGTCCATTGAATTTCTCTCAACGACTCTTTACTTGAATCCTTGTTGATGTCATTGTTCACACCCTACGACTTTCACATGCCGCGCATGTGCTCTCCCGGGGATCCCGTGACGCGGGCACCGGACCAACGATGATGCGGGGACCTCGGCATTTTCACAGTCGCAACAGCAGCATCGAAAGGGAAATACCACCGGGTCCACGGTCCATGATTACTATTTTATAAGAGACACCTCCCCGGACGTGTATCTTTGCTCCTCTCACTACCCCCCTTGTGTCGATTTTGATTCTTCACCTCCACGAGACCCCAATAAACTATCCTACGATACTTGACGTCATGTCTTCAGGTACGTCAATCTGAACAGACAGTACGACTGTTTGGAACTAACTCGTCGGTCATCATCAGCCCAACAGCGTCTCAACCAGGTTTCCTCCCACTTCGGTGGCAAGAAGGGAGCGGCCGCCCTCACCGAGAAGCACCCCGATGATATCGTCGTGACCTGCGCCCTCCGCACTGCCCTCACCAAGGGTGGCAAGGGTGGCTTCAAGGACACCGCCGCCGCCGACCTGCTGGCCGGTGTCTTCAAGGCTGTCATCGACAAGAGTGGCATCGATCCCAAGGCCGTCGACGATGTTGCCGTTGGCTCCGTCCTCGCTCCCGGTGGTGGCGCGACCGAGTTCCGCGCCGCTGCTCTCGTGGCTGGTTTCCCCGAGACTACTGCCGTGAAGAGTCTGAACCGCCAGTGCTCCAGCGGCCTACAGGCAATTGTAGATATTGCCAATGCCCTAAAGTCCGGCATGATCGATGTCGGCATCGGTGCCGGAGTTGAGAGCATGTCCTCTCAGTATGGGCCGGGCGCCGTGACCGAGTTCTCGGACCTGCTCGAGAACCACATGGAGGCTGCCAACTGCAAGGTGCCTATGGGTGTCTTGTCAGAGAACATGGCCAAGGACCGCAACATCACCCGTGCATCGCAGGACGCTTTTGCGGCGGCTTCGTACCAGAAGGCCGTCAAGGCCCAGAAGGCCGGCCTTTTCAACGAGGAGATTGCCCCGCTCGAGGTCAAGTGGACCGACCCCAAGTCCGGTGAGGAGAAGACCATCACCGTCAAGGCCGACGACGGTATCCGCGAGGGTATCACTGCCGAGTCGCTGGGCAAGATCCGCCCTGCGTTCGCCAAGGATGGCTCCATCCACGCCGGTAACGCCTCCCAGATCTCCGACGGTGCCGCCGCCGTCCTGCTCATGAAGCGGTCCACCGCCGAACGCCTGGGCCAGAAGATCATTGGCAAGTACGTCGCTGCGAGCGTCGTGGGCGTCAAGCCCCTACTTATGGGTGTTGGTCCTTGGGCGGCTATCCCCATCGCCCTGGAGAAGGCCGGCATCACTAAGGAGGATGTCGATATCTACGAGATCAACGAGGCCTTTGCGTCGCAGTGTGTGTGGTGTGCAAACGAGCTCGGCCTACCCCAGGAGAAGATCAACCCCAAGGGCGGAGCCATTGCCTTCGGGCACCCGCTTGGCTGCACTGGTTCCCGGCAGGTGAGCACGCTTCTGACCGAGCTCAGCCGGACGAGCAAGAAGATCGGCGTGACCAGCATGTGTGTCGGTACCGGCATGGGTATGGCCGCCGTCTGGGTTGCCGAGTAAATTAAGGGTCCCCAAAACCTAATTGTACATTGCACAGCGATATGACTTTGTTTCTTTTGTTTTATCTCATGTCCACAGATTCTTGAGTGTATTGAATAAGAATACCATATACTATTGGATATCCTCTGCTCACGTTTACTTAACGACATGTTCAATCGTAAATAGATACAAGAAAAAGATACAAGAATCATCATATCCGGGCACTATAATGGTGACCGGAAAGTCGTGAAGGCTTCGGTAACACTCATTCCCTGCGCAACGGCCTCCCTGGCCTTGTCATCCATGCGAGTCAGCCTCGGCATAATCTCCATGACCGGACCAAGCAGCTCGCGGGGAATAACAACGACGCCTTCCAAGGGGTCACAAAAGACAATATCTCCCTATCACAACATGTCAACATTAATAATTCGTTTCAAGGAGCCCAAGTCGAGTGTGGAATACCCACCGGAGAAACAGTGACACCTCCAATGGAAACAGGCACATTGCGAGCAGCAGGCTTGGCCTCTGCATTCGTGCCAACAGTCGAAGTACCACGAGCCCAGACCTAGTTATAACCCCAAACCAAATCAGCACTTGCTTTCATCATAATATAATTGCGGGGTTGATATAGAAAACAAAACAAACCGGCAACCCCGTCCCTGACAACTCTTTCAAATCTCTCACCCTTCCCCCAACAACGGCAGCCTTGATCCCAAGCACCTTCATCCGCGTCGCCATGATCCCACCGGTGACGGCACAGTGCTGGCCCTCGGGCTGCTCGATGACTATGATGGAGCCTGATCCCGGTGAATGGGCTGCTTCGTAGTCGCCTGCATAGTCGACCCAGTGCTTTCCTGGCGGGAAGCCGTGGTTTTCGTTTGTTGCGATTGTTAACGGGGGGACGGTTGAGGCCTTTGCGACGAACTTGAAGGTTGTTGCTGGCGCAGCGATCTTGGGGACTGTTGTGTTGCGGCCGACTAACGGGGAGAAGGGGACTGAATGGTATCTATATGAGTGGTGTGTTTTCTTGAGAGAAACAAAGAGAGGGGGGGGAGAGAAAGCACCCAGATCAGCCAAGTATCCCGCTCGCGCTGTTCCGCCCTCAGGGACATGTTGAATCTTGAGCAGAGCATCTGACACCCCCGCAGATCAGTCAATGTGCTTGTTCTATTCATATTCGTAGATGCCAGGCATACATCACAAGCCGAGTAGTTCTCCACCAACGTCTGAAGGACCTCGTTCAAACTCGGCATGGTCGTTCGTAGCGGGGAACAAGAACAATCGACGGGTGTAGCAGATAGGGACCTAGGAGAGCATGACGACATTCCCCATCGTTGGGTTCGGCAGGCGCTGTTTAAAGCGAGAACGTCGCTGATCTTCAACACATGTCCGACGATCGGAATACATCATCGGCAATGTATCGTAGTTAGAGTGTCAGATCGATCCAATTGGACCATCGGGTTCATTATATGTCGAATACTTCAAAGAATGCATATATGTAGTCGTTTCTCATCTGGACCCTGTAGACTGGGTGCAGGGTGCCGTTTCATCATCGCAATCCTTGTGGTGAATAGCCGAGGATGATGATCCACTTGGGCCCGAGCCTCTGCAGAATACAATATCTGTGAAGTAGATAGTGGCGCGTATGGCCACGGAAAATCATATTATTTTTTCTTTTCTATATAGAAAAACAAGCTATTTCCTATTCCACTCTCTGCATATCTCCCTCTCATTCCTAGGAACCTGAAGCAACAGCCCAAGTCGCGGGGCATTAGTTATCCACTCTTCGATGTGGGGGGGAGGAGGAGGCGTATTGGTAATCGCGATGGTGAGAAAGGAATTGTTCCGGGAATAATAATAATATCGCACTGCGTGCGCATATCACTTGTCTTACCACAGCCGTCGCATCTAATTTGGAGATTTAGCTGCGACAGGGCTCTATCGTTGAATCTTTTCTGCAATAAGACATCACATTTGCCCAGCTTTTCTTGGGAAACAGGCACCGTATAAATTAGATGATAGGTACGCACTCGCACTTTCTACCCGATTGATCTCTGGCTTCTTATACATTCACCAGATATTATACATACACCTGCGATAGACAGTCGGTCTTAACTATAGCCTCTGCTCCTGCCAATATACACAAAATGACCATCCAACATCCTACATACACCGACGACCAGCTGGAGTCATACCTTCAACGCATCGAATACCCACGCGCAGCACCAACAGAAATACAGGGCAATCGGCTACAACAAGTCCGAGGAGGCATCAAGGCTAAGCCCCTCCACACCCTAGCACACCTACAGAGATGCCATCTCGCTGCTATTCCTTGGGGCAACTCCGGGCTGCACTATTCGCAGCACCACACCATCTCATTGGATCCCCACAGTCTCTACGAGAAGATGGTGGAGCGGCGACTGGATGGGTATTGCATGGAGACCTCGGGACTCTTTTTTGTTGTCCTCCGCTCCCTGGGATACCATGTGTATGCGACTGGGGGACGGGTGAGTCATGCTGCGGCTTCGTCTAGAGGGGTGGATGATGGGTTGTATTTGTCGCTGTAGGTTGTCCTTGAATGCATTGAATGGGGTACTAACTAGCTGTTGGAAGCGGACATATGATCTTGATTGTGGTCATTAATGGAGAGAAGTACATGGTGAGTTTTCTTTCCGCCTCGGACAGGGATTCTCCGTATGCTGATATGTATATCTATGGACAGGTTGATGTCGGGTTCGGGAACAACTGTGCCACAGCTCCATTGCCTCTACGAGAAGGCGCAACAGCTACATGCGTCGCACCATCTGAGATGCGGTTGGTGCGAGACAGTCTCTCCGAATTCATGGACAAGGACCAAAAAGTCTGGATCTACCAGACAAGACACAACGTCGACAGCAACTGGATTCCCAACATCTGCTTCGCGGACGTCGAGTTCCTGCCGCAGGATTTCCGGGTGATGAACTTCTCTGTCAGCCAGACGCGCACGAGCTGGTTCACGCAAGTGTTTGTCTGCATTCGCATGATTCTGGATCAGAGTGGCACGGAGATTATCGGACAGTATATGGTGGTGGACAAGGAAGTCAAGCGTAGGGTGCGTGGGCAGACGGAGATTTTGAAGGTGCTGCACTCGGAACAGGATCGGGTTGAGGCCCTGGCGAAGTACTTTGATATGCATCTGCGGGATAATGAGGTCCGAGGGATCCGAGGGTTGACCTCGGAGATTAAATAGGGATTACGGGGAACAAGGACGGTGTGAACATGGTATGGTACAGCCGGCGTTTCGTTTCTAAAGCAGTTGCGGTGGATATGTATAGTAGGTAAGAAGGACACAAGGCAGGCGAAAACAGGAAAAAAACAACGTTGCGATTCTTGACCTAGTAGATCCGCTTCTCGACCTGGTATATCGTCAGCATTGCTGCCACCCCCGAGATCCACAAATGTCTTTCGTACCTTCCACGGGTGGCTGACTTCGAAGCCCTTGGGTGCTTGGTGATTGCTGCTCTGGCCTCGAAGGCTTCCCGTGATTCGCAGGTCTCGTTCCATCACTGTTAATCGGGTGGTCGCATGGTTAGTATCTCGAATTGAGTCCAATAGTCCGTCGAAATAGGCCGCCACTTACTTTGCTGTACAAAGGTTAGCCAACACGTTCACTCGTTGCCGACCGCAGCCAAGAGGGGGAGACTTACCCGATCCCACAGGTCCCGGTTCCAGCGGGCCTTCTTGCCATCGTTGGCGAAGCGCTTGACGAAGTGGAGGCCAACGCCGGTAGCGGTGAACATCTGCGAGGGGGATGGTGAGTGAGCAGTGGCTCGTGGGGGGAGAACTGGTGGACGACACTTACACCGACGATGATCCCGTACGGGAGCAGAGCCTCGAAGGGAACACCCATCTTGTGTGATTGCAGAAGAGGAAAGGGGGAGAGGTCAATGGCCGAAGAAGAGTGGCAGGTCCTGGTCAGGTCGTCCAAAGCAATGAATAATGAATGGAAGGAGGGAATTGCGGCAGGTGACTGGCCAGCCGAAAAGGGCCTAGCGCCCGGAGGCTGAGTCAGCAATCTGGGCGACGACCACCAGGTCCCAAGGGGCGCCGATGCGGATTCGATTGCCAGAAGACCACCATTGCGTTTGTCCTGCGACGCGTCTTGTCCTGCGTTATCTCTTTCGGCCCCTCTGCTGGCTGTTGTGGTGAGTATCCCGTTCCTCAGGATACGCGTTCGCCAATGCTCGAGCCACCCTCCTTCTGACTAACACCTGTGCGTCCTGCTCAGCGACCAAGTTGCGCCGTGGGCATCGAACTCTCAATTCAGCACCCGCTTTACTTCCCGACGACTGGGGTACAACACCCGTTCCTTCCCCTGACGCCTGTTTGCCTCCCCGATGTGCCTCCGCATCACCGCCGACGTGAGCGGGGTGCCTCTGTAACCGTCAAGTTTTGCCCCCTTCTTGAAGCAGCAAAAGAAACGCACATACACACAGTGGGAGCAGTGTTCTTGAACACCCTGGCGACTGTGGTGACATCCACGATGGCGGCGACCGTGCCGCCGGCGGATGACGATCCGGGCAAACTTGACCCCATCTACAGCGACCAGGATGCCGAGGGTGAGGAGGAGACAGATCTGTATCAGATGGACCAGCAGTTGCAGGATGCGGTCCACCGAGCCTATACCGGAGAGGTCGCGGAGGAAAACGGGGATGATGAGGTGGGCGGCGAAACCAAAGAGTCGGCATCGTCCGTCGAAAATGCCGACTCCGACGTGGTTGGTGCGGTGAAAATCCGTGATGAGGACACATCGTACCACAGTGAGGATGCGGATGCGGAGGCAGATGCCGATCCCGCGTTTGAAGACCGGAGTGACCATGGATCCAACTCGGACCCGAGCGATCAGGAGTCAGATGTCGAGGAAGACTGGGATGCTGAAAGCAACGACCGCGATGAGGCGGATGGAGATACGCGCAGCCGCGCGAATTGCATGTACGTGGGAAGAGAAAAAAGACATTGTGCGCGATGCTGACCATTTTTTTCCAGATTTTGTAACCAAGACGAGGAACACGATCCCAGTGAGGATTATGAGGAATATCTGACTTGCGCTGTTTGTGGCGACCACTGTAAGTTGTGCCCTTCTGGAGCGAAAGCTTGCTGTCTATGGCTTTGACTAACTCGGCGTCCCAACAGCCCATCGGCAATGCGCCCGCGAGCAAGATGCATTCCATGACAAAGAAGGTACGTGAAAAGTGAAACTGTTTTGGTAAAAGGTAGCTTCCACTAAGACGCTAAGATGCAGATCCCTGGAAATGTCCCACTTGTGTTTACAACAAACTGGAACCCGATCCTGTGGTGACACAACACAAAGCTCCCAGTTTGCCAAAGGAGCTCTTGCCTGCACACAGTGGAGCCAAAGGCCCAGGGTTTCACTCTATCTTTGACGCTCCAGATGTCAATGATGGTTTACTCAACAGCTCACGGTCGTTGCGAAAGAGGAAAGCTTCATCCTTGGAAGTGGAGGAGGAGCATGCTCCCGTGCTCCGCAAAAGACGGCGACAAAGTTCGCTTCGAGCTGATCATCCCGACCTGCTGGACCCAGTCTTGGCAGAGGGAGAGGAGATCGCCGACGCCGACGCCGACACACTCTCCCCTGCAGCAATCCGCCCGGTACGTTCCCGGCGCACTCGTGGCGCCGATCGAGAGACCTTCCGTGTGGTGTCTCAACAGATCGGGAAGTTAGTGGTTGGATTTCGACTCGACCACAACAAGGTGTCGAAGGTCTTGAGTGCCCCCAGTCGACCACTACGGAAAAAGAAGAAAAATCCCAAGCCGCCTCCCGTTATTGGATCCCAAGCCCACTTTGCTGCCATTCCCCCCACACCTTACGCCCCCGTGTTCACCCCGTTCCACGATCGGGAAATCGACGATTCCAAGTCCAAGCCATATGGCGGCATTCTATCCGAGGCTGAACAGGACACCTCCAAGACCCTTCCGACACAACTTGACCGTGAACGATTCGAGATCGCTCGCCAAAAGGCCGAAGAAGAATGGCAGCGGAAAGTCCGAGAGGCTGAGCTGAATGGCGAGGCCACTCCAACCGCATCGGCGAAAGTATCGGGTCCTCCCTCGAAGATCAAGTACATCAACTTTGGTGGCTTTGAGATCGAGACTTGGTACGCCGCACCTTACCCGGAAGAGTACAGCCGCAATCGTGTGCTCTATATCTGCGAATTTTGTCTGAAGTATATGAACTCGGACTATGTTGCCTGGCGTCACAAACTCAAGTGTCCTGCCAAGAATCCTCCTGGCGACGAGATTTACCGGGACGGTTCAATCTCGATCTTTGAGGTTGACGGACGGAAGAACCCCGTCTACTGTCAAAACCTGTGTCTTCTTGCCAAACTCTTCTTGGGTTCAAAGACATTGTACTATGATGTCGAGCCTTTCCTATTCTATGTCATGACCGAGTACGACGACCTAGGCTGCCACTTTGTGGGATACTTTAGCAAAGAGAAACGACCAAGCTCGGCAAATAATGTCTCCTGCATTCTCACCCTTCCCATTCATCAGCGCAAAGGCTACGGCAACCTTCTCATCGACTTCTCATACCTCCTCACACGCATCGAAGGCAAGAATGGATCACCCGAGAAACCACTCTCCGACATGGGCTTGGTGTCATACCGGAATTACTGGCGTCTGATCCTGTCTTATCAGCTCCGTGACTTGAAAAGCCCGGTCAGCATCGCCGATTTGTCTGATCGAACCGGAATGACAGCAGATGATCTTGTGTCCGCATTGGAGGGCTTACGGGCGCTCGTGCGAGACCCCATCACCAAAACCTATGCGTTCCGTCTCGACCACAAGTATTTCCAGGAAGTCATTGACGGCTGGGAAAGCAAGGGCTACGTAACACTCAACCCTGACGCCTTACTCTGGACTCCATACATCATGGGCCGCAGCAACCAATCACAGTTTGATCGTGCGCCTATGCACACGGTTGCGCCCCGAGAGGATCCCGATGAGGAGGAAGAGGAAGAAGAGACAGAAATCAACGGTGACTCTGTGTCGATGGTGAACGGGACCAATGGAACTGGTTTCGCAGAGCCCGCAGGGCCTCCTTCAACAACTGCCTTCGACCAGGCAGATGGTCTGCACAAGTCTTCCTCGCCCGACAGCTCAGAAGTCCTCTCGAATCCCGCCAATGGCATTCCTCCCTCTCGATTCGAGCTCTGGCCCCCCGTCCAGGCCCCACCGCCTGCAAAACGAAAACCCGGCCGTCCTTTCGGTAGTTTCAAAAAGAATCGACACTCGATGACGCCCACGACCAACCGCATAAGCGGTCGCAACACGCCTCGACGAGCTTCTCAGCTTCCGATGGGGACTCCCACTAGCACTGGTATGCGTCGTGGTCGGAGGGCGTTGCTTATGGACTCGCCCTCGGGCGAAGCGACTCCTACGCAAGTCAATGGCATCGAAGCAGAAGAGGCAGGTCTCGAGGAGGCGGTAGTGGATTCGAATGCCGAGGAACTTGTGGACGGCACATCCGATGCAGACGGGCAGGCCCTAGAAGATATCAGCGGTGCCGACGACGCGGACGACGAGCCCGCCGAGACGAACGGTCACATCGAAGAAGACATGGAAGAAGAGGAGGAGGACGAAGTGTCACAGACTCCCTCAAAGCCAACATCCCGATCTCCCCAGACTCCAACTCGTAACGGATCAAAAGGCGAACCCACCGAACACACACCCCGGCTATCTCGCTCCGTCAACCGGAAAGCCTTGGTGGAGAAGATTCAAGTGATGGTCCCAGCTACCGAGCACAGCGCCACCCCCGCCACGAAGGCAAATCCGACCGCAAGATGGCAGACTCGAATGGCATTGACTCTGATGCAGATGCGGATGCCGATGCAGAGGCCGACGCCGACTTCGATGTGGATGAGGATGTCGTAATGGAGACATGATTATTGTGGGCGGCGCAACGCATCGCTGAAATGGTACATGGCACATGGCGTTTTTTGTTTTTGTTCTCTCTTTTTGGTGATTTTTCTTTCACGGCGATTTAGCTGTCTTCTATAATTCCTCTATCTGAGCATGTCTGGTCTGGCCTGGACAGTGGAGGAACCCGACTCGCTAGTTAGTACCCATCGAGGGCATGCTTTTATCCTTCTCTTCTCTTCTATTCTCTGTCTCTGTCTTTCTGCTGTCTTTCTGCTTGGGTCCAGCACGGAGCGAGGGCATGAGGAGCTATGGCGTTTTTCTATTTCTATTTCTTGTTGGTCCTACGTAACTGATAATCAATGGGACTCACTCACTACTTTGTCTGATTAAGTGTATAGCCGTACAATGAGCAGGATCTTTTTCTGGTATTTCAGGCAGTGCCTATATATAAATACCTCGCTGGCTCCTAGGTTTTAGGGGCTAGCGATGAGCTTTAGAAATATATCAACTACTTGCGAGTCTCTATCTAAGAATACTTAGGCGCAGATATACGCAAATACAGTATTTGGGCTGCTTGGCAAGATACATAAAAACGAAGATATAGAAAAACTGAATATAGAACCTATAGATGTGCTGTATTGAAGTTCACCGTGTTGGTTATAGAATGTACCACTCTACTGGATTATAGATTACTTGCGAGCCTCACAATGCTTGATGAACGAACTAGAGATATCTTAAGAAAATTTGAGTGTAGTGATTCACCACTCTTTTAACGATTCTATGAGGTGAATCTAAGAAAGATAACTCTTTTTAAGCTTTCTACTATAATATATATTGCTTGAATCAGCAATGTTCGCTATCACAAATTGTATGGGACGTACAAGGGGAAGAAAAATCACGTCCGGCAGCGACCAGAATCCACAAGGAATGATGGAACCTGGAGCAACTGGTCGTGTGTCAAAAATTCATCCCATCCCGTGCGGTTGGTCCACTTTCAACGTGCTTTTCCGGAACCCGGCCCCGATTTGATGTCGTACCGTACGCAAGTGCCAAACGTCCACTTCCATATTGGCTCTCGTTTTCACTGCATTTCTATCGGACAGGGATTACACATGCTAGCGTCCTGTTCCATACGTATGTAGTTCTGAGAGGAAGCTATCGACTAGCAGGCAAACTCAGAGCGTTTCGTGGTAAGAAGAAGCTAAGCTTCGGGCACGGAGTTACGTATGCAGATGGATTCAGTACGCCAAAGGATTCGGCCCAAAAGGTGAAACGGTGAGTTTAGATCCACTAGTTACGGAGTACGGGGTAGTCGCTGAGCTAGTTTGAGAGCATCATGGGATGATCACTACGCCCGGAAGGATTTTAGCATGTATCATTTATTATCGCCCCTGAGTCTCCATATTATTCGACACAAGTAGTCTTGGTGGGAATTTTTCTTAACTAGATGGCTTCTTGTGATACTGGACCTATTCAAACTTATTACTTTTATCCTTGCCCTACTTATATCTTTTTAAACTGCCCCTGCCTCAGTGATGCTTAGAATCCTTTTCTCACTTGCTGGTCCCTCGCTCTATCTCTAGCGTTGGCTATTTCTTTTTGTGCCCCAACCACCGAAATGGCCGCCAGAATGGTCCGGATGGATCGCCTTGTCTCATATCGGTGGATGAAGACCATTGTCCTCGTGTCAATTGCGTTTTCATTATTTGTAACATCTGGTTATTTTGCGAAGCATCAGAGGCTTGATCTAGGTCAGCCTCGAGTTGGAGACGAGCGCCTTGTTCTCGAACCTCGCGACCAGTACAATGGCAAACAATTGACATGGGAAAATGCTGAAGCCCAAGGCAAACAACTGTACTGTGCAATGAATGCCGCACCGCAAGACACAGCTGGATGCTTCAAAAGAGGGAAAAAATACTGAGCACCAGCGAATTCACTCAATATGGGGATTTGGCTAAATGGGGTTGGGTTCAGAAGAGGCTTTCTTCAGGATTTGATGACTGTGGTGGCGTAGACTTCGGTGACTTCGGTGATCCATACGTCCTAGATGTTACCAAGTACCTGGAGGCCGTCTTTGAATATTTGAAGATCAATTTAGCCGCAGCCGAAGTCTACACCGACAGAATCGAGTGGATACAATCGAAGACTGTGACAATAGAAGGTGTGACCTACGATGTAAGTGTTCAAAGTCCAAGCCACAATATAACTTTGCATGAATTAACACCCTCTTAGGCAACTAATGGCCTCTATGCGAACCTCTTCAATGTTCAAAGTGGTTTCATTATTGCAGACGTCATTGAGAGTCCCGCATTTCGATCCAGTACTAGTCCTCACCCTGTCGAACATTTAATCAAGCTTGAGAAATGGTCGGATGTTACGTTTCTACAATGGAAGCAGTCATGCGCCCAGAAAAAGAAGCCAATCACCGACTTGAAATACGTGTTACAAAGTTCTATCACCAATGTCGACACGGTGGCTATTCTACGGGAAGCACTTGGAGAGCCAAAAGATTTCCATGAATGGCGGGACTACGCAGACAAATCCAAGTTCAAAACGTTCGACGCTACTTCTAACACTGCTGCCTTCGATGCTTTGCTTAGAACGCCTAATGTTCAAGGAACCGCTTTTATGCTCATCCAGCACAAAGATGACTTCGGAGGGCCATGGAAAGTCTCCAGTATTACAGTTTTTGGACAACTGAATGGCAACTGGAAACCAGGACTTATTATAGAAGTTCAGCCTGTTAAATAAGGATATCCCTAATTTTACCATGTATTTGCATTTCCTATTTGCTATAACGAGTGTACAAAGGAAGGACTTTCCACAATGGGTACTCCTGCAGACCCAAACCTATCTCACAGACAGGATTGTGGCGCTTTGATTCGACGATGAGGTATCTGATCTAACCATTAATTACAGGAGTAGCCCAATAATAATCGAGCTGCAAGCGCCCCGGACTGTGTATCCTTTCGAATAAATGAATGTGATGATGTGGGTGCCTGAGGTGCCAACGTCCCCGATAATCATAGATAGCTTTTCCCCTTTGGAGCACACTTAGTCAATACAAATCACATCTTCTTTTCCTTTCCTTCGCGATCTCGCTCTTTTCTCCCATCTCCCTGGCCTTCCAAAAGCTCCTCATGCCGATCAGATTGGCTCTATCTAGATTATATTACACCCCATACATATGCCTAGAAACCAATGTCAAATGCGCAAGTCACCGTTCAGAGGTGAAAGAGATATGTAGGGCCCCCGCCGGGCACATTTTTGGCCTAGCTATACCGAGTCTATTTTGCACACATTTTGATTGACAAGCTACAAATACAAGTATTAAGGATTGAGTGCTGTCGGGGATGGATTATGTACTTAGTAGTCTGTTAGAATCACGTTTATGTCTCTAACTAACCTTACTGCCGAAGCACCGGATTGATCATAGTGAGTGAGCAGCGGTGTCAAGCTTTACATGTCCCGTCAAAAAGTACAATTGCCCAGTCCGGGCGACGTGCAGGAGCCGACGAGCCCGGAGCTCGGTGGGATGTGATCTGTTCGATCGCGAGACGGTGGTGGTGGTCTGTGTGCGCCGGAGAATCGACGACGAGAATAATGAACATGTACGCACCTGGACCTACCCAGAGTCGAGTACCTAGTAATTTTACCAACAATACACGCCAATTAATCGATATTAATTATCCTGAAGAATCAAAATCATTCTGAATCGAGAAAAAAAAACCCACACCCAGAAAATACCCGATCGGCAGGATCGGCGACGCCAGGGCCAGCGGGAAGAAGCTGTCAGCGCAACGAACAACCATGGAATGGTCACGTTAAGCATAAACATAGCGTCGCCTGGTTCCAGGCGGAACCGCGGTTTGGCTGCTGTCATTCTTGTACCTACCGTAGTATACCTACGGTAGGTACAATAAATATTATCACACTCTGTTCCACGCGCCCAGCATTGTCTGTAACAACCCCTCACGACCCTGACGTGGCTAGACGAGGAATTTTGGAACTAGGAAAATGAACAGTTCATCATGCGTCTGTCTAGTCTGTCTGGTCCTCTTTTTTCCCCTGTTGCCCCCACCAACCACCACGAACGAATTAACCCACGTAGCCTGTTCAGAGGGGGAAGAAGTGAAGCGGGATTTTCTTGGGGGTTTTTTCCCCTTTTCCTTTTCTCTCTCTCTCTACACGCTACGTTTACACGCTACATTTACTGTTCTCTGGTCTTTGCACCCCCCACCCCTCCTGTCTTCATCCTTTCGATCCTGTTTGCGATCATCTGAGGATTCGATTTTCCTCTTCCCCCTGCGCTACTCCTACTCCGCCTGCCTCCGAACTTTTCTTCAAGCAGCCCTAACCAACGCTCCCTCCAATGGCCCCGGAGTCGAATCCCGGGCGGATGAGCTCGATCTACAGCCCTGGGCCGGCACGCGGGATGTCCCGTGGGCGGCCTCAGCGTTGACCATGGGCATGATTGACGGTCTCCCTCAGGCCGCAGTCCCCTCGTTGGTCCACACGGTTGTATAACCCTCGGCTATCGCATTCCCGACCATGTCGCCGCACAGTATCGGCAGATCTGGGGGTGGCCCGTGATCCTGATCAGCCAGCCCCGGTCGATTATCAACCACCCTTGCATGAGCCCTGTCCGATGGAGACAGAACCACTGCCCCGTCACATGTGTCCTGTCCCTGCAACGAGGTCAAAAGTACCATCAGCACGGCTGGCGCGTAGAACCGGTCCCTTCCCCGACGAACCGATCTGCAAACGCCCGCCCGATCAGGCTGTTGGGGTGCAGCGAACACAGGCAATGTGACGCATCGACTCGCATCAACCCTGTCACTGCAGCTCTCGCTGCATTCGCGTCACCCCACACCTCTCTTTTCTTTTCGTTGCTTGTCTGGGCCTGTCTTCGCTTCCCTTTATCTTCCACTTCCTCTCATCATTCACCACCCTCAACATGAATCGGCAAGCCTGCCCTCCCCGCCCGGTGTTGCGATAACGATAACGAGCTTGATCCGCGCGCACGGTCTTGGCTTGCTGCCGGCCCCCATCCTCGGTCGATTCTCCGGGGTGCTAGCGGGGTGCCACGGGTGGCAGGGAAGGGACGTCGGTGCCTGATCGCACTCGGGTGGACTCGTTTGCTGCGGTCGCTTTAGGGGGGTGTCTCAGCGACTGGCCTCTCCCTTTCTATGGAGCGCGGTGGGAGACACGCAAGAAATTCCCGACTGGGTGAGTTCCTTTGTTTGTTTGCGCAGGGAGAGTTTCCAAGTTCCAAGGTTGGGGGTGGGGTGCAAACCGTCACTCCGTGCTGGACTCGGGATGACATAAGAGCGAGAGCACGGAGGGACCAGGCCGGCAACAGCATCAGAAGAGGGAGGCGAGGGAGACCAGACCAGCCCGAAGACTGATTCCGACTCTCTAGTGCGGCTCTCGATCGGATCTCCATGCTTATCTGCCCCCTGGGATGCTTAGACGCGCATCGCGGTTAACTAAGGTTGAATGTGCGCATCATCCATCCACCCTCCATTCCGATTCAACGGTCGGGCGCTCCACCGGGGCTCTGGGCGGGAGAATTCTGCCCACAACCATCATCTCATCTCATCATCTACAAACACGACCCTTTCCGCTCTCGGCTGGCTCTTTCCGCTTGCGTTCTGACCGCACCACCATCCTGGCTCTTCGTCCCGTTTTCATCGCTGGCCTGCCCATGGTAACCAGCATCTAGTCGGGCCACTAAACTACTGCCTGTCCTCCCCCCCCCCCACTACCACTATCGCAAGACGACAGTGTGACTCGCTCTGCCTCGCTCCAGGGTCCTGACCCCGTCTGTCCTTTTCTTCTGACTGCCGGACCCATTCCTGTCTCTTCCACATTTCCCTGTCAATCCCTCTGCTGTTCCTCGGATCCATTCGTGTGCCTGGTGGTTCACTCACCCGCGATTGTCTCACTCTCTCCTCTTCTCTATCCTCGACTTCGTCTTGATGAGTGCATCGACATTCTCCGACGCCTCTCTCTCTCGTGAAGCCCAGAGGTTCGTGTGCTCCGCCTTGCAGATCGGCGCATGACAGAGTCGCAACTCTTACTCAGTGGTCCAGGGATTCGCACTGACAATGTTAACCAACTCCAGTTCTGACTTTGAGTTGACCATCCGCCAGCAGCCCGACCGGGCGCGCGTGGCTGGGGGCAAGGAGAAAGGTACGTTCGATCGTCTCTGCCCCTCCGACGGAGGTGGGGTTGGCCTTGTAGGAGACTAACCAGACCCCCAAGAGCGCAAGCCCATCGATCCTCCCCCGATCGTTCAGCTCCGGGTGCGAGAGGAGGGTACCTACTTGGCGCAGTGAGTCCTGCATGAGTCCCCATGACGAATGGTCCAAGCTGATCGTGCGTCAGGCACTACCTGCAAAGCCCGTACTATTTCATGTGCTGCAGTCTGTACGATGCCACAGAAGATAGCCCGGTGCCCGTGGCCCCATCAACGGCGCTCGCTGGAACTCTTGTATCGTCTCTTCATAGGCTGAAGGATGTGGACAACAGTGGTCAGTCGGGTCCTGGCTTGCCTGATGTCGTACCGGTTTACTGACGTGTTCGTAGATGGCGGGTTCTTCGTCTTTGGGGATCTGTCGGTCAAGATCGAGGGCAATTTCCGTCTGAAATTCACCTTGTTCGAGATGCGCAAGTGAGTTGCACCGGTCGGGCCATAGAGTCAGTGACTAACACACATGATCAGACAAGAGGTGACCTACTTGAAGACCATCATCTCCGAGCGGTTTACCGGTACGCACCCCTCTTTGGTGTTGGAACAGCCCTGAAGCTAACCAAGCGACCAGTGTCTCCTCCCAAGAGCTTTCCCGGCATGAAGGAGTCAACGTTCCTCTCCCGGTCGTTTGCGGACCAGGGAGTCAAACTACGGATCCGCAAGGAGCCCCGGACTATGATGTATGTGTGCAGGGTTGCTATGAGGTCTGTGTCCCATACTGACTCGACAGGAAACGCTCTCATCCCCAACCAAATGAGTACCCACCTCAGGCACTGCCTTCACGCTCGCCAGATCGCACATCGGTACAGATGCCTCCAACGGCCTTTCCAGGAGGGTATCCGCAGACGACGGCGCGCGACTACTATTATGGCGCGGCCGCACCGCCCCCCAAACGCCATCGGACATCTATCGATTATGGGCGTGGTATTGAGGCAGATAGTCGGATGGCTCGTCCACTGGACACGTACGGCCGTCCAATGGAGGCGTATGGCCAGCCTACCATGTACGGACAGCCGGGAGCGTACCCGGCACCGATGCAGCCATACCAGACCGGGCAGGTAGTGGCCGATTACGGGGTTCGTGGTTTTATTATCTGAGTTGACCAACTACTGACGCTAGCTAGATGCCCTATGGCCTGCAACCATCAGCCCCCCTGACGCAGATGTCTGATCCCTCCGCGCAAAGTCGGACACCCCAGCAAGCCACCGTGGGGCAGCTGATGGGCATGAACCAGCCCGGTACTCCTGTACGGCACCCCTCTGCAAATCAGTGAGTTTTGGGAGAAAAAACCCAGCTAAGGCTTTACAATCCCAAACAGACCCCAGATTCGACAGGAGCGATGATGGCCCAGGGATACCGGCCCGGCCCGGGATACGCTACTAGCTCTACCATTCTTCCTCCGCTGCAGCAGCAAACCCGCACCTATCCCCAGGGGACCAACGGCAGTTCCTCGCGAGGGTACTATGATCCGCCCTCCCAAGCAGCCACGCCGATTCTTCCCTCTCAGCCCATGACCCACGAAGGTGCCCCAGAACCCTTTGACCACCCGGGGTCTGGGAATGGGACTCCCCAATAAGATGACAGAGGATGTTTTTATATGCCATCGCTCGTTTGCGGAGGCCAACCTCGACGGTCCTGGCCATTTTTCTTTCTTTCTTATAGAGGTTTATTTTTGTTATTGGGTTTTTTTTCCTTCTCTTTTCGTGTTTAATCGGGTTCTCGGAGGTTTATTGTTACAGGCGCTGGACACAGGAACAGGACATAAAAAGAGGGCGGCGGCATTATTCTTTCTGGGTTTGGTACTGGAGAAAAGTGTGAGAGATGTCTCTCTTCTTATTCCTTTTTTTCGTTTCTTCTTGTACATAGTGGCTGGGTTTTCCCCCTGCTAGCAGCAGTTCACTTCTCTTTGCTCGGAGTGCTGTCTCTTTTTAATATCTGGTTATGTTATGGGAAGCAGGCCTCAGGGCTAAAAGAAAAGAAGAACGGTGCCTTCCTTTTTGGGGATTGCTCTTCACTTCTATGCTTCGTTCTCTCCCTTTCTCTCTTCTCCTCTCTTCCACCCTTTCCTTTTCTTTTTCTTCCCACCCTCTTCTCCTGTCAGATCCAAATCCTTTCCTGTCATTATCTACCAACTGCCTTGTTCCTGCCTCACAATGTCCTACACTCAAACCCCACTAACCAACCTCGACCTCTGGTGCGAGTGGACCGGCGACCCTAACGATGCCGTGGAAGTGGGATTTGCCGTCGACGTAAGTGTACGCATGACAATTTATCCTCCAATCTACTCTACTGGATATGTGTATCCTCTGACTGACTTCATTATCTCTTGTGTCTTGTTGGACCAGATCTGGTGCACACCCGACATGACCGCTCTCCTCCCCATATTGAACACGCGGGCTTACGATCGTGTCACGTATTCGGTCATCGTTCTCAAGGGTGAGGGTGGGATTGATGATGAGGATGGGAAACTGGGCGAGCATGAATCGAATGCCAATGCCTACTACAACAACAATCAAGAGCAAAACAGCGAAATACCATTCGAGACGCCAGGCGTGCAGACGCGGGAGAATAAGAATAAGAGAAACGGTCTGGGTCAGAGTCCGAGGTCCTCATACGCCTTCCCCCGGCCATGGCCTGTGCTTGCTACACCTCCTTCTCCTCATCTGTCTTCTACACCAACTACACCCGCCGCGCCGACGCCTACGCCTGCTAGTACGAATGTGAGTCTCAGTGGGGTGCGTTTTATGTCGGCCGCCGACGAGGTTCTGGATCAGGTGAGTGAGGGTTTGGAGCAAATGGAGGACGAGGAGGGTAGGTCGAGGGAGGGGAGTGTTGTTGTTCATGGGATGAATGAGGCGGAGGGAGAATGTGGTGGTTTGGACTGTGAACAGGTTCGGGAGCAGGGTTTTGAGGTGGATGACCACGAACTGCAGCCAAGCTCTCAGGATGAGGGACATGACGAAAACCATGACAATGACAATGACAGAGGCCAGGACCAGAGCGAAGTTGACGGCCAGGACCTGGACGAGAACCCTCGTCACGATCTTCTTGAGCCCATCTACACTGGAGGAATCTGGATCACTGCTGAAGACGATGCTAAATCTCAAGCTACTGCCATGATTCCAGGTAGCCCCTACAACCCACGCAAACGCAGTGCGACAGTGGCTTCCTTACCTGATTCAATTTCTGACTCGGAAAGGGAGCCTGAAGGATATAAGCACAAGCTCGTGGCGGATGAGTCTATCGTATTCCCCAGCAAATATGCGAACTGGCACAGCCGGCTTCCACGCCCAATCAGTCTGAAATCGCCCGTTGAGGTGAAGCCCGAGAATGTCCCGCTGTCTCGAGATTCTGTACCTGTGCTTGAAGTTGATTTTCGACACTTCGGGCAAATTGACTCCCTCGCAAAAGAATGCGATGTTCCTCTTGTCAAAAAGAATTTGGATCAACTGCCGTCCACCGCTAAGAAGGAAACTTTCAGGCCTGAGATCGAGAGGCTTTCAACGGTTGTGAACACCGACACCCCATCCCTGAAGCAGAGCAGCTCGCTTCCTGACTATGAGTCTGACAGAGGATCATCTAGGAATGAAGGTATTCCTCTGGTGGGACACTCTCTTTCCGAACTTGATGTCCCTCCAGATACTCACGGATCTAACGACCAACCACGACTTGTACTCATTGACGGTACATTCTACGTGCAAAGCTCACCGAAAGTCAACCCCGCAATCTATGAAGTGCACATCAAGGTCTTGATACATGTCCAAAAGACAAGGCCGAAGGGTTGGAATGCGCTGATGATCTCGGGGTTGCCAAGGCTGCGAGCCGGCGACTATGGTTACATTGTCCTTTGCACGCCGCTTGACCGGGGAATCGAGTTTCGCACTACGCCATTCAAACGTGCTCAATTTGTTGAGGGTTGTTTGATGGCTCAGTTTGCCACATCCTTGAATCTTGTTGTGTCCCTGCGGATCTTCGACAAGGACTACTATGGCTATGTGAAGGACTTCAAGGTGAAGCAGATGATTCGAGCCGATATTATTGACAAAAACAAAGAAAATTTTCTGGTCAAATACAATGCAGTCTGCTCGGTCGAGCCGGTGCAGCGCATTTTCCGCGCCGATCAGTGCAGCTTCGTTATCTATGTGCACGGAGGTCCTCTTGGCGAGTATGCTTGCGACTTGACCTCGTCTGACAGCGAACTCCAGACCATCGACCTGAGCGCCGAACCAAGCTTTCGTCAACATGGTCTCGCCGCGATTGAGGTCCGTTGTCGGTCTTCCGACTTGGAGAAGTTTTTAGTGACATGGTCAGTCGAACTGTCACGGACAGCCCTGTCGACCTGGCTACCTCGCATCAAGGCCACTGCAAGCACTGATGACAACAAATCCGAGATGGGCCTTATCGCGCACTTAGGGCTGGTGGACCAGCCTGCCCTTCAACCAACAGAGAAGGAGAGGGAAGAAAAGGAGACAACGAATGGCGAGGACCGTGATTGCCCAATTTGCAAACCGCCACACATTGATGGCATGACCGAACCGGGGCCGTCTTGCATCTGGAAATCTACAAAGCGGTGGTTGTTGTTCTTGACCTTGGTCTGTTGGGTGCTCACCATTGGCTTCTACATGTTGGAATGTGAACCCAACAACTCATCTCCCGTAGAGAGCGTACTGGCAGATAAAGTGCCACTGGCTGATACGAACGTGGTTACCGGAATGGAGATTCCAAAAATGGTGTGGGAGCAAAATGAGCAACCGGAGGAGTTTAACCGTGCTGGTCTGAACGAGGAAGATGAGCAGGAGGCGGTGGTTCCCACGGAGTCGTTTACTCTTCGAGATCGATTCGACCGTTTCTTCGGCTGGAGTGAACCTGCTATTGTGCAACATGCGTGAGTTTCTGAGTTTGCTAGGTGGTTATTCGTATCGCGGGCAGTGGAGGTGATTGTCTCAACTGGTCCTTATGCAAGTGAAGTCGAATCCTCTTTCAACCACTCCTCTTTCTATTCTTCTACTGGTATCTCCAACCTTCTTTCTGTATGCCTTGCAATGCATCACATTCCAATCAAATCAAGCCCCGTAATACGCCAACACCTTATCCACAGCCCATCTCACAACCTCAGACATAGGCAATGTCCCCAACCCGGGGGCAACCTCAACCCCAACATCCGTCCTAACAGCAGACCCATCCCCGACACGTGCAATCAACTCCGCCGTCGTCATTTTCTCAGTCTCAAGAGATTGAGATTGAGATCTATAAGACTTATACTGCTCCTCCGGAAGAAGTAACCACGCGTGATCCTCTACATACCGTGGCCAGACTACATCATCTACGTAGCCCGGCGGATCAGTCCAGAAGTTCTGTGGCGGGCGGTCGTCTGGGCCGTTGAGATCAATTTCTGGCTTTTCCGTTTCCTTTTCGTTGTCGCTATTGGGGACTGCGGCATTCGCATTCGCATTCGCATTCCCGTCGGCGCTTTGCGCTCCTCCCACGTCCTGGAGGGGCTTGTGCGATCGTGTCGCAATCTCCTGGTGCATCTTGTCTGTCTCGGCGTCTTCGGTAGAATCTGTGCCTGTATTTGCACCGGTGCTCGGAAGCGTTGGGTCCCCGGTCACGGGAGGCTCCAGCCCTGGTCCGATCGTCACGTATCCCGTTCTTCCCTCGCGTCTTGACTTGACGACGTCGTAGGAACAAGGCAGGAAGAGGGATAGATGGATGTTGGAGTGGACTGGGTGGAGAGGGTGCGCTTTGTCAGTGCCCTTTTGCTGGGATGAAGGTGGTGGTGATGGATGCGGGGGACTGAAGAGGAGGAATCCCTCGAGAAAGGCAATTGTCGTTTTTGCTTCTTGTCCCTGGTCATACTTTTCCGTGCTTGCAGTTGTCAATTTTAGTTTGGTTGATAACCTCCTCTCCACTTCATCTCTCAGTTGCGCAATGACCGCATCATCCACCCCGGAATCCATGACAGCGTTCTGGTCCTCTTTGCTTTGGAGTCGCGGAGGAAGGTGTCCGTTGGAACGCACGTATGCGAGCGCCTGCGCTAGGAAGTCGATGTCGATTGCGTCGGCGGTGTCCCAGTCTTGGACTTTTGTGCCAGACGGTGTGGTTGTCCACGGGATTCTATTTGAATTGGTTTTAGTTTTTGGACCAAATCAGAACTGGGGGAGATAAAGATAGGCAATCTCTTTGATAGTGGTAGCCTGGATTGGGGGAAGTGTGGGAGAAGCGGGGGAGAGGTAGACGTACTGATCATCCGGGTAGTAGAAGTCATCCTCGTGAATGATAAACGTATTCAGGCACTTCCCAGTCCCATCCTTGTTATTTGTAGCAACGTCTGTATGCCCATCCTGACTTGCATCGGATCCATTGGCCTCCAGTCTCACACCGCAAAAGATGCGCTGCAAGAGCCGCGCCAGGGTGGTCTTGCCGCTGGACGACGGGCCGGAGATGCCGATGACGACGGTGCAGTCTTGCTGCGACGCCATTGGGGCTATTTAGAGCTGCGAGGATATTCTCTTTGCGCACCTCTGGGATGCACAAAGAGTGGTAGTGTGGTGGGGATGGGAAAACGGAGAAGAAAGAGGGGGCGGAGCGGAGAAAATAAAGCTCGACTTATCGCTAGTTATCGATTGAGTTATCGCGATCGAGATGAAGTAATTAGGCCCTGGCTCCGCGACACTCGGCTGTTTATTAGCCACCCCTGTTAACAGCGAGTAAACAACATCGGAAAATCATCACCTCCCATCCAAAGAAAATTTCCATAGACAACTGGTATAGGTCTCGGACGACAGATGGCCACCTGGAGGCGCTCATGTGCCTCCACCGACTCCATTTTGACGAACAACCCGCAAAACTAGTTGCAGATCTATATTTGTGCCGATCTCTACCTTAATATGACGTGTAGTCTCTGATCTCAGAGAAGGTGATTGGTTCATTGCTACGGAAAAGAGAGAGAGGGTTGTCTACCTAAAACGGAAGGGTAGCTAGGCGACTACACTCGACATATCTTCAACTTCGAGTACACGAGCTGCTGCTTTGCTTTGGTCATACTCCTGGGGAGCATCATTGGCTTCCAAACCGCGGTATTCAAAGTATTGGCACCACTCCGGATCCTCAATCAGCTCCTGCGACAGTTCCTTCTCATACACGAGACTGAACTCCGGGCCCTCATCGGATTCAGGAGACGGGTTGCGAGACGGGTAGATAATGAGCACACCGTTCGTCGACCGGTCGATCAGATGGCGGTAAGTAGCCGGGGCGGCAAAGCCAAAGTTGGCGCTGGTGATATTCGCGTCGCGATGGTCCGTCTGGAGGAGTGACATGGGCGGGTACGAGTCAATGCGCATATTCAGGGCTGTTTTGTCGCGCACCACGGCCACCATGTCCAGCAGCTGGTCCAGCGACTCTTGCGTCACGCTGTTAGTCATCTGGCGGACGTAAGAGGCCAGCTTGGTTAGTGGCCATTCGGAGATCACATCTGCCGCAGTGGGCTGGGCCACCGGCGCGGTGGTGGATAAGGCTCCCGTCAGAACGTTGTGCTGCATCCGCGGCGGAACCTTGGGACTATGCATCCGGCGTCGCATGTCAATGGCCTCTACCCAGAATAAAGGTTCTGAAAGGTTTGGTTTGAAGTGTGGGGCGCGCAGACGTGAAATGGTGCGCCATAGGAATGCGGAGAAGGCGTCGTACGTGGAGATCCAGGAACCATCGGTTGGCGATGCGAGCTTCTTCAGCGCTGCCGCTTTGCTCTTGGGGAGGTGGAAGAGCAGGATCTGGGACGGGAGATGGCCAGCGTGACGCAAGGGCGCTGGTGGACCGTCAACTTTCGATTCATCGGGCACTTCAGCCTTGGTGACGCGGGACACGTCGAGGCAGCCGGTGTCCCAGGAGGGGAAGGGCGTCTGGTTGACAATTGCGGCGCAGTTCTCGGCCAACTGGTGAACGAGGCCCGCCCATCCCATCACATCATTGGCGTAGTGGTGATGGTGCATGATGAAGACCAGTCCACCGCGGATAAAGTTGGCCTTATAGCACGCCGTCACGGGGCTGTTGTCCGGGTGAGCTTCGGGCTTCTCTCCGTATGTCATCGGGGGCACACTCCATTTCTTGAGATCGCCTAGCAAAGAAGTGCGGAAATGGCCCTTCTCCAGCTCGTCGAAGGACGGATAGTCCTTGCTGTCTTCTTCGGAGTCCAGCCATTGGACAATGAAGCGGACGGTGCCGTCCTTCTTCTTGACAAAGGAATGGCCTCCCTCAGCGTCCTTCTCGATCGTGCCGCAGAGATGTCGCGCTTGGCTTAGAGTCCGCTCAAGACCGGCCTTTAAGGTCTCGGCGGCACGGGGCTTGTCTGCATCGTCCAGACGGAAATACAGGCCATAGTTGTTGTAGGTAATCACTGACAAGTAGTCGAGGGTTGAGACTTTGAACCGCTCCTCCTCGGGATCATTCTCCCATCCGGAGGGGTGAAGGTGGTAGACCTCTTGTTTAGGCATGACTGCAATGAGATGTGGACGAGAGGTACAGTGGGGTATGTCAGGGGATGATGGTAAGGCGAACTACTCGCATGCACGACGTGCAGCTCAGGGCTTTATGGAAATATGTTGCGGGGTACCACTGCCTTCCATCAACGGCAATAGTTTAGCCCCGTCTTTTGCAATTGAGATTTGGGCTTGGTGACTAAACAGCTGGACCAAATTTGGCCGTCAGTTCATGCCCCCTTTGGGAAGAGACCGATCCTTTCGGAAGGAGGCGCATCCGAGCTGGGGTCCAAAATGGCATGGTCCAAGGCTCCGCGGACGTTTAGCGAAATAAGTCGGGCAACTGCTGGGCAGGGGTCTGGAACAGTCTCAAGAATTGGCTCAAAGCAGGTTCCAGGGGAAGCTAACAAGGTACCTGATCCTACCACGGGCCAACGGTCGAAGGATTGTGAAGAGTACCCGCTTCCACCGAGGTATAGTCCAATGGTCTTGTGAACTCTCCCTTCTTGTAAATGCTAAAAGACGCTAACGGCGTTAGCAGACTTATCATCAGGATTCGTAAGCTGGCTGCTAGTTTAACGGCTGTTAGCACTAAGACTATTCAGTTAGGCGAATATGCGGGATGACCCACCTATCCACAGTACATCCCGCGGTGTCAAGGGGAGTGGACCGCGGGACGTGCCGTCATCCGGACATTTTTTTGTATGGCAGTGCAAAAATACAATCATGTGCTGCCGATCAACGGTTGGCCTCGACCTACATTTTGGCAGAACAATGGCTCTGTTTCACATCCGCAGCCTCGGGTTTGGCTCCACCATCTTATAGATTCCAACTCGCCCGGCAAGTAAGCCAAACTTATCGTTCCGGATGGAATGGAATCCCGGTCTGCACACGCCACCTCCTTAACTCTCCATGGCTCATACCAAAAGAATCACCCCCGACAATCTGTTATGCCTAGACCTAGGAGCGCAATCCTCCTGAAGATCGCAATTGGGAGCCCTGGCTAGCAAAATGCCTGGCCCATGGTTCGAACGGTACAACTCTGTTATAAAATCGGACCGGCCCTAAAGTACGACTTCCAGATTGATTGCATTAATTGATCTGTCACACAGTTTGCAATGGATCTCAACGGACCTGCACTTGCGCCGCCACCGGGTGTCGTTCCGAACCTGACGAACCCACCTAATAACAATCCCCTCGCTATTGGCGTGTTGACAGCCTGCGCCGCTGTTGCTACATTATGTCTTCTCTTACGAGCCTACGCCCGCGTTTGGTTGGCAAGGAAGCTACAAGTGGAAGAGAGTATGTACTTTTCTCTCCCAGCCAATGTGGTAGATACAGACTTTGTTTCAAAGCATGACTGACTATTGATCCTTTTTACAGTCATGACCATTTGCGCCTATGTATGTTCCAATTGGTAGGGATATGTCGCTGTACGAAGCTGATAAACTCTAGGGATGCTTTTGGGGTGCCATTTACGCCGAGATCAAGTTTGTCGAATCACCTGGTTTTTTCGTCCATCAGTGGAATGTTAAATTGGCAGATATGATCCCAACCGAATATGTAAGTCTGCATTAGTACAAGCCTTTGAAAGTTCCAGGACTCACAGTCTACTGTCTAGTGGGTCCTCATCTTCGGCATCTTCTACTCGATCACCCTGCCGATGTTGAAGGCAGCCATCCTGATCGAATGGTGCCGCATGTTCGCTCCACGAGGCCACCGATCCGAAGGTTACTTCTGGTGGGGTTGCGTGGTGGTCATTGCCATCCAGATTATGTCGGGTATCGGCGTCGTGGTTGCCTTGAATCTGCAGTGTATTCCTCACCGGGCTATTTGGGACATTACCATCCAGGCGACGAGCAAGTGCTTTGATCTCTACAAACTGCAAGTGGGGTCCGCGAGTATCCAGCTCATCTCGGATGTTGCCATTCTGTTGTTACCGCAGCAGGTGATCTGGTCCCTCAAGATGACCTTGCAGAAGCGGATGGGTGTGTCGATTATCTTTGGACTGGGTCTGCTGTAAGTCTTGAGCCCAGCACCAAGGGGTTGTATCCCGATACTCACATTGAATAACCCCTAGTGCCTGCATTTCGGCCGCTTTCCGACTATCCACGACGATCACACACGGTCGAGCCGCAGACGCCGTCTGGACCCTGGGTCCATTGGCCTTCTGGGCGACCGCCGAAATGACCTGTGGTTTCTTCATCCTCTGCGTGCCCTGTGTGCCCCGGATTCTGAAGGATACCGGGGTTTTACGGAAGATCAAAAGAGTGGTAGGTATGAAGACAACGAACACTTCAAAGCGGGACGCGGGGACCGGCCCCTCGAGCAACCACAGCAGGCTGGCGGGAAGCACGATCGGCAATTCCTACTACAAGCTGGACAACCTGAAGTCGTCGTCCGAGTCTACGGAGTATCTACACGGCGGAGTACGGGATGCAGGCATCACACGTACCACTCGCATCGCTGTTATGTCAGACCCTCGAAATCCGAATGGGGAGGACAAGTACGTGTACCCGTAGATTGGAAGGGGGACATGGGTGATAAAAACTCTGGACAGCAGTGCAGTACCGAGAAACTGTACGATTTGGTTGATTTTGTATAGGTTTATGTATGTTTCTAGGGAGTTAATTCGGCATGTGCACAGGTATAGCGTGCCAAAGACAATAATCCAGGTCTGTAGGAGGGGTCCACTCGCTGGAAGAACCCCGCTCATCCTTACAGTGGCTTTCTGAGTAAACCGGTCCCGAATTGACCCCGAATTGGCCCCTCGGTACCATATAAATACTTCAGCCATGTAGTAGTAGTAGTAGTAGTATTATTATTATTATTATTATTATTATTATCCCGTTTCAAAGAGCATATAGAAAATCGTGCACACCAAGATGAGATTTCTTTGCCTTCACGGCAGGGGCACGTGCTCCAAGGTCCGTCATTTGCCACTTTACTATCCCATCATTAATTATGAGCTAATCTTGACAGATTTTTGAGATGCAAACTGGTAGGTCTTACGGCCAGATCACCGTTGGAGTCCCCATCTTCTGAGACCCCCGCTAGCGAGGATTCGAGAGGAGTTGGACGATCACGAGTTTGTATTCATCGATGGCGCGGTTCCCACGACACCAAGTGAAGGTATGTCCTGCAGTGATGGCGGTGACACACCGACGTTCCAGCCAGCTGGTACACAACTGAAGGACTGCAGGCGCTGCAGCGGTAACGAACGAGTTCTTTGGGTATATCCCGAACACCACGAACGACGTGGGTCAGTACGATGACCTGGTGGTGGGACTAGTGGAGTACGTCCGCAGCCACGGGCCGTTCGACGGAGTGATGGGATTTTCGGAGGGCGGGACCATGGCAGCTCTGCTACTGATTGAAGACGCCAGGAATTCCTTTGCGGGATTTAAATGTGGTATCTTCTTTAGTGCTGCCGTTCCTTTCGACCCGGATGTCGTCCGTACCAGGCACCTGCGTTGTATTGACCCAACCATTGATGGGGTGGTGATCCATGTGCCTACGGCGGTTATAGTTGAGAAAAATTTTGGTCGTCTACGGCATCTTTCGCCTCTGGACAAGTTGTGGCCCGATGATGAGGAGGCCTTGGTCTCAATTTGCGCGGAGTCCTCGCGCGAAGTGGTTCGGCATGATCTGGGGCACCACGTTCCCGGATCCGCGTCGACGACGGAGGGGTTGACAGTAACCTTACAAGCCATTGAAAGGACAATTGAGCGAGCTAGTGAGCTGTACAGCTAGTGCGAACTTTCTAAATCTTTTAGTGTCATCCTGTATCAATTGTGGATATCATCGTTATTATTAGAGTTCCCGTATTATTGTTGCCCCTCATAAGATGTCATGATCGTTGAGTAGTTTGCCGTCCTTATCCGCGGTTGAATCACATGTTACAGTTAGGGAACACCGAACCCGAAGCAACACTAGCAATCAGACAAACTCATCCTTCGGCGTAGGTCATGCCAATCAACCTGAAACATTGCGTTAATCCTTATTGCCCCACTCCGTGAGTGGTTGCGGAAGAAAACGAACGGCTGTCAGAGTCAGATAATGGATAGCCTAAAGGGCCCAAGTTATTATTTAGTCCTTTCCGAGTGGTCAATGCAACCCGCTAAGACAAGAACAAATCATCAGACACCGGAAGACAAAAGGACGAGTCAGCTAGTGCTCCAAGATATGCGACTGTCAATCAATTCCCGCCCCCGACGCCAATCAAATTCTTCCAGAGGATTTCCTCTTAGCGACTTCAACGTCAATCCACCCAAAGTGCTGTCACGGTGGCCACTGATTCCAGCAATGGGATGGCCTAGTGGAGCGCATCATTCCCCATAGTGGGGACAGACAGACGACCCACGGTATCGGGAGCATGACTCCTGCGGAGGCCATTCCTCGGGTATGATAACTGTATTGGCGAGGAAACGACGCCGGAGCTTGGACTCTAGCGGTATAGCATTTTCAGCACACATCAAGCCACACAAAAGCTGGCAATCTGGCGGGGAACCCATTCGAAATTATCTGCTGCTTAATAGTTAATTGTTCAGATTGATGAATTTAAAATATTAACGATTCACGATTGCTGACGACTGGAACGATGAGCCCATCAATTTCCCACCCTAACGGAATGTGGACGCCAGACGACATTGCCATTATCGGATTTTCATTCAAGCTTCCACAAGATGTTAAAGATGATACATCTTTTTGGACGGTTCTCGAGGAGCAACGAAATCTTAGAACGGGCTGGCCGGAGTCTCGTGTTAATCCAGACTCCTTTGTGAATCACAAACTCATTAAAGTATGGTTGCAATTCATTCCCTGCATGCCAGCTATGGTCGCTCATCCTCCAGGCAGTTCCCTACTCGGGGTGCACATTTTCTCAACGAGGATATTGGAGCTTTCGATGCCCCATTCTTCTCGGTCACGGCGCAGGAGGTAAGCACAGCTGAAGTAGCCAACGAAGCAAGAGCCAAACTAAACATTTGACAAGGCGGCATCAATGGATCCGTTGCAACGATGGACACTGGAGGAATCATACCGGGCATTCGAGAACTGTGAGCAAGAAACCCACGAAACCATTCAAAAAAAGGCTAAAAGGTCATCACAGCCGGGATACCGGTTGAAACTCTAAAGGGCTCGCGCACCGCCGTCTTCTCAGCTTCAATGATAGAAGACTACGCGCGCATGAGTGCCATGGATCCTGAGAATGTCGAGCGCACAGCAGCCACTGGTAGCTCTGTCGCATGCGTCATTCCTAATCGGGTGAGCTGGTATTTTGATCTACGTGGACCCAGCATCCATGTCAATACAGCCTGTTCGGGGAGTATGTCCGCTATTGATATGGCTTGCAAATCCATTCAGAGCGGAGATGCCACAGCTGTGAGTCTTGCCTGAGTGGTTAACGAACAATACCGTTTACGCATTGCTAACCACACAAAGGCCCTCGTTACCGGAGCCAATATGCTCCTTGATCCGTCCGATTTTCAGATCCTGTCGAGCCAGAACTTTCTCTCGTCCGACAGCCTCTCTTATAGCTTTGACCACCGCGCAAACGGATACGCTAGAGGCGAAGGGACTCTCGCTCTAGTCCTTAAGCCCGTATCTGCTGCGATAGAGAACGGTGACATGATTCGCGCCGTCATTCGCTCGACGGGGTCGAACCAGGATGGCCATACTCCAGTACTCACGCAGCCGAGCCCTCAATCGCAGGAGGAATTGATTCGTCATGTTTACAAACGGGCTAATCTTCCTCTCCATGAGACGCGTTATGTTGAGGCACACGGTAAGTTGAAAGAAGCCCTCATTTGCCTATCACGCTTTTAACAAGGTGGAATGTAGGAACTGGAACTCCCGTGGGAGATCCGATCGAGATGAGGGCTATTGGACGGGTTTTCCGAAAATGTCGATCAGCCGAAGAGCCTCTTTACGTGTGCGTATCACACTAATATCTTGAGACTGGAAATTAACCTCCTTATCAATCATCAGTGGCTCCGTGAAAGCAAATATTGGTCATCTGGAAGGGGCGAGTGGTCTCGCAAGCCTAATCAAATCGATTTGTATGTCCTTGTCTATCTTCCTACAATTCTGAGCATTGGAGTACTCATTCTCGCACCAGTAACTCTGGAAAAAGGAATCATCCCGCCCAATGCTCTCTTGGAAAAAGTGAACCCCGCAATTGATGTAGATTTCTATCATACCGAGGTAGGTATCTGCTACTGTTAGTAGTCGTATCATTATTACTGACATGACTATCGTTCAGGTCCCGTCGCGAAGTATACCTTGGCCAACAGCGGGCCTGCGTCGGGTATCTGTGAATTCTTTTGGATTCGGAGGCTCCAACACGCACGTAATTCTCGACGATGCCCTTCATTACATGCAAGAGCGTGGTCTATCTGGGAATCACTGTACAGCCTCTGTCAAGGGTGCTACGACAGATGCCATGGTCACCTTGAGCAACGGGTATGTTCATGTAAATGGAAACGGCCATGTTGATGAAACCGCACACACCGATGGGTCAGCTCATGCGAATGGGGACGTCTCAGCCAACGACACCGTCCATGTAAATGGCAACGGCTTTGTCAACGGGAACAGCAAAGCTACGGAAGCTGCGTCAACTCTGCCCTGCTTGCTTGTATGGACCGCCGCCGATGAGAACGCAGTGAAACGTACGATTGAAGGCTACAAGACCTTCTACACTGAAAGCGTAGCTAGTGACCCAACAAAGCTCGATCGTCTAGCCTTCACGCTAGCCGCGCGGCGAAGTAAAATGCTGTGGCGGGCCTTCGCAGTTGTCGCGAAAGAAGAAGAGGAAAAAGCCCTATCTCCAGCCAAGCCAATTCGAAGCTCGACTGAGACCGGCCTTGCTTTTGTGTTCACGGGCCAGGGTGCCCAGTACGTCAATATGGGCTGGGATTTGGTCCAGTACCCTGTGTTTGCCGAGACCCTGAGACAGATCAATGACATCTACGCCAGCCTGGGATGCAAGTGGTCAATATTCGGTAAGCGAAACGGTGTTCAAATCAACATCCATTGCAGAAAGTTTGACTAACCAGTCCGCTTAGATGAGCTCCGTTGTAAAGAGAACATTGACCAACCCGAATACAGTCAGCCCCTATCTACGGCTATACAAATAGCTTTGGTGAATTTATTAGAGAGCTTTGGTATCACCCCGAAAGCTGTTGTTGGACACTCATCCGGCGAGATTGCTGCTGCGTAAGTGACCGCCTCCAAGCCGTTCAAGAATAGTGTCCCAGAATAGAGAACTGAAATACTGACCATTTTTCAAAACACCAGCTATACTATCGGTGCTTTATCTTTACCTTCAGCGTGCAAAGTTGCATATTTCCGGGGCCAACTGACCGGAAAGCTGAGAGCCTCCAGCAGCACTTCTCCGGGGGCTATGCTATCGATAAACGTGGCCGAGGGTAAGGTACCAGAATACCTAAGCAGCGTTCAAAATGCAGTTGCCGGTGATGTCACTGTAGCCTGCATAAATAGTCCCCTCAACTGCACACTGTCCGGTCCTGAGCAGGCAATCAATGCAATCAAAGCGCAAGCAGACCAGGACGGCATTTTCGCTGCGAAGCTCAAGACTGGAGTTGCATACCACTCACCATCAATGCGTGCCATAGCTGATGAGTATCTGTCGCTGGTTGGTAGCCTCGAGGGCGTTGACCGTCAAAACCGTAAAGTGGCGGTCCTCATTCCTATGGTTTCCTCGGTGTCTGGTAAGAGTATTCGCCCGGAAACTTTGGCCACAGCGCAGTACTGGGTCGACAATCTTGTTTCTCCCGTTCGGTTTGCCGACGCCGTTCAGTTGCTCACGCAGGAGTCATCAACACTGAAGGTTGGGCTAGGAAGTATCACTGACCTGGTCGAGATTGGTCCCCACCCGGCGCTCAAACGGCCAGTGAACGACACAATTCAACAGGAAGATAACCGAAAGAAGCACATCAGATATGAAAGTGTGCTCCACCGGTCCCATTCAGCATTTCAAACTACTCTCGAGCTTGCTGGCCGGCTATTCTGCCTCGGTCACCCGGTGTCTGTCCCGGAAATTAACCAACAATCAACCAAGACACGGCCTTCGTTTCTTGTTGATTGCCCCAAATATCCTTTTGATCGGACAAATCGCTATTGGTCTGAGTCGCGTATTGTTCGGGACTTTCGACTGCGAGGGACAGTCCAGGGGGAGACTCTTGGAGTCCGAACGTCTGATTGGAATCCCTTGGAACCTCGGTGGAGGAATTTCCTAAGCATCGAATCCACTCCGTGGACAGAAGACCACAAGGTAGGCGTCTCCGTGAACCTCAGTAAGCAAAGTCGGCCTAAGTGCTAACTATTAGGTCAGATCAGCGACACGGTCCTCTACCCGGCAGCGGGAATGTTGATCATGGCCCTTGAGGCAGCCCAGCAGATGGTTCCTACCGATCGCAAGGTCCGAGGCTACCTCGTGAAGCAGATAGATTTTATGAACCCCATTATAGTGCCGAAAGCTTGGGAGGAGCGGACGGAAACCCAAGTTCGTCTGAGGCCGGTAAAAGGATCAGATAATGACAAGGCGCCCCAGTTCGACATCGCCATCTTTTCATATTCACGGGGCAAGTGGACGGAATGTTGCGATGCTAGCATCCAAGTTGAATATCAAGACTCGGTGCTGCTCCACAGCGGACTGACCGACGAGGTCATACAAAGCCGATTCAAGCAAGCGAGCGAATCTTGCGGCCGGCCACTCGACTCACGGGGCTTGTACCGCGACTCAGCTGATATTGGCCTCCAATACGGACCGACATTCAAGCGGTTGGAAGACGTCTGCTGGGATGGCGAAAAGAATGCCCTAGGACGCGTCGATGTCAACAAGACGATATTTGAGACCAGCAGTGTGGTGCACCCAGCGGTGTTGGATCAGGCCTTCATGGTACTGCGGGCCAGCGCAGGCCAGCAGCCGGCAGCCAACATTCCTGTCCGCCTAGAAGACGCATGGCTTGCGGCTTCCGGCTGGCAGTATCCGCAGAATAGCTCCATTCAATGGCTTGCGACTTCGAATGTGGCTGCACGCCGCGATCGTGGAGTAGGAGAGCAGGGCAGCCTGTATGCTCTTGCCGAGGATGGGACCGTTCTGTGCCATGTTCAGCAGGCTGTGATGGCGACTGTGTCAAAGAAGGATGCGGAAGAAAAAGAGAAAAAGTTGATATACAGCATCGAGTGGAAGCCGCAGCTGAGCCTGCTCGACCCCGACAACTTATCGCGCTTGTTTCCAGTCGACACCAACGTGGATGAGGCTGCAATGGTGACCAATTACACCAAACTCTGCTCAGCGCTGGATTTCGTCGCCTTGCGCACCCTGAGAGACCTGGATCGCGCCAAGATTCCCGCGAGCCTAAGCCAGCACGTTGAGTGGCTTGACTTCCACGTCCGTAAACTGCCGCTATCCAAGCAGTCGGAAGCAGACACCATTAGTGATTTGCAGATTGAGGCTCAGCTGTCTGAATTTGAAAATGCCCTGCCGACCTGGAAGCTGTTCACTGAATGTGCACGACGCCTACCGGAGATCCTGGCGGGAGAAATCGATCCTCTTGAAGTGGTCTTCAATTCCAAATTGGCAGATAACTTTTATGGCTCTCTCTTTGAAGACATGTGTGCCGATGGCCGGCTTGCTGGTATTCTGGACCTGGCCGCTCACGAGAACCCAGCGATGCAAATCCTCGAGGTCGGCGCTGGCACCGGAGGTATGACGGCGCAGGTCTTGGCCGCATTGGAACAGCGTGAGAGACGAACTGGGGCGCCCAGTTTTGCCGAATACTGCTACACCGATATCTCTCCCGTGTTTCTAGATCGAGCAAGAACCCGCTGGCCACAGTTGCACACTGAGGGCCGCTTGACCTTCCACACGCTGGACATGGATCGAGCGATTGAGACCCAGGGCTTCAAACCAGCTTCCTATGACTTGGTAATTGCGGCTAGTGTGCTGCACGCGACAACGGACCTCGAGGCTGCGATTCGAAATGTTCGTCAGGCTGTGAAGCCGGGTGGTCGGCTCGTGCTGCTTGAGGCCATCAATCCGGATGATGTCGCCGTCAACTTTATGACTGGTCTGGTCCCTGGGTGGTGGAATGCTCGTGAGGACTGGCGGCCCCATTCCCCAGCTGTACCCGAGTCCCTGTGGGATATATGCCTTCGCAACAATGGCTTCTCCGGCAATGATCTGGTCATCAGAGACTACCAAAGTAAAGAGTGTCACGCAATGAGCATTATCGTGACTACCGCCGTGAACGAGGCGCCGAAGACACCGGAGACAAGGCTGAGCTCGGGTAAACTTGTCCTGGTGGTCGACCAGGACCAGTCCGATCAGCAACTACAACTGGCAAATTTGGTACGCAGCCATCTGGACCCCCAGCGCGTCTTGCCAACAAGTGTCTGTCCGTTTTCTGCAGTGCAGCTCCAGCAGACGCTCGCAGATCCGGCCAAGAATGACATAGTCATTTGTCTGGCGGAGATTCACAAGCCCCTGCTGGCCACACTTTCCGAAGAAGACTTTGCAACTCAGCAATATTTAACCAAGCAGGCAAGCAAGCTACTGTGGGTAACAGCTTGGGGCCCAGATGATGCGCAAACCCCTCAATACAACGCCATTCAAGGGTTCCTGCGCTCAATCCGCGCCGAACAATCAGACAGCCAGATCGTGAGTCTAGCCATCGAGGGCGAGACTGATGCAGCGGCACATGCGCATTATATTGCCAAAATTGTCGAGACCAGCTTTGTATCGTCGTCTTCCGAGGAACTGGAGTACATCGTGCGAAACGGTGTTCTCATGACAGGCAGGGCGGTCGAAAATGTGACCGGTAACAAGACCATTCAACAGCTTCTCTCGCCACAGCTGGAGCACAAGCCCTGGGCCAAAACAGGGGCCCTGCAGGTTTCAGTGGGTGCTCAGGGGTCTCTCGACTCGTTAAAATTCGTGCACGATACCGATCACGAGACCCCCATTGGCCTTCACGAGGTTGAGATTGAAGCACAAGCGTGGGGTTTGAGCGAACGGGACATCCAGATTGCTCTTGATCGAACTGGAGTGCAAGATGAACAGCTAGGAGGGGATTGTGCGGGTGTGGTGACACGTGTAGGCCGTGATTGCGATCCATCGATTCAGCCTGGTGACCGTGTTTGCATGTCATCTGTTGGATGTATGCGCAAATACCCTCGTGCGCATGAGACCGGCGTCGTTAGAATTCCTCACAACCTGTCGGTCGAGGCTGCCACATCGATTCTCCATCCGGCGCTGACGGCCTACCATGCTCTCGTTGACATTTCCCAGCTCGAGGAAGGGGACAATGTCCTCGTCCATCTAGCTGCCAGCGCTGTGGGACAAGTTGCAATCCGCATAGCTCAGATGCGAGGCGCCCATGTCTATGCCACTAGTGCATCAGCCGAAGAAAAAGAGTTCCTCCTTACTATCCTCGGCGTACCCGCAGACAACATTTTCTCCAGCAAAAGTCCTTTGTTTGCAACAGATGTGGTACGTGCAACACATGGAGATGGCGTTGATGTCGTCTTGAATTCCCTGGTGGGAGAGGACATGCTGCGGGCGTCTTGCGAGTGTCTGGCACGCGGTGGTCGCTTCATCCAGGTCAGCCGCGCCGATACGGCGGCCAATTTGGCTCTTCCATTGAGGTTGCTTGCCAGAAATATCACATTCTCAGTCGTTGATCCGGCACAGCTCCGTCCTAAAGTTTTGGCCAAGCTGCTCAAGAGCGTGATTCAGCTCCTAGGGAAAGACGAAATCCAACATCCGCAGCCGCTGCAAATTTACAACGTCTCACACATCGGCCAAGCCTTCAAACAACTTCAAGACAAGGAGATTGTTGGTCGTATAGTGATCACCGCGGGGCCCGAAGACGTTGTCCCGGTAAGTTGGTCCTTCTAGCAACGCCTAGTGATTCACACCCATGAACTGACATATCTGTTTCTTTGTACAGCAATATATTCAAGAGCGGTTGTCGTGGACCTTTGATGAGAACGCAACGTATTTGATTGCCGGCGGATCTGGCGGTCTTGGCCGAGTCATCATACAATGGATGGCTGATAGAGGAGCCAGGAACTTGATCATCCCATCTCGATCAGGTCCAAAATCCAAAGCTGCTGCGGAGATTATAGCCCAGCTAAAAGAAAGCGGCGTTACTGTTAAGGCACCTCAATGCGACGTCTCAGATGAAGCGAGCCTCTCCCGGATGCTGAACGAATGCGCACAAACCATGCCACCCATCAAGGGCTGCATCAACGCGGCAATGGTCCTCCAAGATGCCATCTTCCAAAATATGCCCTTCGCGAAGTGGGAATTAACCATGCGGTCCAAAGTACAGACCTCGTTGAACCTCCATCGGCTGCTCCCGAGCGACCTGGATTTCTTCATCCTGCTCTCCTCTCTCGCGGGTGTGGTCGGTCAGATGGCCAGTTGCAACTACTCGGCAGGTTGTGCGTTTCAAGATGCACTGGCACGCTACCGCGTCACCCAGGGCCAGAAAGCGCTGTCATTCGACATCGGCTGGATGCGCGATGTTGGAATTATCGCTGAGACAGAGTCCTACCAGAACCGACGGCAGGTGGCTGGCGACCTGATGCCGGTTGATGGGACTGAGCTGCTCGCCCTGCTAGACATGTGCTGTGACCCAACTGCCCCAGCGCCGCTGCCAGCCGACAGCCAGGTGCTCTTCGGCTTACTCACGCCAGCCGATTGTCTCGCGCAGGGTCGCCCCATTGCTGCCGTTCTTGACCGGCCTCTTCTGGCCGCATTTTCATATCTCCCCAACTCACGCGCATCATCCAGCCAGGGTGGAAACGGCCAGGGCGCAAACGGAACTAGTCGCGACCAACCAGCCGCCTCACCCGCAACACTGTTCCGACAATCCGCGGACTCAGGTGAGCGTATCCAGATTGTCCTTCAGGCGCTGGCGGTCAAACTGGCGCTCGCCATGTCCATTTCGCCGGAGGACGTCGAGCCGAGCAAGCCGCTGTCCACTTATGGAGTCGACTCGCTGATGGCAGTCGATCTTCGGAACTGGATTGGTAAGGAGTTCGGAGCCACCGTGGCTGTGTTTGAGATTATGGGTGGTGTGCCACTGGCGAGTATTGCCGACTTGGTGGTTTCGAAGAGCACCGTCAACGAAGGTTGAACCCTGTCGTCCAGGCATACTGACGGAATTTTGAGGTTATTTGAGGTTGAACCCTAAAATCACGAGATACGTTAGCTTTATAATAGAATAATTGAAATGACTTGGCTCACTGCTTCTTGGATAAAGCATTTGATACGAGGGCTTCTTGGTGTCTTGTCAAGTCCTTTGATATGCGTGCTGATGGTCGAAATGCCATTTTGGCTTTGATAGGATTTAGAAACATCATGCATCAGTTGAAAATGACCTTAGGTGAGTCTGAGTGCTACCGAGCATCTCAAAGCAGTCATTTTACCCTTTCGAAGTTGTTATTAGGTGTGTTTGGGGGAATAGGGACTTTGGCCATCTCTCTGGTCAGAGAACGGAAAAGAAACGGGATGAAATTGGTCGAAGTAAATCCGAATCAGAGTCTGAATTGGCACTTTGCTGGTTCAATGGAAAATGTGGGTTGAACAAATCCTGACCACCGGGCTACAAGATGATCTAAATAAGCGCCTCTTAGAGATAGAGGAGGGGTACGTGTTTGAGAATTGGAATTGTTGACACATCATACAGACAAAGACACCAGTCCGCACATGGTAAACTGATTCTAAAACTAACTGGAAGAGGAAATCCATAGGTCCAGCATAAATCGAATTGCCTTGGCGCCATTGTTATGATTCGTCCAAGCCAGTCCGGTCCCAAAAATGATCAATCCAAAACAACAGAACAAACACTATGGCCCAAATAAGGAGACCCGTCTCTTGAGGCTGTTCACCTCTCCCACCGAAATTGGTGAAGAAGAATCCACAGATCTATCTGCATCCAAGTCAGTCACAGAGAATGAAACTACTTTCCTTGAATTGTCTGGTTCTGTCGTGGGTGGAGGAACCGGCGATGGACACGACGAAGAAACTAGGGGAGCGCTCTCGACGACCTCCACATTCTCGGCAAAGCTGATATTTGGCCGTTTTTGAGGCGCCCGGTCTGCATCAGACTCCATAGGAGCAGGATGGGGTCGCTTTAGAGTCCGTTTCACCAGATGCGCCTCGTCGTCTGGGATCGGCAGTCGGTGCCGATCAAAGAAGCCCGTCGGGTGCTTGAGGTATGCTGCTGCTGTGGAAGCCTCGTCCGACAGGGAAAGAAATGACTCCTTCTGAATGATATCGCTCATTGTATTGTCATCCAACAGATTTTTCTCTGCCTGTTGCATCTCCGCCTCAGACATTTCCTTGCGACGGCGCAGCATTCGGTCCTCTAGGGTATCCCGCAACACGAGAGTTTCTACATACACAGGACGTGTTTGTCCTATTCGATGCGCACGCTTTATTGCTTGGCTTTCAATGGTTGGCTGCCAAATTGGGTTGACAATGAAGACTCGCGATGCTTGTGCGATGTGGAGGCCGTGCGACGCTTGCCGCAGGTCCATAAGAAGAACGCGCACTTTTTCTGACTCGCGGAATAGCTTGAGGTATTCGGTGCGAAGTTCGGGCTTCAATGTGCTCGCGTAGATGCGGAACTCAACACCCAGAAGCTCCAGACCTTCAGCAATCCAATACGCCGAGTTGTGATTGTCGTAGAAAATGATGATTTTTTCTGTGTCCTGAAGTTTCACCACTTGGTCTAGCAAGTATGTCAGCTTGGCTGATGCCGTGGCAAGAAGACGTGTTTGCTTCAGCGGCGAATTTTCAGGCAGTTCTCGGAAGATGTTGTTTTCAAATGTCTTCTTTGGGGTCTTGCTATTTTGTGGTTTGGAGCTTTGAGTTAATGTTCCTTGAGTCTCTGCTGCATCCGCTGACTCAGGTTTTCCCTTGCGAGTAACATTGTCGCGCTTCTCCAGATCCCGACGAACCTTGATACCAGCGCCCGCGAGACCTTCAGCGGGGTCATTGGATCGAAGATGCTGTGCAACAAACTGTTGTGCATGACGAGCTTGGGTGATACCGATGAGCATTGGCTCTTGGTGCGCTCGATCAGAATCAAGCGCCCACAAGGCTCGAGAGTGATCTGGGAACTTCTCAACGAAGATCCCGAGTTCGTGCAATTGCTTAAAGGCATGCCAACTTCCAGAGTTCATTGCTCGACGGGCGATCTCAATCCCATGCATCAATTTTCCCACATCTTCTCGGGCTATCGGTTCTTGCTTGTCATTCTTTTTGTTCAAGTATTTCACTGCATGCTCCACCGTGTCTTGAACATTCACATCTGAGCCCGCCCACCAGAACCCAGCCTGCCGCAAGTTATTGATGGTCTGGGTGAGATGGTTCCGGTTACTTTTGCTGAACATATAGTCCGGACCCTGGCGCTCGGAGGTGATAGAATTGACCGCCAGACCGAAAAGAAACAGATTGATCGACAATTTGTCATGGAATGTCGGTTCCAGATAGACCACCCTATTGTAAAGCTTGGGCAGCGTCATTTCAGAATTGATCGTTCGAAGCCGATGTCGCACTACCAAACTCTGGAGAGTCGCGCGAAGTGACGTTGATTTGCGCCGCTTACCATCAGGCCCAATCGGTTTTATGTATCTGGTCCAGTCGGCGGGATCGTCGGCGCGGGAATTGGACCAGGGCTTCAAGTCAAGGAATTCGATGACGATGCGCCGAAGCCTATCCAAATCCTTAAGCTCGTTTTCGACTGCGTTTCCGGTCTTCTTTCGAACTTGCAGTGCAGCAACAGTAAGATCCTCGGCATCGGCAGATTCTGTATCGCTGGTGTTCACCTCCTGTGAAGCGAGACTGATTTCTACTCCGTAGAGTCCTGTGGATGGGGTGCCGGATATGATCCACCGACGCTCAATATGCAACTGGTTAAGCATATGCATCATGTTCGTTTTGGAGCCGGAACCAGCCACTCCGTGACCTTCATCCACAATGACCCGGAGCCAATGCAGTTCGGTTAGTGGTGAATTAACTTGTATGAATGTATGGCGTCGATTATTGATAACCTCGCCAGCCTCTCGCTCGAATCGCGTCTTTGAGAAGAGCACAATATCAAATTCCAACAGTTGACTTGCTGGTGGAGTTACATCAGATCCCGAACGAAGAACTAAGACCTTCAGGCCTTCCGTATGCGTGGTAATCTCTCGCTCCCAGTGATCCACTAAGTTGGGCGGAACGACCACGAGAGTTCCCGTACAGAGTCTAATTCGTTTGGCTGGCGGTCGAGGATAAGACGTGCTGTGTCGTCCCTGATATCTGGTCTGATGTGGGGGGATCTCATATGAACCACAGTGTAGCTCGCACGCCTTGACGCAGCGGTCGAAGAAAACACCCTGTTGCTTCAGGGTCTCGAAATGCCTCTTCCACGGCAAGGAAAGCCGACCCGCTGCTGCGGCTGCCATATCAACAAGAGAACCTGTCTTGTCTCTGACAGGGTGAAACCCATGGTCTTGATACTGTATTGGAACTTTGGGAAAATGTCCACGAGTAGCAAGGATGACGGCAAGACAGATCAACGTTTTCCCACAGCCCATAGTTTCCGCCAGAATACCTAACAGATAGTCAATTAACAATCATGGATTTTTAGCTATCTCAAACTCACCACCACAAGCCTCAGAGTACAGTCTAGGCTCACGAACAATGCTTCCATCCTCTTTGTCATAGTAGTACTCCAGTCCAGTGGGACTTCGCCATGCCTGCAAGCGGGGGTCGAGTGTTTGGAATGGTTGTGCCTCACGTTGCACCATAGTTGCAGCAGACCGACGCTGATATGTATAAAGAATAGTCTTGAGACCCATCACCGTCGGGGGAATGGTCTCTGCCAATAAATCCTCCATGGCCTGTTGGGAGTGTGTCTCCTTCATAGCCTCCAACCGCGGATTGGGATCCTGCAGCGTATTGAAGATATACCACAGAGACTCATCTTCAGTGCTGTCCTTTATCCCCAACTCTGCACTGTGCAGGGGAGATCGACCCTCCCATGCTTCAGATGATCGATCAATCCTGGACATGATAACCTTCAAAGCGTGTCTCAGCTTGGTACTCGAGCGAGGGATCAACGAGCGAGCCAGATCATCGGGGAGAACGTAAACCCTAACGTAATCTCCATCATTGTGACTGCGGGTGCGAATCCAGTTGTGTTTCTCGAGTGTCGAAATCTCGGACTCCGGGAATCGACCTTTCTGGGCCAGAGATTTCCCTAGCACTCCCACAGGAATGTACAGAACAAGATCATCAGATGATTCATCTTGCTGGGAAGTGTCCAGTTCGGGTGAGGGGCCAACAATGGGCGTCGAATTCGATGACTTGATCGGTGGTGAGACCCCGGGTGAAGCGGAGGAAGTCGTCGACGAAGCGGGCGAAGAGGCTGCCTCACATTTGGTCAACCCCTCAGAGACGGTCCCTGTCTGAACCCCAGGCCCCTGCATGCTCCATATGCCAGGGAAGAGATGGTCTGGCGCCGGCGCAAGAATAGTTGACAAGGAACAAATGCGAAGATTGATAAGCGGAGATAAGGAGGCAGTTTCTCACCGCCCTACTATCGGGCTTCCATTCCCTTTATGATCATTATTAATTGATTCTCTTAACAACAATGAAAAACACCAGACGTGGGAGCCACAAGAAGTCCCAATTCTTTCAGACCACAAAACAAAGAAACCTCCTAGTTACAAATATGATCACTGCGTGAGATAATCTTCAATCTCGAATCCAACCCGCTTCAGCGCTTTCTCCTCCAGCTCCCTAGCGGTGCCAAGCACCTTCCGCAGCACGACCGTGCGCGCATCCTGCAGCCGGATCTCAACCGGGTTCCCGCCGACACCATCCAGCTCCTCCCGGGTGCACTCGCGGATGTACACCGTGATATCAGGCCCAACGCATGCGCGCCACAGGGATGCCATCCACTGCCAATGGTCAAGCGGCGCGTAGGAATCGGCGATTGGAATTGAGCACGCAAACGCGTCCGCCGTGCTGAGCTGGTATCTCGGGACCAGGGAGATTGGAACGGCGGAGTGATGGCTAGCCGCCGTACCCGAGGACATCACGCTGCCCTCGGAGCCATTCTCGCTCGAATGCGCCGGTGAGTGGATCTGCATGTTGGCGGTCTTGGGAATGATGGTCTTCGGTGACATGCCCGAATGGGTGGACTCTTCGTCTGTGGCTGTGGATTTACCATCGGAGGAGTCTGCAGATGATGTTGACTTAACGAAGCTGATCACCTCATCAGAGATGCGGTGCCACGCGGAAATGGTGTTGAGGTATTCCACTGTCCCATCTCCCATCTGACCAGCCTCGGGGCCTCCTTGCCGCGGAGCCTGGATCTCAGGCCCCTCGAAGACGCGAACCTGATATTTGGCTTCCTTTTTGAGAAGGCGCTCCAGGTACTCCACGGCGATCTGGACCAGTTCTGGATCTTGTCCGTCGACAGCGATCACGGGACCTCGGCTTTGTGGGTTGGTCTCGCGGAAGGATGGCACAAGAGGGGGCGAGATCTTGGCAAGGACTTTGATTTTGTTCAGCGGAGATATTGTCATCACGGTAGCCTCAACGCTGGGCGGTCCGTCTTGTGAGAGTGGTGTCATGGGTGTCATCGCCAGACTAGTCGTTTGCAGCGGCGGGAGCTTCAGGCTAGGATCGGGATGTCCCTGAGCTGACACACTCCCATAAGACCTCTCAGGATGAAGAATGGGGAATATGTTGCGTGGTGGTGCCATCTCCGAACGGGCACTATATGGTGAGATGGGATGTGGTGGTTCAGGGCTTCTGTCTCGGTGGGATGGCAAACTAGGCTTGAAGGTGGCCTGGTGAGAAACTCGGCGGCGTTTGTTGTCTGATGATCGACTCCCGTTCTCTTCCCATTGACGGGGGCGTGTTGCCCGCGCCTCTGCAGGGTCGACTTTGATTGGCTCTGGAGCTGTATCATTCTCTCCGCCATGAGAGCTCCGCAGGGCGAGTGTGTTAGGATGTGCCGAAGGCCCTGACAAGCTCGATGCTCGGTATCCAGCGCCATTTGCTAGAGTAAACGGTGTCATTGGAGACGACGGTGCATTCATGACACGTCCTCCGCATCGGTTGCACGTCGACGCACCCGATGGATTGTGACTAATGCCCGAGGTAGAATTGCGAGAATTTCCATCCCGGCCATACCGCCGGGGCTGGTACCGGTAGTCCGGATATTGCTGCTGATGACGGGCTTTTTCTTCCTGGACCAGAATGAGCCCTGTGCAAAATAATGTCTAGTAAATGACTTACCTCGGCCAGCGCCTTCCACTTAGCCTTCTCCTCCTCTGACAGTGATCTCCACTGCTCCCCGATGATCTTGGAGATCTCCGGGTTCGCCAGACCAGGGTTGTGGGCCACAACTACAGCCTGATAGTGCTGACGATACAAGATAAAGGCTTAAAAAGGTATTAGCAGAGGCTCATTAGGCGCCGAAACATGCTAAAATCAAGAAAACAAAAAAGCACTTGCCAGGGTCAATGGACAACGGCGCGGACAGCATCGACTCACCATTACGAGGCCGGGGGATCTTCGGTTCCGGCTGGCAGAGGCAAAATTGGATTGTATTGTCTTTCTGTTTGACTGGACTGGTGCTGCTCGCCGAGGACGACGAGGACCGCTCGCGAAGGGGCAGTTCCTTGATGCTGGTCATCGGCCCCGCCTTGGATCCATTTGGCGAGGGAATCTTTTCGACACTCCTGATAGAGGACATCGGTTGGTGCGCATACGGCACTTCATGAGATTCGTCGGCATACCTGTAAGTAGACCTTCCAACTAGGCCACCGTCACTGTGGTGCCGTTGTACAGGCAGGCTTGCTCTAGGCACATCGTTCATGATCTTGTGGTCGAGGAGACTGCTGGTCGCCGATCTAGGCAGAGGGACTTGAGCGGAATCATAGCGGAGAGCAGCAGGGTTGGGGAGGACTCGATCGTAAGACATTTATTAATATTCTTCTTTCCCACTTGAGGAGAAGAACAAAGAAAGAGAGCAAATCCACGTAATGAAACCTGTTTGAGCAAGGAGGTGCATTCAAAGGAAAAAAGATAGCCACAAGGGGACGGGCTCGGAAGTATAATCACCAACCCCCATGAGAATAAAGAGAGGAAAGAAAGAAAGAGACAGATGAAACGAGGAGAAGAGGGTGGGAGATCAAGTATGTAATGGTGATCCAAAGATAGAGAGAGAGAGAGAGACAAAGAAAATGAGCCTCCAATACCAAATATCCAGGCGAGACAAAGAAACAACCTGGTAAAGACCGGGATCAGTCAGTATAGGCGCGGTCCAGCTTCCGCGTGGTCAGGCGTTTGGACGGACTGGTGCTCAATTATTTCGTTATATTTCTTCTTTTGTCGCCCCGAAAAGATTAATCCCTGCTGGTCGTGGTGGCTGTCGTGTATGGGACAAAAGATCATCAATGGGCCCAACCGAGTAGGCAGAAAAGTCACTACTACTCCCTTAGCGACAGGGGCCGTCAAGCGCTTTGTTATAACTAGTGCTAGCGTACTCTAGTGACCGAACTCCAGTCCCCTGAACCAAGAACTTTACGCCCCCGGGCTATGGCACAGTACCTTTCTTTGCGATTGCTTCTCTCTAAGTGTTGAGGTCACTAGGGTATTATTATCCATGGATTGTCGCCCGTGTTTCGGCAAATAGTTACATAGTTAAGACAGGGCTTGGTAATACGACGGTAGAAGAAAGAAAAAAAGTGTGGTCGACTCATCATTGTTTTCTTTGTCCTCCGGATGCGGCGACCCGTGGCCTGTCTCGCGCGCTGACCGCGCCGTGATTGGCCGGGGTTGACCCGCCGAGACAAAGACGGCCGCGGCAAACACTGGTGCTGTGCCTGAAAGGGAACAAGTGAGCAATAGTCCGATAAAAAAAAATTTGGCTGCGTTGGCTAATTGGTGGTGATAGTGAGGGGTGGGAGGGAGGGAGGAAAACTGTCGGGAATAATGTCATCTGCCATGTGCCCTAACTCATCCCTCGCGTCAGGCAAACTGAGCGATTGCAATGCCCACCAATGTCTCTGATCGCCCGGACATGACACCCGTCTCCACTGCGGGAATCTGAGAAAGATGATCTCATTCACCCTGTCGATCGCTTCTCCACAAGCGGGTGTCGACTCGCGTTGCAGTGAAACAACCAAAAAAGGCTCGAGGGTGGTATTGTTGCGACTGGCTCTCTCCCGAAACTGGTCTGGTTCTCAGTCAGAGAGGTTCTAGACCGGATGGTTTTACATCAATAACAGTGCTACGGTGCCCTTTTTTTTTTTATTAATCTTCAGAATCCCGAACTTTTCTTCTGAACTGGAACACGCTGACCCACGCCGCAACGAGTAAGCCGTGGGCGCTGAAACTGAGCAAACGATCCTCGGTACGGACTAATCCAGTCTCTGTATATATATTTCTGCATTAATTGAGGCAATGTCTAACTGCAAAACGCCTCGGCTGTGCCGCAGCTTCATCTGGGTAGTTTCTCGTTCACCAACAGCCCGTCAATCGCATGGAAAAATTCTGCGCTCATCATATGGTGTGCCAATGGACCAAGGGGCATCTAGTTCCTGTCGGATAGAGTTAGCAATGGCCCAGTGTGTACGGAAGGGGAGCCGGTTGACCGGAACAAGTACCTGTGAGGGTCCTCACACGGCTTCTTCACCTTTGACATCATGACCTGCACTCCGGTTTCGACACAGAGGTCAACGATATTCTCCCACTCCGGGTCCTGGCCCTTCCCTAACCCGTTCTCTGCCTCGATACCCACCACGTAGAGCTGGTAGTCTCGTCTCGAATATGATCCATCATGAAATCATTAGTGTTTAAGAGGTATATGGTACCGGGCCCCAACCGGCAGCCTTCCACGCAGCTTCTGGTTCCAATGCTCTAGGTTACTCACTTCGTCTTGGTAATAATCACCCACCACGGATTTGAGCGCGGGAAGGAAAGTCACGTCGACCGTCTGCGTCAAAATGGCCTTGAGGTGCACCGAGCTGCGTTGCTCATACAGCAGATCCAGCTGGTACACGAGCGTGGTAATGTGACGGTCAACCGAGCTAGTTGCCTCGCCGTAGCTCTCTGAGACGAGGCGCCGGATATCCCAGATACAGAACCCGACGACATAGATGGTGTGTTCTCGGCCCTGGCGGATTGACTCTTCAGACAGCCCCATGAGCAGCTGGGACTCGGCAGCGAGCCAGCGCTGGAACTGGGTCTTGAAATCGTGGAGTTGCATCTGAGTCAAGCAGCTCAATCCTTTTGATTCGTTGTTATCCACGACGCCGCCGACATAATTGCCCCTGAGCATTGAGCGGGTTGTCTGCGCGGGATTCTCTTGGTGGCATGAAACCTGTGGCGGCCAGACAACGACTCACCTGTGCATGTTTCCAGCAGTTTCTTCTAGGGGAGGGGGATGACCGTCCTTACCGTTGAACACAGCCAGTCAGTCCAGGTCTTTCCTGAGCCCTCTCTCCACGAGTCCTCGAAGATCACCAATCAGTGGTGGAATGTTTTAGCAGTCTGGACCTTTTGCGGTGCCAATGGAACTATGTGATCAAATTCTTCGTAAACGCAGGGTATATGCCGAAAAGAGCATCATACACACGTCGAAAGATCAGTAGGCTGGGATAGACCATTGTTTAAATAGCGTACCAGATTGGCGCCAGCGCTAGTACCAGCTGTAAGAACTTTATTTCTATCACTTCGAACTTTGCTGTATTTTCAACAGTCTGTGGTGGTGTATTGTTTAGTTGGCGGGCAACATATAATTGATGAACGGAATCTCACATACCCATGTCAATGCATCCCACGCAACATTTAAGGCTGCTGATTAGGGGTTTTCAGGCGCACTTTGTCCGGTTACTCGTGACTTTGTAACTTATATAGTGGTATATCCATACAGTGTAATCCACACTCACTATCACCAGCCTGGCCTGTGTACAGAGAAGTCGGCATGTTCTGTCTTCCCCATTCAAGTCGCCGAGCGGAATACTCCGTGACAACAATTTGCTGACCACCTGTGTGGTCTTGAAAAATACAGTGTTTCTCTTTGAACAGAAACCCGATTTCACATGGTTGGAGGATACGGAGTTCGATGAGCGGAGCGAGCAGTTCTTCTTGCCCGATCATTTTCCTCATTCTTTTGTACTGAGCGCTGGCCCCGTGGATTTGAAGATGTGCCTCTTCATCTTGATACCTTCAAAAGTCATTAATCGATTGTTATATTTCTTTTCCTGGAGTAGAACTTACACTTCAAATCCTCTCGCCCAGTAGTCTGGAATTGGATCATTGAATCCTGCACTGGAGAGCCATTCATAAGCTGGGGTTTTTGGTTCAGAAGACAGAGTAACGTCAGAAATGTCCCTTAATAGATTCATAAACTACCAAAATAGAGGTCAGTAAGAAATTAATATGAAGAAACGGAAGAGATAGAGAGATAGATCTTTTCTCGCTTCTCGGCGGACGCGCATGCAACTAATGGACATATAACACGCATTTTGCAGAGTACCAACGCTAAGGTTTCATCTGAGGAGTGGCTTTTCAACGCGGCTTTTCCATCAATCTAATTAGAACCTGTTTCATATATAACTATACAAGACGGTAAGATGGTTCGGGGATCTGATATGCGGTCTTCAGAAGTATCGGTAATATTCTCAAAGGCCATCGACTCGCGGTTCTGATCTGCTGACTGCGGGCGCTGCAAAGGTGCCCAATATTCGAGGCAACTCAGATGGCTAGTGATAAAGTCCAAGTGGAGACCAGTACGCTCGAACAGAGATCGGATAATCATGATGCGCCTACGGAGACCAAAGTTGGCACCATTCTGTAGCCCCTCAGTGCAGTCCAGAAGAATCTGGCGACGTCGTTTGGCAGCATACTTGTCGCTGTTTGCTCCCCGCAGGACTTAAGGGTGCATCGCAGTTCTTTTGAGGAGGGAATCGCAACTGTTTTGCTTGGTCTGAAGCAGTGAAGCCAGGCTGTTTTCAACACAAGGTCTGGGTGAAATTGGAAAGCCCACGATGCTTGCCTGATCCAGGTCTTGACTACTCTTCTAGTCTTTCCCCATCCCAGCCCCATGTCCTGGTTGCTTATCAGCCCTTGTCATACCTGCCCTCGTACCATCGCTCCACGGCACCCTTACTAATCTTACACCATCCACAGTACCATTTACAAGCATAACATCATTCGTTTTCTTCAACTTCTGGAATGTAACTGTAGCATTAAATCTTGGGAATCAGCAGACCCCTGAGGGTAGTGCAGGCCTGTGGACAATTAAGGCCTCCAGGCAAAGCAGCCAAGCCGGATGAGTAGACAATCTAGCGCTCCGGATACGAGATATGCTGCAGCCACACTACCAATCCCCACGATTTAAGGACCCCGTTTCCGATTTATTTGGAAATACTTAAAATAGATCCCGCTATTGCTTATGAGCGTCCACTGAGCAGGCAGAGCTGGTAAATCCCAGGAAGCTCAGCCTGGCGCAGTTGTCCAAAGAGTTATTTAGATTTTTGAGTTATGGTAGTAGTATTGGATATAAGATTTCGAGTTAGGTAGTATTGGATATAAATAGATTTGAGGCATTAGATGAGGTTATAAAAGCTGAGAAGAAGACGGGCTGATATTCCCCTACTTCCCATATCATCCAACAGCACTTTTCACACATAGCTGCAGTACTACATCACATTTATCAGCCCCCGAACACCCTGCACCGTACATCATGTACCTCACCAAATTCATCTCAATCATTCTCACTGCTACTGGTGCCATCGTCGCCGCAGCTCCGTTCCAACTGGAGGAACGACAGAGCAGCATTTGTGCGGAGGCCTTAAGCGAACTTAGCCAAACTGCCGCCTATTATGAAAGCGTCGGCGCAAACTTGGAAGGCGTGGCAGCTGTATGAGCTTGACTCGGCTCTCGAGTAGTAGCCCTTTACTAATCCGTAATATGGTAGGCCGGTTTCCAATCCGACTTGACCAAGTTCAACGAGGCGGCTACTTCAATAAGCGAGGCCTGCCAAGATATGGATCAGGTTAGTGCAACTGAGGCATAGTATGTTGATTGTCCCTTCTAGATTTATAGGCTAGCATGACATGGCTAACAAGAGAAAATTCGTGCAGTCAGCCAAAAGAGAGTCTAATCGCCAATAACTGGTAGTGAGGCTAGAATAGCGTTCCCCAGTTCAGACTACAGGGTTCGAGGACATGGCTCCACTTTGAAGGCAAGGGCACAGGGCATAAATATAAATCATGAAATAGCTTCATCCAGTTGCCCGGGGGTTCGACGATAAAGGAGTTGGTAGAAAATATTGTGTTCCTAAGAACATAACTTGGCCCAAGAAAATCGTTCATCGTAATCTAGTAGAGAGAATTTATTTTTACTAGACTAGAATATATACCATGAATTGAACCAGAATACTTCAACCTTAAAGTCCAAAAAGGTCTGGTAATTGTAACCAGGGTATCTGAAGCCCGCAGTTGTTTATTCACGTCGTCCGCCAACAGATAGTGATAATAGATGCGGTTGCGAATAGAGCATAAGAAAACAGGTATGGCGCGCGTCGGAGCGTGAATGCACTTTCCTATTCACTCTCATGCTACTTTTTATTGAACAATACTTCAATGAGATATATCGGTTTGATAGTTCACGGTCAGCAGCCATATATATATACTGAAGGCCACTCCTTCAAAGATCCCTGAACTAAGGCATCAGGGATGTCAGGGAAACTCTACAGAGTAGAGACCACGATGTATATGGCATTAGACATTATCTACATACTTTCTGGTAGAATCTAACATACTGACCCATAGAATGTTAGCATGAGAATGCCCATCAAGCGGGCCCAGTACCTCACTGTTCATACATACACCTCGGATAATTGAGTCCTTCTTGTGATGTCATCATGCTGTGCATATACATACTCTCTTCCTTTGAACAATAAGCAGAGCCGATATCGAATACCTTCTTGTCTCAATGGCTATCACAGGCAGAAGATGGACGATAGAAACACTTTGAGACTGGGATGCTGATTATATCACCTTGCAGCCTGAGGCATCAGTAACTGTGACTAAACCAGGTAATCGCGGACAAAAGTCACATGACTCCACACCACATCTAAGCGACGCTGACATAAGAGCCCTACCCACGTGACCAGGGCTCGCACAACACGGTGACCCGCAGGCCCGAAAAAATAGTCCTAGCATTCTCTCCTTCGACCGCTACACCTTGTCGACCAACACCCGCGCTACCGTCTTGACCGCGCAACCCCCGTCAAGATGAAGCTTAACATCTCCTACCCGGCCAATGGGTCTCAGAAAATCATCGAGGTCGACGATGAGCGCAAGCTCCGTCCCTTCATGGAGAAGCGCATGGGCACCGAAGTCAGCATTCCCTCCAACCCCGATCCATATCACCATGCCACTGCCACACACGCACAAAGACAGACATGACTACGAAATAGAACATTGGCTGATTGGGATTCTCATTTGGTTTAGGTTGTCGGTGACTCGCTCGGCGATGAGTTCAAGGGCTACCTGTTCAAGATTACCGGTGGTAACGACAAGCAAGGTACGACTACTCTTCGATGAAAATTTTGGGCAAAAAATACAGAATTAGATGGCTGACTGGAATTCTCGACAAACAGGTTTCCCCATGAAGCAGGGTGGTACGTTCCCGACTCGAATTTCCTAACCACAACAATCACACACAGAACCAAAAACTCACAATTGCCCACAGTCCTCCTCCCCACCCGTACCCGTCTGCTTCTCGCCGACGGCCACAGCTGCTACCGCCCCCGCCGCACCGGTGAGCGCAAGCGCAAGTCCGTCCGCGGTGGCATCACCGGCCAGGACCTTTCCGTCCTGGCTCTGGCCATCGTCAAGCAGGGCGAGGGCGAGCTCCCCGGCCTGACCGACACCGTCGTTCCCAAGCGCCTGGGCCCCAAGCGTGCCACCAAGATCCGCCGCTTCTTCGGTCTCGACAAGAAGGACGACGTCCGCCAGTTCGTCATCCGCCGCACTGTCTCCAAGGAGGGCAAGAAGGACTACACCAAGGCCCCCAACATCCAGCGTCTGGTCACTCCCCAGCGCCTGCAGCGCAAGCGTCACAGGATCGCCATCAAGCGCCGCCGCGCTGAGGCTGCCCGCGAGGCTGCGTAAGACCCCTCTTTCCCTCTATTCGGATATTTTCTAACATATGATTAGTAACGACTACGCCAAGCTCCTGGCCAACCGTGTCCACGAGGAGAAGGCTAAGCGTGACGAGCTCCGCAAGCGGAGGGCGTCCTCGATGCGCAAGTAAACCCCTTCAACCACGAGTGATGGTTTTCTTCGGCGTCGATTAATGGGGGATGCTTCACGTTCACTGGTGCTAAAATAGAAAAAGTTTTTGCCAGCTACGGGGAGGCATACATGGATGAAAAGAAAAGAAAAAAGGAGAGGCGAAGACAGGAGACCCGGGGTTCTTCTTTTGTGTGATGCCCGGCTCCAGGATGCTACGGTGGTTTCGTGGCCTTGAAAGAGGCGATGCATCTGTGTTGAACCTACCTTTTTTTGTTGACAACCCTTTTTGCGAATGGAGTGCATGCAATTTCAATCTGAGTGCTATGATATAATTCTGGGGTTTGATTTCGTAGACGGTGTGGTGGTGTCATTCGAGTTAGGATGATACTATAGAAGCTGAAGGTGCCTTCTTTCAACAACGCCGGCACATACACATCAAGTCTGATTTGTATTGACCTGATGGAGTGCGAAGGAATACGCAGCCCAATCCTGAGGCAGTCGTAACACTCCTCAAGCCTGACGACCAATAAAAACAACTCTGAACGGGCTCACCTCTCGCCGCTTAACTATTGCTGCTACCTGAGTAGACTGAAGCACAACCCCGGGAGGTCTGTTGGCCATCTTACGATTGTCAACATTTCCTATCGCAGTTGTGCCTTGGCCTCTTGCTTCAGTCGCATTATCTGCTCTCTCAAACCCCGCACTGTTGGTCGTGATACGAGCAATTCAGCGCCCAGAACACAGCCTCTGAGCACACAAGGTCCATGCAAGTGAAAATACAGAAAGCAACCCAAGAAAGAGACAAAATACAATATACCATTGAGGGCATCTGGTTATGATCTACATATAGAGATAAGGGCAGTGCATATAAACTATTGCAGCTGCGGTAGGGTAGGTAATGGAGACAGGAGATGTTGGGGAAACATGCAAGACAGCATCAAAGACACCCCAATAACGGGGCGCCCGTTCACACCAAAAAAACGAAAAAGGTCATAAAAATCGTATTTTGTCCAGGGAATAAAAAAGGCAGGCTACTGGAGTTGCTCGTTCTACGCAACAGCATGCGAGAACAAGAAACTGACTGACTCGCCATTATGCGTCCGCCGGCAAGCCTCCGCCAGCGTGGGGCTGATATCGATAGTCTCAATCTTGTCGCAAGCCTCCTTCTTCTCCTCATGTGGAACGGTGTTGGTGACAACCAGACGGTTGAGACGGCTGCCGTTCAGGTTCTCGATGGCCTTGCCGGACAAAATGCCGTGAACGACGATGGCGTTGACTTCCTTGGCACCATGTTGCATTACCGTGTCGGCGGCCTTGACCAGCGTGCCGCAGGTGTCGGCCATGTCGTCGACGATGATGGCAACCTTGTCCTTCACGTTGCCGACCAGGACCATGCGAGAGACCTCGTTCGGACGCGCGCGCTCCTTGTGGATCAGGGCGAATTGTAGATCAAGGCGGTCGGCGATACCGGTGGCTCTGGAGACATATGTTAGGAACAGAACAATTAATTCGGGGAGAAACTGAAAAAAAAAAAGACTTACCGCTTGGCACCGCCGGCATCCGGACTGACGATGACGCAGTTGCTCACGTCCAGATTTTCCCGAATCCATTTCAACATGCTGGGTTCAGCGTACAGGTTGTCGACTGGCACATTGAAGAAGCCCTGGATTTGGCTGGCGTGGAGGTCCATAGTGATGACATGGTTGCACCCGGCGGTTTGGAGCATGTTGGCCATGAGCTTCGCCGTGATGGGCGCCCGGCTCTTGTCCTTCTTATCCTGGCGTGCGTAGGGGAAATTGGGGATGACGGCGGTGATGCGGCGGGCCGACGCCGTTTTGCAGGCGTTGATCATGATAAGCAGCTCCATGAGACCATCATTGATGTCGTTGGGTCGTGTGGATTGCAGGATGAAGACTGGGAAAAAGGAGAATTAGCGATAGTTCTTCTTCCCACGAATGGGTCACCATACCATCTTCGTCTCGCACACTCTCACCGATAGTCACGCTCGTCTCTTGGTTAGAATATTGCAGGACCATGATCTTGGTCAACTCGATGCCGAGTCTGATTCATAAACCGTTGTCAGCTGATTGACGACCCCGACACTCCCGGGACAGGCACTGTGTTCTTCAGCCTCCTCTGTAGAGTACACATACCGGTCAGCCACGAGATGGGCTAGCTCGGGGTGACTGTTGCCAGTCAAGAGCTTGATCGAGTTGGACGACATGATGCGGGAGAGGTCTCTCTGGCGGATGTGAGGCGGGAGGAGCAGAGGGAGTTGTAGGGATGTGGGAAAGTTATCCCAGTGGAATGAACTGGAGCAGAGAGACACTTGTTCCTTCTTCTATTCTTCTTCTTCTTCTCCAGTCAAGCAAAATCGATCATTCGCCCCGCAGTGACTTTTTTTGGCCGACGATCCCGTGACGGGGCTCACCGCCCTTGGCAGATTAGATAAGCATCTGCAAACGACATCTGGACTATATTCTGGGAATATTAGGAAATGTCTGATCCAGAGTTGTTTTGAGATAGACCGTGGACCCCTAGTATAATATCAACGTCTACTAAAATCAACATTGAAGTTCAATCAACAGTATAGAGGACACAATTGCGCCGTTTATTGTGCTACCCGCAGCCGCCTGCCCTTAATCGCTATATTCCTTCCCTTCCAGGAATAGCGCGTTTATTATGCGCCTACAAAAGACCCCTGTATTTTACTTCTATGGACTGAGGTACCAGATAATGAATTGAACAAAATCCGAATGGGAATTAAAACATGCAGCAATCTAAATACACAAAACACCGTGGGAATCGCAGTGATAAAAAAAGTATCAAGTGACACAATCCTGGTTCTCCAGTTGACCTGCACTTCAACCAAATCACCAGTCATGAGCCACATTCTCATCTCTTCTTCACCTTTTTCATCAATCCTTCTCTTCCTCTCCTTTGCTGGCACACATCACCAGCAATCAGTCATCCATCATAAGAATCCAGAGACCACACATGAAAAGATATAAGAACGCCATCGAATGCTTCAGCAGAAGGAACCCCATCTATGCAAACCCGAAGTACTCGCTGCCAGCAGTCACGGCTGTGTACAGCCGATTGCGAAGATCCTCATAACTTTCATATTCGGGGAGGTCAAGCTCTGTAAACAATTATTAGCTTCTTATATCAACTGACGAAACGGGACTGAGAAAGACTCACGGTTGAAACACGTGTGCGAGCTGGGAAGGCGATCCTTGTTCCCATAGTCACGGTGAATGTTGAACTTGCTCACTCCGTTCATGCCCTCGAGCTCCTTGAAGCCGTTGAGCGGGACCTTGGAGGTACCGGTGACGAACTGCAAGAGTTTGGCACGTTCCTCCTTGTCGAAGGAGCGGACAGCACGCCAGAACCACTGGATCTGGGGGGAGGAGGCAGAGTAGTTGTGGAGTTCAGTATTGTTCTTCCACTCGTCAACGTCAATCTCGGGCAGACCAGAAATCAGAAGCTCCAGCTCTTGCTCGTTGAATATCGAGATCAGATCCGGGGGAATGATATCATGAAAGCCTTTCAGGAAGCTGTCCAACTGCTCTCGGACAGACTCCACCAGCCGGTACTCGACCACGCGCTGGACGTACTCCTCCTTGTTCTCCTGCGTGACGGGAATGTTGCGGCCGTCTGGGATTAGGTCGATTACCTGTATCTCGCCAAAGGCATCGGTCTCAATGGCGAAGGTCTCCGTGATGATATCTGTGATGTCGTTCTCAAGCATCCACAGGAGAGACTTGTAGTAGTCAAGGTCGAGAGTTTCCATATCCTTGATAGACACGGACCGTCCAAGGATAGACTTGTAGACTGCACGGCTGAAGTGACAGTCCAAGACACGGCCCTCATACATTGCCTTGCCGATGATGCGCCCAATGAACTTGAAGAACATCAGGTGCTGTTCATTGATGCCACTGAGGCGGTTGGGGTGGAAGGTTGTTCGGTCAGCAGCCACGGGGATGAACAGCGCATAGTTGGGGTTGAACATGCCGCGAGCAAGAACTTGGAACCATTCTCGAGTCACACCGCCAGCATCGACACCTTCTTCTCCATGGAAACGGATGTTCAGCTTGCCATATTTCACCTCGTCCGCATTCTTGAAGTACAGAGACTTGAATGAGTCAAGGAACACTTGGTCTCTGCGGACGGAAAGCTGCAGAGGAGGATGGGGGTGGCGAGGTTCGCTGCCACGGGAGTGGACTCGGCGAGTGAAGTAGTTGCGCTTGTTATCGAATTCCAGGACCTTGGGGTTCTTGACCAGCAAGGAGAATGTGCCGCTCATCAACCTAGGGTTCGAGCGGACAAGCTCATTGAGGATCTTGCGGTGTTCCTCCGTGAACTTGAAGAAAATATTCTCCATGCTGAGGCCCGGGTCGGCAGGAGCTGCGCTGTTCACCGACAGCTCTCGGCTGTTGCGAGAAAGCGGCTGGTCCTTGAGCGTAGTGTTCTTGCAGACAACCATCAATGCCTCGATCAGAGGGAGAAGAATAGTAGCCACGTTCAGCATGTTCTCCTTCTGGCGAATGAGAGACAAGCAGTCGCTGAGTTTAGTCCAGAGCGGCCCGAAAGTAGCGCTCTCATACAACGACTTGAGAACATCCTCCTTGGGTGCAGCCTCGGGTTCGCTGCCCTTATTCTTGTCCACACGGGTTGGGTCAAAGAGGTAGTCAAGCGCCGTCAGAATACGCAGCAGCTTAGCCTGGTCAGAGCTGGCTGGAGAAAACTTGGCCAGAGCCAGCCCTTGCATGTCTGTGCCAGTCTTAGCCTGGTGGATATGAGGAAGGAGGTCTTCCAGGTCTGCCAGAATGGTATCGCTGAGGCTCTGCGCTTGACCAACAAGCTCGTTACCAATCACATCCCTCGCGCTCGGAATGGAGGAGAGGTTGTTGATCGTGGAAAGGGTGTCGCGGAAGGTCTTGCCGTTACACTCTCGAGCGGCCAAGATGTGAACCACCAGTCGGAAGTTGTGGTCAGGAACAACGGGAGGCTCAATGG